CGAAATTTGAGAAAAACTACGCTTTTGTGATTTTTTTGTTCTCCTTCTTCATTTTTTGTGTTGAAAAATTGCAGCTAATGAATGTCATGAATGACGTAAAGAAATAACAATGAGAGTTTTCTCTTTTATGTTTTTAATTTTTCATTGTTGTGAATGTTTTTTCCCAATAACTGTATAGAAATTTCTCAATCAACAAACGTTTTTTTCGCCTTTTTCTGAAAAATTCATTTAAAAGTTCAGACTTGGTGAAAATATTAACAGCGACGTTTTCCAGAAATTCTCTTGAATTTTATTAATCAAATTTACTCGTGAAAGATTGACACACGGTTTCATTCATGTTAAAAAACACGTCATAAATAGTTCAATTTTCTACGCACTCGGAGAATAAAAAAAAAGCTGAAAATTTGCATACATGTTTGCAAAATTTTTCTTGATTTTTTTTTATCTCAAGACTTTGAAGAGCAAAAATCAGTAGTGAAATGTTTGAACTACAGCTGAAAAGTTGTAGTTTTAAAGAATTTGTTTAATAATTTTTCAAATTCAAAAATTTGAACATTTTCAAGTAGATCTTTTTTTGTTAATTTTTCAGGCGTCGGGGAGTTTGTACAAAAAAACAACGAGATTAGTAGCGATTAAATTAAACTCGAATGTAAGGTATTTCCCCTTGTTAAAGAGAATAAGTTTGATCCACTTCAAAATAAAATTTTGACACATTGTGGATAACCCCATTTTTCAAAAGTGATCTTTCTTTTCGAAAAAATTAATGAAGTTTCAAAATGAACAAAACTTCTACATAATCTAATTACATTCCTCATATTAGCTACCACCCAAAAAAGTTCCATCATCATCCACCAAATGTCCTCGAACGAACAATGCCCAAAAAAACTTTTCTCTTTTTCTTTTCCTCTATTTTTCTTCATGTTTAGTAAGCATTCTTCTCTGGCAAAACGCCAAAACCAATCATCGTTTTTTCTCGTTGTGTTCTTCTAATTAAAAAACTAAAGTAAAACAGAACATGCTCTCTAATTGGTTTGCTTAATTTATTCATTGCATTTTATTTCTTCTGGTCAGTGTTTTCCTTTTCACTTTATTTTCTTGAGAAAGAAAATGTGACAGCAGGACTTTTTATGTTAATTAATTAATATACAAAATGGTGTTCCTGTGAATATTATTAATAATAATCATAATTCTTCATAATAAGTATAAGTAGGTTTTTGAACATGTGCTCCTTTCTCTTTGTGCTCCTCACATCTCATTTGCACTCTTCTTCAGCCCATACATATCTCACTTATATATAAATATATATTTTCAAAGAGGCTCGAATTAATCCATAGAGAGTGTGTGATGTGAAGAGTGTTTAGAGAAGCAGACACCCATCGGACCATCTGTTTTGACAATTGTGAATGAATATGTGTATGTACATTACATTTATTTATTTTTTCTCATTTAGTTTTTCAATTTTCCAATTTCAATTTCAATTTTATTTTCATTCTCATATTTGTAAGATTTTTTCCCTAGAGAATTGGCGAAATTGATATATTGTTAACATTATGGGGGTATTCTTTTTTTCATAGTATGCAGAAATGTTTTGATGAATAAAACATTAATTTTGATGAATAAGTCAACTTGGGATTAAATGGCAGATTTGTTGCGAAATGTTCTTGTTGTGAAACTTTTGACTGGTTTTCAATTTTTGACATGAATGAAATTAAAAGAGAACAAATTTTTGTCCAGAACCAACTTCAAATATTTATTTTCTCTCAAATCCAAAAATTCAGTGGTTAATTCGTTTTTCCGTAACCCCATTTTTCCTCAAAAGGTACCAATTTCCCACAGCTGTCCCTCTTTTTTACTCAATTTTTTTTTTCAAAATCTCATCTCAAAAAATATATTTATTTTTCGATTTAATTTTGTTTCTACATTCCAATAAATCTAAAACAAATAAAATTGAGCAAAAATTCTTCTGGTTGAGTTGATATGAAAAAAATCTGGAAAAAAAGAATCCAATTTTATACGCTTCGCCAAAAAAAGTGCATGTAAATTTTTTGTCATTTTGGAGCTGGATCCTATTTTATTGCTTTTATGTATGTATTGCACTAATCCTTTTTGGACCACACAACTAATTCTATGTGTAATAATGATGACACAAAAGATGGTGGAAATTTGAGAAGATAGTGTCAATTTTAGTTTTGTATATGTATGTAGATCGTAATACACACATACATACATATGTATATATTTATATATCTAAATAAATTTTAGTGTCATCAGAAGCAGTCTTACCAGATGTTTCATTTCCGAAATCGATTTTTCATTCATTCATCTTTTTTTGTTGTTGTTGAAAGATATAAAATCTAGCCTAACTAGTAGGTTGATTAATTATTCTCACACATTTTTCAATTATTCACCTGCACAAATATTTTGTTTTGTTCATTTGGCTCCCAAAAGACCGTGAGATTTTTCTCATTAGTAAAAAATAAATAAATATTTTCTAGGTTGACAGGCGAGAAAATTCACGCCTGTTACATACCTGACGGACAATTGGCAGATGTCCAATACTTTTTTTATTGTAATAATAAATACATAAATATATTTTTTTATCGACTATAACATTTTTTTTTTTTTTGGTTAGGAGCCCATATATTCTGTTTTGTTTTTATACATATGCGCATGAAATGGAAATTGTTATTTTGATGAATTTTTGTTCGCTTTTTCCTGTTGGTTGGTTGGCTTTCATCATTTTTTTTTGGAATAGCAAAATTTTTGGTCTATTGTAGTTGGAGGAAGTTGGGAGAACTTTTCGTTAAGAAAAGGGTCAGATAACTTTTTCGTGCAGAAAAAATATCTGAATTTTCTCACATTCAGATATCTTTGTTTTCCTAATTATTGTTCTTCCAGAAAATTTGATCTTAATTTTCATCAGTTGCTTTTTTTCCAATTCTCTCATCAATCTTCTAATTTCTCAAAAAAATGTTTCACAAAACATTTATTTGTGTGTGTGAGAATTTGCTTTTTTGATTGATCTTTTTTTGCAAATAAAATCATGCTTGTTCTTTTTATCAATTCATGAGCTTGTTTTTCTCGGAAATCTGATATTTTTTCAAATTTTCTCCGCCCCTCCAGTCAACTTTGAATATCCAAATCTTCCATCAAAATTTGAAATTACTAAACAAAACTATTATCTTCAAATCAATCGAATTCAATTGAATTTCATTTTGTGTGTTTAAAATGACAATGGTCAGCTGCTCTTTTTCTTCAATTCTCCCCAGATTTTTGATAGATAAACTAAACTAATTCACAAATTTACACAAATTCCCCTCTCATCACTTTTTCTATTTGTTCAATTCATTCACCTTTCGTTCTCTTTCTCTCAAAAACATAGCAACAACAAAAAAATTAACGAACGGTCAGGCAAAATCGGCTTACACTCTCTAAAACATTTTTCATCGTGAGTGATCAAAGAAGTTTTTTGCGGCGCCGCCGATTTTTTTCTGGTGAGGTCTCAAATTTTTCTTCATCTTTTTCTCGTCGGTTATGAATAAATCAAGTTTGTTCCAAAAAAATACGTACATACATATTTTTTTCAAGAGCCGATACTACTTTTTCCCATTTTTTCTCATCTGAAAAAATTTGAGTTTTTAGTTAAAAAGGAGCAGCTGTTCAAACAATGCCATGTATTTTTTCCTCTTCTTCGCGCACGCACTTTTCAATTTTGGACCACCACCTAAAACACACTAATTCAATTTTACTTTTTCCCATTTTCGTTCAGCGTATTTTTCCTTTTCATTTTGGGGTTTTTTCTTTTATTTTTCTGGGTTCGTAAAATATGTAGATCTGTTTGTTCAACAACAAGGTCAGTTGTGTTGTTGCGTATTTTTTGTTTTGGGAACCTCACTTTTGGAATGCTTTGGAAATGTTTTAAAAATAATTTGAAAAATTATGATTTTTTGAAAATAATGATATTTGTTTGGCTCAACATTTGTATTTTCCCAAATGTACTTTTTTTTTAATATTAATTTTTTAAGAATAACAACTGGATATTTATAAATGTAACAAATGAAAAAATAAGTTTGTGAGAAAAGTTTGAAAATTTTCAATTCTCTCGTTCTAATTTTCACTGTATTTTTTTTTTTGAAAACTTGTGTGAAAAAATTTTTGATCTACAAAATTAACTATTGCCAAAAAAATTCGGAATATTTTCACCTCTTGTCAGAACTACACAGTAAAACCTAGAAAAATGTGTGAATGTGGTGAATAATTAATAACCATGTTGTTCTCGCACTAAACGCATTCCCCAATGCTAATAAAGTGTGCTTGTTTCTCTTCTCGTTTTTTTTCTCCATTCTCCACGAAAAATACACATAAGTATACATACACTTTTCTTCAGATGAGTCAGTGTTTCTTCTCACACATACATTTTCTCCCCATTTTTTCCTCTCCCAACATACAAAAAAGTCATATGTCATATACTACTAAGATTAGTAAACGACCCCTTTTTGGGCACATCTGAGATTTTTTTCACTCCTATGTGTTTTTTTTTTTGCGTCTTTCTTCCCATTTTTAGGCAGGCACCTGTCACAGCTGTGCCCTCAGCTTTTTTCAAAGGGCATTCCTTCGAGAATTTCAAAAAAAATTTGCATAAAAACTCTTTTTTTCCATCTTTTCTGCTTATTCTTATTCTCCGCCCTTCTCAGTTTCTCCCGCCTCGGGCTTTTTAATTAGTATGAAAAAGAAAAAAAGGAGAAATGAAAATAATAAAATAGGACACTCCCCCTCTACGATGGATTTTTATATTATTTATTTCGGTTTTTTATATCTTCTCGCTTTTTTTCTTTTTTTTTTCTAACTCACTCATTCATTCACTTATGAAAAAAGTGCATTTGCAAGCAATTAATGTCAAAATGAATTTCAATCAAATCAAATATTTTGCAGGGCATGACGATTTCACACTAGTTGATATTCCAACTTTTCTACACCAATAAATATTCAGTCTGTCAAAAATGGGTTGTACATTGCGACCGAGATTGAATAATCTGTCTTCAATATGGTACACTGTTATTATCACGTTACTTCAGGCTTATTTGCTTTTTTTGGGTTTTGAAAGGTTTGTGTGACTCTTTTTTTGAAGTGAATTATGGGGTGGGCAGGGTTTTTTGAAAAAAAAAAGGATTGATTTTTTGGTGAAAAATATTTTAACTGGGATTTCAGAATTAGATGTGTAGATTTTAAATCTTTCAGAAACAATGAATTCTGTGAAGTAAGGGTTTGCAATTAGGCTCATTGTTTCTTCTAAAAAAATGTTTTTCTTTTTAGATCTGGGGAATTTTTTAAAGTGATGGGTTCTAGTTCAATTGTTTGACCATCCAGTGGTTATAATTCACTAACGAATAGAAATTTCTAAAAGTTATTGACACAATTTTTTGATAAATTTCTAGTGTTTTTCTCAAACAGCGACAGTTTGTCTTCGTTAACCCGAACAATGTTTTTATTTTCAAACCTCAATGGATTACTTTTTAACCTCGCATTCAGAGTCACCAAATATTCTGCTTCCTTATATTTCTCAAAAATGATTTTTCTTATTATTTTTGCAGTATTCCAGACTATATGGGAAAAATTTTTCAGTTATTTTAGGAAAGATTTTGTTTTCCTTTTCCTTTTCTTCACACAATCACAAAAAGTACAATAAAAGTACACATTCCAAGGCTTAGAACAATGCCACAGACACGTCACATTCATGACAAATCCACGAAAAAATTTGCAAAAATATGACATTCTTCGAGACAAAATTTTTACAATTTCAGATATCGTCTTTATACTGATATCAAATGGCCGACTGGTGGTTATCCACAAATATGGTTCACTGTTTATATTGTGATTTATATATCATGCATCCCGGCAACACTTTTGTTTTTTGCTTGCGGATTTTTCAAGTCTGGAAATATTGCTGGAGATAATGAAAGATTGGCTGATCGTGAGGAACGAGTTCTGGAAGTTTCGCGGAATAGAAATGGTGAAAAATCTGGTAAGTACTACGATTCCCAATTCTTTTTTCTCAATTTCCAACACAAACTCTTTCAGGATGTTGTCACCGTCTCAAAATCATCTGGCAACATCTTCCACCACTTCCACAACAAATTCACGTGATTATGGCAATCGCTCAACTTATCGCCCAACAATTAATGTATGCACAAGTGTTCCGCAACAATTTTCTGCATGAAGGTGAGTATTGTGATTTTTAATTAATTCCAAATGATTTTTCAAGTACGCCTCATTGAGTTTTATTTATGTATGGTGGTATGAATAGAGGATAGATTAATGTATTTCGGTATTATATGAGGGTTTCATTAGAACTGTTTTGACTGATCAAAATGATTTTGTGACAATAAGAGAAAATTCTTTAATTTTCAAAACCTCTAATAAATAAGTGCAATTTCAAAAGCATAATTTCACCACTAAATTTCAGGTGACTTCTTGAACACGGAATTAGATTTTCTCTACCAAAGATCAAGACAACTTGCCAGTAACCTACCCTATAGTGGAACACAACTTCAAGGATTCCAAATCACATCCGAGCAACTTTCCGGAATTCCAGTCTCCCCAAGCATTCTTCCAGTATTGATGCATTTCAAACTTTTTGGAGTTCCCTTGGAATTTGTCAATTTGCTGATCGCATTGATTGCTTTTAGTATCACATTCCCTGCTGTATTCTGGAGAGTTTCCAAATCATTCAGTATGATTTTCACAATTCATCTTCTCATTTATTCGGCTCAAGTTATTTGGGGATATTTGTCATTTTCGATTTTGTATCGTGTACAAGAAACAAATATTCACAGCTCGCGACCTGTTGGAATTGGACAGTATTTGGGGCCTATCAAACCTCTTGGATTCCAAATTTATCATCCGTTGGTTATTCTAGGAACGTTTTTGGTCAGACTTTTGATTACAACATTAGCACCAACCGCAATGTATTCCTACGGATATAATAAATTATACGTGAGTTTAGTTTCTGAAAGAATGAAAAACTATAGATAGTTTTTATGAAATGAAAAGGTTATACGCTTTATCTTAAATACACTTAAGAGTTATAATTTCAGGTCAATATGCTGAATGTTCAGCAACGCAACGCTGCTCGTAACTCACAAGGTCAGGGAGAATACGGTGAATACCGCCGACGCTCATACAGTCGCCTTGATGGTAGCAAACTTTGCTGCGATGGATATCTCCCACATATGAATGCTATTGCTCTTCTGGTTATTGTTGCTGGTGCAATCGGACCAACAATCTACGCTTTGCTCATTTTATATCAACATGACCAAAAACCAATTCTTCTCACTTGTATAATTATTGACGTGATTTACATGTTCTCGTGGATTTTGATGTGGTTAGGAATGACATTAAAACGCGATTGGGATTTTAATGTAACTCACAAGGTTCATCAATTATATGCTCTTCAAAAAGGAATGGCAACTGGGGCGATTCGCGGAAACGAGAATCCTTCACAACTCAAAAATTCTATCTTGGTTGTTCATAGAGACACTGTAAGTTCCTATCTGGTAATTTTGTTTAAATAAAATTTATTCAGATGTACGTAACTGATGATCAAAATGCAAAACAATCTTTGCTCCGTTCTATACATACTGGGAAATTTGATAATGGTCAAGATGAAGTTTATTGGAAGAATAACAGTCCAATTGCCAGAAGTAAATTGTTAGCAGAGATGGATGGCGTTAAAAATAGTCCTGAAATGGCCAGATTGATTCAATCACAAGGCGAAGACACAATCAGCTATCACTCGGTTAGTTTTTTTTAAAACTCAAAGTGGATTCTATCAAAATCTATGATATCGGTTTTCAGAATGCTAGACAAGGGCAATTAATCAATCGTGGAAATAGTTCACCGCCGCAAATCAATCAATTTGGGACTATTCAACGAAATCAACAGCAACAACAACAATCGCAACAATATGCTGGAACTTTGCAACGAGGACAATCTGGAGGAACACTTCAACGAGGACCTGGAGCAGATACTGTTTGGAATCAATATGCATCAATTCAAAAAGAAAAACAACAACAAATGTTGCAAAGAAGAGATAGTGGAGAACATTATGGACGAATTGGTGATCAACCTTATGGAAGTTATGCTAGAATTCCACAAGTTTCAAGAATTCAAGTAACACCACAAGGCGGACAAATTCGATTGAATGGATATGGCGGACTTCAACAAAGTACACTTCAACGACAAGATTTTGGTAGTCAACCAAGTGCAGCTGGACAAAGTATCAATTCGATTCGACAATCGCCATTGTTATCGGAAAGATCTTCGGTGGTCAATGTTCCACCACCACAACCAGTTATTGGAAGGTAATAATTAGAAAAAAAATCACAAAAAGAATAACCCACAATATCAACCACTCATATTCTAGAGAACAATCACCATACCAACGCTCTGCTGTCAAACTTTCTTCATTCGCCGAATCTAACAAAGGTAGTGGTGGAATCTATGGAACAACAGGAATCTCATCATCAACTCAATCTGTTCAATGGGGAGGAACTGCACAACGAGTAGCACCAGGTCAACCAGGACAACTTTTGTGGAACAATACTAATGGACAAAGTTCTCAAAATAAGGTGACTTTTAATATTTGATTTTTGTTGATGTGATTGTGGTTTTTTCTGTTGTATTCTTTCTAACTAACAAATTGTAATTGCAGTCTTCTTTAACATCTACCACAACTTCTTCACAAAATGATGAGCAATGTTTCACACCAACTTCAACGCTTACATCGCATGGAAGTAATTACACACCAACACCAGGATCGCCACAAGGATCAAATCCACTTTATTCACGTTTGAATGGCGCGTCAACTTCATCTAATTTATATGGCGCAATTTCATCAGCAACCAAGGATGTTTCAACAAATTATTCGGATAGAACACTCCAGAAAAACACTTCTGTCAAGCCTGAGACTCCTTCAACCACAACTGTTGTGTCAAGCTTCACTTTAAGACCTAATGGATGCGCTGCTAATAACTCTATTAATCAGAATGATTTTGCAACAAGCATTGTTTAGAATTTATTTTGTATTCTGTCATTTTTTCCAGGAAATATACTAACCCGATGACTTTGAATTGAAATTGAAGAGACTCTCCATGACTATATTACCACACAAAATAACTAAAATTAATCGGTGCTACTTATTTACTCCCTTGAATCTCATCTGTACTTTCTTTACTTTCTCTGAAATTTTTTCATTTTTTTTCATCATTTTTCTCCCCACATTTTTTCTTGTTGAATTCCCGTAAATTTTTAATACGATCGGGTACAATTTATGTTATTTGTTTGTCGAATAAAAATTTACAGTTTTTAGAAAAAAAAATGATAAAGGAACAGAAAAGAAAAATCAGGAGATGATGATAAACAGGCAATTACGAAAAGGAGATGTTGAACAAGGTGCATTGCATTTTTTATTGGGGGCAAAGATTGAGGTTAAAATCTGATATAGTTAACAGTTTCACTGATAAGCTGAGAATTAAAAAAAAACGAGACAAAATTACTTCCTTCTGGAAAATGAAAGAAATAAGTTCTTTGGAATTTTTCAAAATGTCAGAGAAAATCCGATTTACTGATGAGAATTGCTCCAAACTTTTTTTTTAGAAAAAAGCAGAAGATTTTTTAATGATCATTCATGAAGTTATTATTCAGAAACTTTAGTGGGAGTAGACTTTCATTGTGAAGTTCCCATTGATTTCTTGAAACTGAAAGAGCAGATGGTGAGAAATAATTGCTTTTTTCTGAAGAAAAACATTTTTAGACAAGCTAACAAATAAATGGTAATGAAAATATTGCAAAAAATAGTTTATTCATGAAAGTCGTGAAACCATATCTGATTCCAAAATACGTTCATCCAATTTGTTTCTAAATATCAGGCTGATTGAGTGTTTTATTTGAAAATTAATGAAAAAAAACTTGTTTCGAGTTTTGAAATTGGAAGCAATTCATCAAATTTCATTTTTTTTAATATTTTGATAAATCATAAACTAGAACAATCCATGAAATTTTATCAACAAAAAATGATCAAAAAATGAGGTTTCATCATTTAATCATTTTTGGCCAAAGTTCAACAAGTTAACTTTACTGATTACATTAAATTCCTCAAATTGCAATAGTTCTCAACATAGATAAAATTCCATTAATTTCTATAAACATGACATCAAGAATTCGAGAACCGCCTGATTTTTCTACGTTTACAATAAACGTGACAAAGCTCGGAATTGTTTGTCGATGAAATATTTTACTGATTGACTTTCTCTACGCACACGCAATTAAAAAAAACTGATAAAATCAGTTCCTTGATAATTGTATAAAAAGCCGTTTCACTTCATTATCAGAATTTATATTGTCTCGATAATACAAATTTCTTTTTTGATCAGAATAATTTCTGACTTTAGTTATGAAATATACAAATTGTACTTTTTCAGTAACCAACCATGAAAACTACCTTGGTTCTTTTGGCTCTTGTCGCCGTCGCTGCTTCCGCTGTCATCCCAGCTCAACAATTGAACAGTGCCAACTGTTTGATGTGCGAACTTGTTGTCAAGCTCGCTGAAAACCCAGCTGATCGTGAAGCTCACATCATTGAACAAAAATTCGACGCTGAATGCAAAAAAGTTATCCCAATTCCATTTGTTGAGAAGAGATGTGAAGCTTACGGAAACTCCAAGATTGACGTTATCATCAATGTAAGTCTGGCTGGTTCGGAGAAGTTGAACTAGATTATTAATGTATTGTTTTCAGGAACTCGAAGGAGGTACCGCCCCAGAAGACGTCTGCACCAAGCTCAAGGAATGTTAATTTTTCAATTGTTTTATTATTTTAATGAAGATTTTGTATTGCTAGTTTTTATTGTTCCAGAGAAGTTTTATAGCTAGGCTACAATGAACTTTGATTCTATTTAATTTCAAAACCCGAACATTTTACTGAAAATCATATCTGACAATCCCAACTGATCTACGTATAACTGTATTTATTTTTCTAACATCAGTTTTCTCTCACATCTTGTGACAAGGTTTTAAAATCTAAACATTTTTTTTCTAAAAATAAATCATAACCATCTCAAAACATTATTGTGTAAATACCAATCAACAAAGATGTTTTTTATTTTCTCAAACCAATTCTTTTTTTTAGCTGTTTGAGTTTTTATAGACAAACCCTTATTTTTATGATTCAAAACACCTATTGTTTTTGAAAAATCAACCGACATTTTTATGATTTACTCGTAAAAAAGTTAGTGTAACTAACAAAGAATATCAAAGATACTGCCTCTCAATTTTATGTTCTCATAACACAAAAAATGTTACTTTCTATCACAAAAACCTTTTTTTATTCATGTTCAAGAAAAAAAGCAAACTTGTATGAAAAATAAGCATAAAGACGACCTTATTGGCATAGAGCCAATATTTGCATAAGCGCTAGACGCAGAGGTAGGTAGAACACCTATGTTTTATTTTTATTTCTTGTTTATTATTCCCCCCTGTTCCAAATTTTTATTTTATTTCTTTTTATTTTATCTTTACTATTTTATAAATTGAAAAAGAGTAGAAAAGAATAGAAGAAAATCAAATGAAACGTATAAAATTTATATAATAATGATGGTCAGCTGTGATTCTCGGATGCATTTTATTTATCAATCAATTTTCATCTTCTCTTCTTTTTCTCACACATTTTCGATTCAAACTCCGGAAAAAGTTGAGCTTTTACTATTTTTCTCTGCAAATTTACTCTTCTTTTGATTTAAAAAAATTGATTGTTTGCAAATCATTTAGTGTACAATGACTCATCAATAATATGCTTCATACCCTTTTTTCACATTTTTTTGCACCATTTATTTTGTGACACAATGGTGAAAGTGTTGTATTTCTTCTTCCCTCCTGACCAATGTCATTATTTCATTTCCATGAGGTATTTCAAATTTTGGTTCAATAAATAATGTGCTCTACTTATTGAAAATAAAAAAAACTATGGATTTTCAGACCAAAAATGGCTGTTGAACGAGATGGTGGAGGTTGTTTAAGAGTAACTGTATCGATTTTCTCAATTTATTATTGGGCATCGGCGTTGGCGCATGTGTTTTTAGGATTGTGGATGTTGTTGGATCCGAAGAGAAATTATATTTTGGATTTGGTGCATTTTTCGGAGAATGACCCATTGTTGGTAAGTATTTTTGGGCAGATTCTCGAATAGAAAGCTATAACTTCTGTTAAAAACTATTTTCTATGATAATATTATTCATTGTCAGAAGGATTATGCTTTTCTACAGATAATTCAGAAAAAAAGTTCATTTGAAACCTTTACAAAGTATTTGAAATTAGAAAAACTCTAATTGTTCAGTTTCAATGAGAAAAAATGTTCTACACAATTTTCGAAACATTTATTGTCATAAAGTTGTAAGAATGTTAAAAATCAAGCGCTTATCAAATAACATAGTTAATTTTCTTGTGCAAACAAACTTCGAAACTTGGGAATTTCGCTTTAAAAAATTTTGAAAATGTATAATTATTTCAACTTCAAGGGACCGAAATTCAAAAAAGTTTCTGTAATGTAGTCATCAAAGAAAAATAACAAAGATTCTTACTTTTCAGAAAGCCTCCGCATATGTATCTCTTGCCACGGGTAGCGCAATGCTTCTAGTCGGCTTTATCGGTCTCTGTGGAGCTGTGAATCGAAACAAGTTCCTTCTTTTTATGGTAAATTTTGAATTAACCAAGCCTTTATTCTTCTAATTTTTTCAGTTTTCCATATTCCTGGTTTTAACATTTCTGGCTGACGTAGCAATGGGAACTCTTTCACTTTTTTACAAGGATAAGGTATTTTTAAAAACAAATTTTTCATGTGTCTGTAACCAAATGTTTGTAGTTTTCTAACAATTATATGGAAACATATTTGTCTAATATGACTCATAATCGATATTCGCGTGATCGTTGGGTTGAGCCTATTTTGGACACAATTCAGTTTTATGTGAGTGGTTTTTATTAAAGAGTTTGAAGAGTGAAAATTGTCCATTTGTCCAGTCCGGTTGAGAGTGATATTTAAATAGTTAAGGAGTCTCGAAAATATTATTCAGATTTATTCAACAAAAGAAAATCTTCGAGAAATTGTGAAAACGAAATATGGCGTAATGTTAGAAGTTGAGGAAAATCGGCAGGCTACTGACTTTATTGATAAACTTCAATTTTATGTAAGCTGAATTTAGAAGTGGAACTTTTTTGAAACTAGTTGGAAATTTAATGAAATTTCGAAGAACCTTCAAAGTCTGAGAATTTCAATGAATTTTTCAATTAGTGATTGAAAAGTTCTTTTTTGATTCCAAAGTTTTGTTAACTTTCTCCAAAATTTAATATCTAGGAGAATTGCTGTGGCTCATTAGGCCCCAGTGATTTCATCGGAAGTCAATGGTCCTCTTCAGTTAGCCTAGAAGCCTTTGATGCCGAGCCGCCACTTTTCCCAGTGTCATGTTGTACCCAAATCTCGGGTGCTTCAGCTCTTAACCTCCTGGCAAAAAGTTATTCAAGGTGCCAACAAATCGGAGCACATCTTCAATGGAGACATGCAACTGTGAGTTGTTGACACGAGTGATTGATGAGTTTTTGCTTTTTTCTACTGAATCTCATAGTGTTTGTGTTGTGTGTGAAGATAATTAATTAATTTTTATCTCTTTTTTTTTTCTCTGCAACTGACTAGACTGGACAAATGGACAATTGAAAAACTAAAAGTCAGAAAAACTGAAAACAAAATGTTTTAGCAACAATGTTGTGGTGGAAAAGGTCCATTGGACTACAAAGATTCATTTTGGTATATCACCAACACAATTCGAGGAACACGATCTTTCGTTCCGCCATCTTGTTGTAAACAAGCGCAGGTTGGAAGAGCTTGGGCTCCAATGCCGATTGATCCAATGTGCATCACGTATGGATATTTTTCACCAGCTTTCAAAACATCGGTTAATACTGAAGTGAGTGTGTTACTACCCAGGTTTGGTGTGCAGTTTGAAGTGAAAAAAGGGTGACAGAAAAAAACAAAGGGTTTTGGCTGATACTTTCAATGTATCACAAAGATGTTTTTTTTTCGAAATTCTAGAATAAATCTAGATTCAGATTTGAAAAATAAATTCAAAAACCTCAATTTTGTCACTCTTCCCTTTTGATTTTTCTCTATTATTTTTTTTATTTTCAATTCTTTCCCAAAAAATTTGTTTTCAGGGATGCCATGAAAAATTACAAGCTTGGTTCAATGAACAAATATGGATTTTTGTTGGTTTTGGATTTGGATCTGCTCTCACTATGGTCTGTTAACTTTTTCTATGTTCTTATCATTTTATCAAAATCATAATTTCAGATGCTTGGAATTTGCCTTACCTGCTGTTTGATCTCAAAAATTCGTACCTACTTCTACATCAAAGATGATGATTATTAATAAGCTCAATGTTAAAAAATTACCTCCAAACCAGGGTCATACGTTTTTCATCTCGCATTATAGTTTTCCATATTTGTTGAATTTCTTGCCTTTCCTGATTGATTTTTTTTAGTTATCAATGCTCATTTCTGAAAAATAATAATAAATTAATAATAAATAAAATTCGAGTTCATTTCGCGACTTATACAAAGCATAGGAAGTGTCAAGTGAAATCTATGCTCTTCAGAATCAAACAAAATAAAATTAAAATTAAAAATTGTGAATATACAAGTACGTTTTTATTTATTTTAGAATTTCCAGGCGGGTCGGGGTTTGTCAGCCGAAGTAGAAGATGTTGACGATTCTTTGGCCTTGTTTCGGCTGAAAAGTGGGCGAGATGGAGAACTTCGCTCCATTCGTTTTTCAGCATCAGATGGTGATAGCAGATTTCTGCAAGAAAAATGATAAAAGGTATGAAATGCTTAATTTCAGATTTCATACCTGCTAGAAGTTGAGGGAGTTGTTTCCAAGTTTGGAGATTTCGATTTTGCTGGACTTCGATCGCGTAATCTTGTCAACAAAGATGGTGATTTTGCTCTTGATGGTGATTTTTCACGATCTTTTGCAGCCTCCTTGGCTGCTTTTTTCTCTGCTTCTTTTTTCTTGGATCGTTCGCTGGCTTCTTCACGTTTGTCTTTCATTTGACTGACAAAATTTTGGAATACGCCGTGGGATGTGAGACTCTAAAATTAAAGAGTTTTAGAGGTGAATAATAAGATGAACTAAAAAACATGATAATTTTTCATATCATTTGTTGTTAAAAAATTTCTCAAACAACTCACCGATCGTTTTCTAGTTTGATTTTCTGGAATCGGTTCATCAGCAAGTTTTTCTTGAAGTTGTTGAATGAGCTCATTTTTTCTCTCCAGAGCATTTTCCAACTCATCAATTCGGTCTTTCAATTCTTCATCTTCAAATTCTTGCCGAGCATTATTTTCCAACTCTTCTTCTAACTTCTGAATCTTTTGATCTTTGAGATCCATTGTCTCTGTCATTTCAAGAATTGTCGATTCCTTTTCTTTAATTTGTTCTTGGATGGAATTATCAAACAAAACAACAGTAGTTTCCTCGTTGAGTTGTTGGGTCTGTAATAAAAAACATTCATATTTTCAAAATTGAATATTGAAATGACTCACAAGCTCTTCGAGTTTTTCTTTCATCTCGATAAGATCGTCTTCTTTATTTTTCAGATCATTTTCAAGATTTTCGATAAGTTGAGATTTTTCAATGACAGCAGTTTCTTTGGCTCGCAAAATCTCTTCAAAGTGTTTCCTATCTGATTCTTGTTCTTCCAAAATTGTGGCCAATTTCACTTCAGCTTCTGATTTATTAGTCTCTGATTGTGAATTTTTAGCGGTAATCTGTTTGATTTCCTTATTTTTCTTATCTAATTGTTGTTTGATATTTCCAACTTGCTCCAACATTTCATTAACTTTTATGTGAAGTTTTTCCAATTGATCAGTTTTAGCTGAATTATCATTTTCTAATTTCGCAATAGTTTCCTCAAGGTCGAATTTTTTGGAACTTTCAGCGGTGACAAGTTCACTTATTTTGTTTTCGAGTTCTTCAATTCGGATGTTTTTGGCATCGAGTTCACTTTGAAGTTTTTCAGTGTTATTGGTATCCTGAAAAAATTAATTTGAAGAACGAAAACATTCATCTGTTTTACAGGTCCCTTTGCCTTATTTGACATTTGAAAAACAACTTACACTTGTTGCATTTTCCAATTTCTCGAGTAGAATCTTATTCTGATCTTCAAGATCCTTAACCTTTTGCAATCTTTCATTACTGATATCTTTCTCATGATTGAACTCTCTTTTCATTTCATCAATTTCATCGCGAATTTCTTTGAGTTTCGCTTCATTTTCCTCATCCTTCTCTATACTATCTTTCAAAGCGGCTTCTTTCATCAATTTGTTCCTATTTTCAGTGCTCAACATTTCTTGCTCCAATTGTTTTCGTAAGCTACTAATCTCCGCATCTTTTCCACAAATTCTTTCACGATATTCCTCCAATGTTCGAGTCAAATGTGAAGTATCCTCCACAATTTTGGCGAGTTGTTCAGTCATTTCATCCTGCTCTTCATCTTCAATTTTTTGAGTTAGAACTCGAATTTCAGCGGCAAGAATGGATTTTTCAGTTCGCAATGCCTGAATCTCAATCTGTGTGGATTCTCGAAGCTCATCCTTATCTAATCGTGCAGATTCTTCCAATTCCTCCTTCAAAGATGTGTATTGTTCTTCAAGTTCATTCAATTTACTGCTAAACTCTTTTTTCATAGCATGTTCTCTTGCTTCAGCTTGTTGTCTTTCTTTGAGCAACAAGCTTTCATAATGTTCTTTTGTGCTTTCTTTCTCTTTTGTAACACTATCAAGAACCGCTTCAAGAGCATTAACTTGTGAACTTTGGAGTTGGGTTTGACTTTCACTTTGACTTTGGAGGTTGTCTCTTTCTTTTTCAAGGAATTCCACTTTGTTTTTCAAGGCTCGGACTTCAATTTGGAGATCCGAAATGACAGATTCAAGTTTTTCCTTGGCAGCTTCAACAACATTCAGAAGTCCTGAAAATTGTTTATTTTTTAAAGATCTAATCAATATGTTGAATCAAAAACAGAAACCTAACAAACAAATTCTCACTATATAAACTCACGTGTTTTCCTATTCAACTCTTCTTCTTGTTCTCTGAATTTCTGTTTACACTCTGAAAATTCAGCTGTAACCGCGCTGAGCCTTCTGATACTATCATTTGTTTCAGTTCGAGCTTCATCCAACTCTTTTGTTATTGCTTGCACTTCTTTTTCCTTATTTTGCAATTTCTTTTCAAGAGCTGTCACTTCATTTTTACAGGAAACCAATTCTTCTCTTGATCGTTTGGATTGCAATTGTAATTCCTGTAGGCGGTCGTGAAATTCGTCCTGTCTGAAATGCTTTTAGATTCTTTATTGATAAAAATTGATTCGAAAAAAACATATATAAATTGAAGTTTTGCTCGTTTATTTCACAAAAAATCCACTTTATTTATGATTTCCTACTATTACAACGAGAAGGCCAGCAGAAAATATTTGATTCTCGCCACATTTTCTATCAAAAATAGAACATTTATCAGATTACTGGTCGTATGAAGTGGTTCAAAAATTGGGAAAATTTGACCCACTCTGCCTGCTACCAGTAAACTGATCTATGTTTATAGTTTTTTTTCTGAATTGAGGTAAGAACGTTTCAAAATGAAAGATGAATAGAATAAAAAGGTTTTAAAATTAGATATGCAAAAACACTTATTCCTACACTTTTTAAAAATTCTGTAATTCTGTTCATCTTGAAAATGTATTTCATGATCTACATAATGAACAAGTTTACCACGTCGTTCGTTATTTTTTGCCCCTACATGTTTTCTTTAATAGGTTGTAAACCATCCTTATCAGTACTCGCACTATCATAATCAGAGTCTACATTAATTCATTCACAGTCTACTGCCCCTATTGTTCAAATATTTCTTATTATTATTTCCTACCAATATTCAGTTTTTTGTTACATTGGTTGAGGCTGTTGAGATCTAAAACTGGAATTATTTGAACTCACCAGCCTTCTACTAATGTAGCAAAACGTTCTGAGAATTTTTTCACCCACCTGGCTAACAATTCTTCTTTCAACGCTTCTTCGTGATCTCGCAATGCTTCCAATTCCTTGGTATATAGCATTTTTGCAGCAGTCAATTCAGTTTCATATAGAGATTGAGCTCGTCGGAGTTTCATTTCAAAAGTTTCACCAAGTCGCTCCTTTTCAGCGCGGAGAGATTTTCGTTCTTCTTCGAGACGTTGGATTTCGAGAATGTATCTGTAACAAAAATGATAAACCTTAAAATTAATTTGTGTTGGGTCATTCAAAATGACCACTCACTTTTGCTCCAGATTCAGAAGTTGGGTATCGCTGAATCGCTGCTCCAAAACTTGAATCTCTTTCTGATGTTCTTTTCTCAATTTTTCGAGAGCTTGCTCTTTTTCACGTTCAAATTTATCTTGAAGAGCTTGAAAACTTTTCATCCGTGCTTCAAAATCTTTCTTTGCTCCCAAAACTTCCTCTGATAGCGCAATAATTTTGCCCGAATATTCAGCCTCAAGTTTTCTTTCACGTTCAGCAACCCGTTCTCGATATTCGCTGAAAGTCCCCATAACATTATATTTTTGTCGTTCGTATTCGGCTACTGTATCTTCAAGAGTTTGTATTTTTCGTTTGAGTTCTGTTTCACGTCCAGCTGGTTGAGCAGACACCAAAATATCAGCACAATTTGTTAATAAATTTGATTCGAGGTTCATTCTAGAATTATGTCGAGAAACATTATTTTCTCTTGTGCTCGCGGCAAATTTCAGAACTGATAATAAACTTGAAGAATTATCCAATTCATATCTAGAACTTGCTGGTGAATGTTGACTACTTGGTGAAATTGGTGAAGGTGAGACTTGTGGAGGTGGTTGGTGTCGAACTGCTAAAGTTGGAGAAGGTGGAGTTGGACCGACTGTTGGTGTCCGAACATTTCCAGATAATTGATGTGCTGGGGGTGGGGCTGGCCACGCAGCAATTTCTGGATGTGATTGACGGATAAGTGGACGAGTTATACCGATTGCTGGCTCGCTGAAAATAAAAATATTGAGTTGAAACGTTTTAGGAATTTTTTATAAAGGAAAGAACAGGATATTCCGAAACGTTAAAAAAATCTGACCGGATTGTTCTTTTACACATCGGTCATTACTAATTCAAAACGGTAAAAACCGGAAAACAAAAAGAAACATAGAGAAATGAGATTTGTTTTCCAAACATGTTGAATAAAAATTGTCTGTGGAGCGCGTTTTCTCGCCTCGCCTTTATTTACAAAAAATGTTTTTTGTCAGGATAATAAATAATTCCTTGATGTGAGGAAAAAATTATTTAAAATAGTAATAGAACATTTCGAAATCCTGAACAATTTTTTTGAGATAGAACAAAAAATTGATTAATTAGTTCTGGAATTGCAGTAATGTTTCGTATTTTTTTTTCTTATGAAATTCCAGAGATATTTTGCAAGAACAAGTGTTGTTTTTTTCTTGCAAGATTTATGAGTCAGTTCTTATTTAAAACTAATAGATATCAAAACACATCTTTTCAAGTCGAATAAAAATTAGGAGAAAACTGTAAAATGAAATTTTTTTTTTCTAGAAATATAAAGTATTCGAAAACCCTTAATAATTCCAAAAATTCAAATTTTCTCATTCTCATCAAAAAAGGCTAACTCACTTTGCACTAGTGGAACTCGTTGAACCATGCGGTCTTGGTGATCGGCTCATCCTGCGTGGTGATCGACTTCCACTCGGCGACACCGATCGCAACTTTCCATCGAGTTCTTCGGATAAAATACCCAGCTAAACCACAAAAGTTGTATTTTTATTTATTTTTTTGATAAATATTCAAACTTACTCTTTCTCTGAATCGTTCAGACATTTGATGCGGCACAAACGGCCCGAAAAAAGACAATTTTCAATGAAAAAGTATCAGTCGATTTTTGATAAATCTGAAAAAAAAACGTAAAGCGGTGGGTAAGAAAAAAAGTCGAATCGTATAAAATCGGAAAAGTAGAGGCCATCGGGATAAGCGGGAATAAATGAGCAACTGTTATGCGGTGCTCTGAGCAGTTGCTCTCATATACATATGATGATGATAAAAATGAAAAGAGAAAAGACAAAGATTTCGTGGAGAAAAAAGAATGAGGAAGAAAATTGATACAACAAAACTACTATGTACTATTATTACTACTCAAATTCTTTTTGCTTTTTTTTGAAGACAAAAAGATTCGAGATAAACTGATATAATAAATAAAAAGTAACAAGACATCTGGTACCAAAAAATTACTTTTTCTTTGGTGGAACACAAAGTGTGTTTTAGTTGATGACGCAATCAATTGAGTTATTTTTAGCAGATAACAACACGACTTGTCTACAACAAGGTGTCTAGTTTTATGAGATCAGGAGGAACACTTTTTAATGAGTTCAAAAGAATTTTGATGAGCACCTGGAATGAGGAGAATCTCTTGGGAAATGAAAAATGGAAAAATATGGAAAATTATACATTGAAAAAAATTGTGCTAGAATAAAAAGAAATATTACAGGTTGGCATATGAATGGTACACAGTAACATAAATTTGGATATTAATCTGAGAATGATAGACTAAAATCATATCAATTACTGAACAGTAATAATGAGCCACTTTCACTTATTTCGAACGTAAATAAAGGTTTTTGGATGTTCTACTACAGTGGTTAGAAATATCTATTCCAAATCCAAGCATCAAAAAGTTTTGAATACTGCTCAAAATGGAAAAAATCAACAGAGATAATGTTCTTAAAATTTAGCTTTTTTAAATTTAAATTTTTATGCCTACTATCTCACAACTTCAAAAAATGTTTTTTTCTACAATATTTCTACAATGCTTGATAAACTTCACAGAAAAAAACTAATATACAGTAATTTTAACCAAACAACTTTTTAAAAATTTATAGAATGTATTCTTTTTTTCCAGTCAAGGTTAATTCGGAAAAAAATGAAACTATACAATAAATGTACAATAATTCTCAATGAAACTCATTGAATAAGCTCCTAATTTATTGATAGTTTCAAAAGAGTCCGAAAAAACGTCGATCAACAGACTTTAAAAAAAATGCTCCCGGTGAGGCTCGAACTCACGACCTTCAGATTATGAGACTGACGCGCTGCCTACTGCGCTACGGAAGCCACGAATATGCAGTTAGCAATTTTGGTGAAAAGATAGGAGAAAAGTTCTCAAAAAAAAAAAACAAAGTTCACAAATCACAAAAATTGTGCCTTTTTCGTGTATGTTTTTTTTACAATAAATCATTTTTTTCTTTTTTTATGTTTTTATATTTTTTGTAATTCGAAAGTGTTGGACATTTTTTATTTGACACATTTTCTAAAATGAATTGTGTCATAAAATATTTTATTTTTTAACTGAAACATCTTGCTATGATATTTTTTGAAAATATGTATATATTTTGTATTTTCAGGGTACAATGCCAAATGAGTTAGAAAACGGAATGGAGCAAGTCGAGAATGATGAAAATGTATGTTTTTTGAGTGAATAGATTCAGAGATTTCCAAAAAATTGAATTTTTCAGCTGATCGATCGGAATGGATCAGCAAGAACCAATGGGATTGATGTAAGTCTCTCACTTCCTAGACTGTTTCTTGATAGACCTGAAAATTAACTAGAGAAAAATGATGAAAAAAAGTAGGTTGCAATTTTTCAGGATCAGAATGATCCAACTAATGAGCCTGGAGACAATGGGAACGATTTTTCTCAAGCCAATCGCCCCGACGTAAGTTTTGAGAGATGAAACAAATAGACACAAAACATAATTTTTCAGTTTGGGAGAGTTGCATCCTATTTTGTGATTAGAAGAAGCCGCGGAGGATTCACAATGAGTATTATTGGAGACTTGACAGGAAGACCCACAACACATGACTCTGAAAACGAATCAGATCTCTTCAGAGTCCCTTTCACATTTGTCTTCCCATCAGAAAGACAACCTTTCCAACGAATCAATAGAATTGACAAGTCAAAGAAAACAAGATCACCAGAAAAATTGGAAGAACCACAACACCTCCAAAAAGGTCAAAAACGACGTGTCATTACGTTGACTCAAAGAAGACAAAAGAAATAATACATGTTTTATTCCAAAAGTTATGTGTGATGAGTTGTGCTTGGTGCTCCTGTGAAACCGTTTTTATATATATGAATCATATTTTTTGTCTAGGAAAATTCCTGTGTTGTTGATGTTTTCAGGTTACTGTTGAGTTTTCAACCAAAAAATTAAAAAATTTATCTGGTAACAAAAAAGCCTAACGCATCAGTATTTTTCGTTATTGAAAAAAAAGTAAAATTGAAAAAAAAAATTACAAAAAGAAAAAAAACAACGACACTCCGCTTGCGTACCGGTTGCCTGTGTGTTAGTTTATTTATTTTTTGGTTGCATTTTTCATTTTTCTTTTCTTTTAATGGGGATATTTTGGCGTATGTTCATTGAAATATTCTACATGTTTTTTGCGGAGTTGTGAAAAATGAATTTTTGAAAATTAACGGGGCTGGTTCACGTCCCTGTTTCATTTTTCTTGCACACTGGCCAAGCCTAGACCTCAAAATAGGCTTTGGGATTTTCCCTTGCTATAGATTTATATAATGATTTGAACTCATGCCACATATAATGTTTTTTTTTGTTTTTTGCCTTTTCCCAACCAAACCAATCTTTTTTTTGTAATGTTTTTTTTTTGTGTTTCGAAAGTTTTTCTATCGGACACATTTTGTATATTTTGATAAAAATATTTACGACTTTGGCTAAAATATGAGCAATCGTGTGGTGAGTTTTAAAAATGTCTTTTCTGAAAATTATTCCAAAGTTTTTAGCAAATTGTGTTGGATGCATCAATGAGAGAAATGGTGAACGTTGCGAATGATGAAAATGTGAGTTTATTATCCGAAATTACAACTTTTGAAAATGTTTTTCAGGTTCCGCCCAATAGTCTTTCTAGATTTAGAAATGTTTCACCAATTGAAAACTTCGAGGCAAACGTGAACGGACGTGAACATCTTTTTGAACTTGTAAGTTTTTCTTATCTTTTTATTTTTCAAACAAAAAGTTCTAATTTAGGGCGCTTTGTTTTACCGTTCATATGAAAATGCAAATAATATTTTTTTTTCAGCTGAGAAGAACTGCGGGTCGGATTCGTGAAGGATATATCACCTACGAAACTTCTCCCAATCAAATCAGAGAATCACGACCAAGAGTAGGGAGACCCATTGAAAGAATCAGAAGAAGAAGACAAAGAAGAAGACGTCAAGTTCAAAACAATTCCAATTCAATTAGAATACCATTTCTTGTTCGTGCTCCACTCAGACAACCCTTGAGTGAAATCAACAAAAATACTAATGTTGAGCCGAGAAAAGAGGAATCTTCAGAAAAACTAGAAGAACCACAATCCACCACTCATAAAAAACAAAAACGACGTGTCATTTCATTGGTTCAAAGACGACAAAATAAGTAATGTTTTAAATGACTTATTTTAGTATTAGGTGGTCCTTATTTTATTCCTTATTTTATGTTCGAATTTGTTTTAGTAATTCATTTCCTTATACATCATACAATTTTTAATTTTTTTTTGGTTTTCTTGTTGTAGATTTGGCTCAATAATCGATATGATATTTTTTTACTAGTTACTGAATTCGAATTTTTAATTGTTATAAACGTTTTGTTAATTCTGTTATAGTTTATGATATATGTTTTGAAACATTATAAGGGTCTTTCGCACTTCTATCCTATTTCTTAACCTCAGCGGCTCTGTGCAAAAACGTTTAGCCGCAAGTTGAAGTTTTAACAAAACAAAATTAATATATGCTCTTGATGGGAATCATCCTCACATTCTGCATTTTTAAGACAATCTGCCCGTTGCAAGACAGAAGAACATTTCTTATACAATTTTCACATAAAAATGCAAAATTTTTAAAATTTGCCAATATGTATTCGTACTTTCCTCAAAAACTGTGCGCATTTTACCACGTGTTCTCTTTTTTTATCCACATGTTTATTATATAAAACATTTTTCACTTCCTTTAATTTCGAGCTGTTTTTTGTATTTCTTTCGTTCTTCCGTCAAAACAATCATTTTGTTTCGTTTTTGTAATGTTTTTCGTCTTTCGGAAATCTTTTTCATCTATTGGAAAAGTTTTTTCAAAAAAAAACATTCTGATAACACTAAAACTTTGTTAAATTGTTTATGAAATGGAAATCACAGATAAAATAATTAAATGTTTTCAGAAATGCCTTCAAGTGATGCCGAAAATCGTATTACTAATGGACGAGATGAGCATTCTTCAGTAGCTGGAACGATTTCGTCTATTGATGACGGAAACGACAGTGATGACGAATATTTTGAGTTGTTTCAAATTGTGAGTTTGGGATCAACTGGGCCCGGAATGAAAATTATCCTGTCATATACCTAAACAGGTCGACGAAACTGTTCCAATAGGTTAACGGTTTTTGGTCTTTCTCTGTTTCGCACCCATTTAAGTAGTTTGGTCTTTATTGGGTCGACGTGATATTTAGAAAAAAATTACATTAAAAATATATGAATATCAGTGAAGGTGATTCTTTAATTAAGTGACGATTGTCCAACGATCTAGAAAATGTATAATATTTTCTCACTACAGAAACATACATTCCCAATTTCAGCTTGCCGCCGCCCCAATCAACAGAAGTTCTCTTCACACATCACAACAACTTGGCCAGGCGACTACACAACTCAATTCTTCGCCGTTAGCGAGCCAGGTTAGTTTTTTTTGCTTTTGAAACCTTTTCAAAACGTTTTAATATTTTTTCGTCTCTCACAAAATGTTCTTATGAATAGAAACATTTTAAAACATTTCAAAACATAATTTAAATAAGGATCAACATTTTTTAAAACATTTTTTTAGAGAAACCCACCATCTCAATATGCCAGAGAAATCGCAAGCATTGGTCTGTCAAACCATTCTACAAATGCTTCTGGCAGAACACAGGCTTCTTACCATCGATGTCGCGCCCTCAAGGAACACAACAAAATGCGTCATTTCAATCCGAAAAAAAAGAACTTGTTGTCTCAACTTCAAGATTCAAACGTCGTTTCGCAAACTCAAAAACGCCGACGCATTTCATTGATTGAAAGAAGATCTAACAATAAATAACACGTTTTATTATATTTGATGATTTTAATTGTGATCTACATATTTATATTTATCGATCTTTTTTTGATATATAAATCAATTTTTTGCTCATAGAAGTTTTTTTCAAATCTTTTTGCGGTCACATTCAGCTAATATATTTTTAAACTACAGTGTTTTTTTGATATAAATGTAAACAGAATATTAACAAAAATTTTCATTTTTCATTGAAAGTTAAATAAAAATAAAAAAAAAATGCTCCCGGTGAGGCTCGAACTCACGACCTTCAGATTATGAGACTGACGCGCTGCCTACTGCGCTACGGAAGCCACGAAGCAACTACTCTGTCTTTTCCAATACCTGTGAGATAACAGAAACAGACAAATCTTTTGATACTTTGTGCAAAATGTTTTCTGCGTTGAAAATAAGTATACATTTTTTTCGAATATTTTTTCTTTAAGTTTTCTTTCTATGAATGTTAAAATAAGTTTCCCATAAGTATTTTTCGGCACGAACCAATTTTCCCAGATATGCGAATTTATGAAAAAAAATTTAGCACTTCTTGAACACCTGTTATTTTATGGGCGTGTCTTCGTTACTGTTTTTGTTGTACATAGGTATAGGTGCGAAATGTTATTTTTATTTTCCATTAATCTCGTTGTTCTCTATCTGAGTTCTATTTTCACAATAGAAATGTGTTTTCTTTTTTATTTTTCGCTTATTGAATCGATAGGCTTGATTTAATTTGAAGTTCATCACGATCACGAAGTTGTTCAGCTGAATTTAAGGGATTTTTTCTTTTCGGTTAATAATTCGAAAATTCACAATAGTATTTTATTTATGAAATGAAACTTTTTTTCGATGTTCAAATTCCACACATATTTTGAGAAAAACTAGATCTTTGTTGCTTATATTAGTATATCACAGTGATAATTTTCTGATTTATTACTTTTTGAAATGTTTTTCAAATTTATTGAGTTTACAATTAGTCATTTTTAAAAAATCATTTTTTTCTTCCCACAACCGGGAACATTCCCAAAAGTCCGCGTGTTTTCTTCTAATTTTTAACACCTCCCCATGTTATTTTCTGTTGTTTGTTTATTCTATGGGCGTGGCTTACTTTTTGTGGTGTTGTTGTGTTTGTTGCTCATTCACATTTATTATTTTTATCATTTCAATGTCTTCTGTTCCTGTCTTCTTTCGTTATTCTTAAGTCTGGAAATATTTCTTTTTTTTTTTACTTATGTTAACTATAATATTTTTTACAGATTAGATTATAATCAACAACCTAGTAAAATGGAACAATCCAAAGTTTTGTTGCCAGCTTTCGAACAATCTTCTTTGTCAGTCTCTAATGTATCAACAACAATGACCCCAACTATTTCCACAAATGATCTACAAACCGATGAATCAAAATCACCAGAAGTTCCAACTGATATGTCAAAGTTATGGGAACAGGAAAATCGGAAAAATGGGACTGTGGTAGTTATCATTCCAGAGGTGAGTTTTTTTAGGAGAAAAAGAAGGGCTTTCAATCCGAATTTTATCGATCAAAGCACATTGTAAATTTTATTTTTCAGAGACCAGAGCCATTTTCTCCACCATCAGCCGACCGAATTTTAGCAAATCCAAACGCCGTCAAAATTCAGAATAAAATCAAAAGTTTTTATGGAAAGAGACAATCTGCGAAGCGATTTGATTTGGCACATCTTCTTGAATAGGAATCACAAGTGTTCTTGTATTTTTTGTTTCATTTTTATTTATAAGTGATTTCACATTAATAAAAGAAATTAAATAACCCAAGTTTTGATTTTCGAAATTTCAGATAAAGTTTTGAATTCAAGATTGAAGAAACTAGGAAAAAAGAAGGCAAACATGTGCCTGTCTACACGAAAATAATTGAGACCACCCATAAAAAAATAATTGATAGCTTGAACCACCCAATTAGTTAACTTCGACTTCTGAGTTTGCGATTGCGACAACCTTACTTTTATTCCTTTTACTTTTGTGAAATCTTGAATTCATTCAGATTTTCGAAAAATTTTGCGGTGTGTCTGGACCACCCACACGATTAGAATTTTGCTGTAGGTGGTCTAATTTTAAAACCTGTAGTCTTATGACTTTTATCCTCAAAAAAAAGTTCAAACACAAACACAAATATGTCAAATTTTTTCTTTCATTGCGAATCAATCAAATATTTGACCGATTTTAGGTTTCAATGTTTTATTTCATAAATATCATTTTCAAGTATATTACAAATTTGTTTTTGTTTTTGTTCATTGCTTCTTACCACCCTCAATTATGAATAAAACATGGTTTTGCACTAGGTAAATGCGTCGAAGTGTTGGCTCGCATATTCGAACAAACCGACAAAAGCTGTCACTTTTACACAATGCTTTGGATGATCAACGGATTGCACCTTCGTTGAGGTAATAATAGTAATGAATTATGAATAATTTTTTTTGTGCTTGTTACCTTTGAAAGAAAAAACCTCGTCAAAAATTATAGTATTTTAATGAGAAAAAAATATATATAAAACACGATTTTTTTATGTAGAAGAAAACACAATTCTTCATGAAAAACTACAAAAAATATATGACACATAATAGAGAAAATACAATTTTTGCAGATCAGACCATGTGCGTACAATCCTACAGAATCGCCGACAAACATTGTCAAAAGTACCCGAGTTCACTCTTATCGTTGATAGACCGCCATCAAATAGACAACAACAACAAGTGAGGTGTGTCGTTTTTTTCTATCTATCTTTTATTGGTAAAAAGAGATGTGTTCCCTCGTGGCTTCCGTAGTGCAGTAGGCAGCGCGTCAGTCTCATAATCTGAAGGTCGTGAGTTCGAGCCTCACCGGGAGCATTTTTTTGTTTTTTTTTTGTTTTGGGCAAGTTTTTTTGGAAATGATAAAATGATGAAAAAGGGAAAGTTTCATTATATATTGTTTTTTTTGTTTATTTTTTGAAGCCATAGGCAACAATCTGACAATTGAATATTTTTCTAATGTAAAATTATAACTACTTTTCGGAAGTAATTTTATATGCTTTATCACAAATCAAAGTTCAAATAGAAACAACATTATTTATCCAAATTTTGAGAATTATAAGCTTTTTATGAATCTAAAGCTTCATATTCAAAATCCAAATAGAAAATAAAACAAATATTTTTTTGAACCTTGTTCAAACAGACAATTTAATTTGGTTCCAGATATTTCAACCAAAAAAATGTTGTCATGAAAAATATGAATAAATGTCAATTTTTTCAAGACGACACATTTTCTCTCATCACTCATTTTCGTGTCAAAATTTTTTTCGACAAATAATAACCTTTTCGAACATGTCCGATACCAATTAAAATTCCACCGTCTCCCGCCCAATTTTCGCAACATTTTTTTCTGTTTTCGGACAAGAAATCCGTGAGTGAGTGAGAAATAGAAAAAAATATGATGTCCTTTTTAACTCCTATTTAATCCTCACCTCGCTATGCACACTTTTTTTGTTTTCAAGAAGAAGAAAAAAACGGAAATGTTGATGGGCGGAGTCGATTTTCTGGAAAAACGAGAAAATCTACGTTTATTTTTTGTGTTAACTTTTTTGTCGTGATTTCTTGATTTTTTGTGTTTCTTGAAGAGAATTGAAACAAGAAAAAAACGAATAATTTAGGGAAGCTTGCTAAAAAAAAGTCATTTCATTTCAAACAAACGACGCACATTTTGTTTCAAAAAAGTGTTATGCCCAAAAATGGACACTCAATCTGTGCCGGCTTTTTTAATGCCAAGATCGGTTATAACTTTAACCGTTTCCGATGCTGTTGAACCTTTAAGGTACGTTTTTTCTAGTTTATTCATTTTTCAGTTTTTTTAATTCAAATATTATATGCACTTTAATTTATTAGAATCAAAAATCTGTTTAAAAAAATTGACCATGATTCGCTGTTCTATTTTTTTCCTGAAAAAAATTGCATATGACGCGAGAAAATCGTAAATCCACCCACAACCTTTTTCAAGTAGCGATAGGTTTTTTGTTTTTTTCATACCTAAATTCAACTTTTCGATAAGAGCTCACATACTAAACAAATTGCTTATTATTGTTCAATTTTTCAAATTTTCAGTCTCTGTACTATAATGAAAAATATCCGAACTGAATATTGGGAACAATGCTTTTTTTACTCTATCAAAAAGAGCATAACTTCTTCACTTAAATTCAGAAATAAATTCTAGAGAATAAGAAGTATTTTTTCCTATAAAAAACACTCTGAACTTAACCGAAGAGCAATTTTGTTTTTTGTTCAGATTCTAATAATCTATGTTCTACTTTATTGATTAATTTTTGAATAAATAAAAACTATTCCATCAATTTTCACAATTCCATAGAGTTGTTGTGAGTTCTACTCAAGATCAATATTTTGTAGAGCAAATAAAAAAATATTCAAATGACAATTTACAACCGAAATATTTTAATTTTCACTGTATTATTCTCTTCGAAAATTTAAGTTGAGATATTGCGACCTTCTCTAAACTATACTCCTTCTTAAAATTTCATGAAAATTATTTCGAACAGTTTCGACACATGGCTAAATATTTAAAATCCTAACAGTATCAGCTTTGTTAAATAAAATTTATATTTTCACTAATAAACAAGTTCTAATAACCTTCTCTCAATTTAGAATTGAAAATCTACAGTAATTCTCAAACAATTTTGGTGTACGTGCATTTACAAATTGATTATATATCAAAAATAACTCTTTTTCTTTTGAGATAAAGATTTCAATTGGAACATATACTTTTTTGTTTGGTTTTTTCTTGTTGGATTAATATAAATCTAATCTGATAAAAAAAAGATGTGACCATGATTTTTCTCATTGGACTTAACAGCAGAACGGGGAGGAAAAGCAAAAAACAAATATTAGAGATTTGGGAAATATTGAGTGGTTTTGATAACATTTGGGGGAATTTTTAATGTTTTGCGTAGAATTAGGTAAATCACAAAGTTTTCGATATGCATGTGACTGAAATACACAGTATCTTTCAAAATATTATATCTTATTTTCTCAAAAAATGATTACTGCCCCTCATTTTCTATGTCTCATTTTCAAAATTTGAATTTTTTTATAATTGAAATTTTGAAAATGAAAAATTCGAATATAATTCACATCAACGTGATATTCTGGATATTATTTGAAATAAACAAAACTCATCAAATTTGAATAACTGAAAAAAGGACACCCGGAAATTATTTGATGACGAAAGCAAGCATCTGATAGTTTTTCAGTACAGTGAAGTACTTCCGAGGAAATCAAATACAAAAAGTTGAAAAACTGTGAAACAAAACTTGAAAAAAGTTTGATAATGTCAAAATACTGATGAACAGAAAATATTTTACTCAAGAGAGTTGAGTCACATTCAACACCAAATTTTTTCCAGGCGCCGTTCCTTTCCAAAAGAAGAAAGTCCCCGAAGCGGTCTCAAACCCCTTGACACCCACGGCCTTGATTCTCGTCGAAAATCTTCAACTGCAACTCTAGCTGAAAGACGTCGAGAGGAACAAAGGTTAGTTTTCCTGCATTTTTTTCGAATATAGAATAAGTCACATCAATGTTCATAATAATTGAAAATGACAACGTCATCTAGCAAAAAAACATACACACTCAAAATTGCATTATATTCTGATGATCTAGTCACTATAAATAGTAGGAAACACAAAAAAAAACACACATATTCCTCCCATCAGGCCACCTCATTTCCTCTAGTTTCCGGTGTGAAGTTTTTTTTCATTTAATTTGGAATTATTTTTTGTCATCGTTGAAAATTCAAAATATTTTCAGAAAATATAGCACTTTTGGTATCGAGGCGCCGATTTCGGTTGAAATTGAAATTGAGAAAATTGAAATTGTTGATAAAGCGAAGGAAAAAGAGAAAGAAAAGGATAAAAATACAATAATCGAGGAAAAAGAAGAGAAAGAAAAGAAAGAAGAAAAGCATCCTGAAAATTGGACAAAATCTTTTCGAACGAAAATGCGGAATCTGAAAAAATCAATCAGTCCTGTTGCTTCATCACGCAGTGCGCAAGGAATTTCTGGAACATCGGAAGCATCTTCAAGTGAACTTACTGTAAATACTATTGATACAAAGGTACTGTACTTTTTCTAAAAAAAAAGGGTGTAGATTATCTTGTTTTTATTTTCATCCTAAATCCTGTTGTTTCCCAGATTTTCTATATTAAAAAAAAAAGAAAATGTGACTTTTTGACTAATATCAGACATTTCACACAATTAAAAAGTAGTTGAAAATAATTATCTGTGAAAAAAGTATATTTTTGAATTGAGAATAGTCGTAGGTTTGAAAACGGGATTGAAAAACACTGATAGAACTAACATGTGGTCTAAAAATGTTCAATTTCAGAAAGTTTAGAATGTAAAACTTGATCCTATTTACAATGATGTTTTTGAAAACCTATTTTTATTTTAAAACAAAACATGTTCAGGTTGAACATCGTGGGTCGTCCCAGATGTTTTCAAATTCTGTGACAATATGGCTCGAATTTTTAACAAAATTCAATTTTTTTAGATGAAAAAATCAATATCGTTCTCGGAATCAACAAGAAATGTGATCAAAAAATCATTCCGTGTAAAAGTGAGTTTTTTCTCCCAAACTTATCCCTCTCCCTCCCTAGGGATAAGAAAAGTTCTAAAAATATCCTTGCTGGCCAGACAGTTTTAGACAAGTTTTATTTGTTTTCATTTTGATTTATTTTCCAAAACCTCACGTAACACAACTTTTATGTAGAACAGAAAAAAAACACATGTTTTATTTTGATGTTGACCCGAAATTACATATAACTACTTTATTTTTGTTTTTTCGCAAAAAATTGAACGAAATGACAAAAAAAAAGAAAAAGACTGGTGAGGAGATACAGCTGCTCGGATATATGACACATGAATAAAAATATGTTTTTCATTTTTTCCGCCTTTTTCAAAAACTCAATATTTTTTCCTATGTGTTTTGAGGTGATTTAGGTTTCTTAGAAAAATGTTCTTTTGGTCTGATGAATTTTGTTAGGTTTGTGTCAAGTGGTATTTCTTATATCAACAATCTCAAACATAGCTTTTTCAACTTGTCATTGTTGTATGAGTTGGTTACTTCTTTTCAGCATCCCTCGGTTTTTTGAAACTTTTCAAGAATCTTCATTTTTCTCATTTTAATGTTGAAGATAGATTTTCTGATCTGTAAACTTTAGTAAATTGTTTTCATTTTTTTTGAAAATCATTTGTATATCAAGAAATAAAATTTGAGATGTTGAACTTTTTGGTAAAATAGACGTTCATGTCATCAAACATTTCAAAAATTTTTGAAATCACGAGTTCAATATTTCATTTTGATTTCGACAAAGTTCACAGAAAGCCTTTTTTGAAACATTCTGAATCTAATCAATTTTTCTGACAACAACTCCAATGGGGTTTGTTTCACTGATGTTGACCTTTTTCTAACAATCACGTCACTGAACATTATCCACAAATATCACTCTGTGACCGGAATTTGAAAAAAAGTGTCAAAATCTTTCAGAATGAGATATCTATATTTTTGAGTGTTTGAAAGTTTCAAGAATTTCAGCACAACTTTTTTCATTATTGCTTTTTTATCAGAATGTTGATCTATTCAAATATAAACGTCAGATTTTTCTGAAAAACACGTCACAAAAGTTTGGAAGTTTGAAAATAATTCTGGTCATACAAAACTGAAAATTGCAGATTTTTTTAGGAAAGAGTTATAATTTTTCAAGAAATTTTGTCATTTCAAAACATTTTCGATAATTTTTGAAATTTATTAAACGTTTTGCAAATAACCATATCTTTTAAGTTATGAATTATTACCTCGTCATCTTGAAAAATTGAGGTATATTTTTCAGGAAATATGTAATTTTGAAAAATGTTTCGACATGTCATATTAATTTTCGTACCAAACATACAAACACTTTTAACCAATTTCATTTCAAAACCAGACAAATGTTCACCAAAACAAATCTGAAATTCGTAAAGACCACCTATAAAACTTTGTGCTTTGAAAATCCCTTTCTGATCAAAAACCAAATTTTTCCTTTTTTTCCAAAATGCCTACGTAGTAACCCGATTAATTTTTCTTCCTCTTTAGAAAACTCGGACCAACCAAAAAACTTTTTCTGCACATTCATATACGAAACTCTTTTCCTTCGCCGTTTTTTTCTAAAATATTCCAAGTGTTCAGAAAAAAAAGAATTTTTTGCATAATTATGTAATTATACAAATACATGTCTAATTAAAAAAGAGAAGACAAATGTGATTTTGTTTTTTGTCAGTTGAAAAGTCTTGAATTTCTTTTTCTTTTTCTTCACATCTGTTCCCCAGGAAGATGTAATTTCATTTCACGATTCAGTGCTTTTTGGTTTTTTTTTGGTTGGCTTGGCTCCCGTGGAGCCATATTCTTTTGATTTTGGGATTTTTATAAATAAATATAGAATAAAGAAAAAAAGAGGATCTCATCAATTATTCTTGCGCAAGCCATTGAAACAGAAGGAAGCTTGCAAAAAAGTTATTCACGCATTCAAAGTCTTGGGCATGTCAAGCGTGATTTATTGGATGAACGAGCACCATTTTTTATTTATGTTTGTATGTATCTCTATTTGGAAAAAAATTCCGAAGTTCTTCAAAAAAAATTCCTACGTCTTTTTTTTCTAAAATAAATACGTAGGCTTTTTTGAACTACAAAATCCACTATTTTTTGATGAAACCATGGTTTTCACATCATCTATCTTCATCTTCTTTCTATTTTTCTTCCTTTTCTGAAAATTGTACGAAAATGTTTTTTTCATAACTTCTATTATATTAGAAATCAGCGTAATTAGTTTTCGAATGTGAGAAAAAAAGATATACGAAACGAAAAAAATCGTGGTAGGTTGTAATTTGGTGAATATATTATTCTGACACAATGATTTTTGACTCCTACATCGCGGAAAAAAGTATTTAAATGTGTCGGAACAATTCATTCTGTGTTATTTTTTCTGCTTTTGAGATAACTGTACTTTGCAAAATTTTTCATTTTTCGTGACATTTTTATAATCGGAACATGACCGCCTATTTCCGATTTCTTGCTATTTTTGACACATTGCAGAGATCTTGTTTTTTGATCGAACAAACTTCAATTTTTTTGCTATAAAACTCAGAAATAAATCCCAAGTTTTAGGAAAAAAAAATTTAAAAAATTGGTAATCTAAACTTCATGTGGTTTGAAAATTCCAAAATGTTTCATAATTGTTGTAAACAGTTGATATTTCAAATGTAGTGATTCATTTTTATCGTTTATTAAACTAGGCACTGTATTTCTTTGTATGTAGATTACAATTTCTATTTTTTTTTCTTTTCAGAATTACTATTTTATTTTCTGTGAGTTCTTTTTTAATATATTTATTTATATAATTTTATATATACATAATATATGTAATTCCAAATATCAAAAAAATTACCAATTTCTAAATTCCAATTCTCGGAATAACATCTCATATTGAATTCGAAAAACAATATATGGAAAGAAATTCCAAACAATGAAGTATGTTTTCATTGCATTTTTGTGTATTTTGTTGTGTTCTGAACCCCAACCACCAGAAATCAAAATACCCCAATTCCTCGAAAAACTTCATATTGAATTTTTCGAGTGTTTTTCCAAGTTCCACCTATTTTTTCCAGATTTTCCAATGAATCACCAAAAAAAATTGTTTTTGTCATTTTCTAGTTTCAAAAAATCACATAATTATCTCAACGCTCTAGAGAACATGTGTTTTTGATGAAAAGAAAATCATCTATCCAGATTTGTTTTTGGTTTTGAGCTCAAATTTGCTTGCTCCTTGATGTCTTTCTACAGTATCCTTCCTTTCGAGACCAGAAAACATATGATTATCCTTGCGCTTCACCGATTCAGGTTTCCTATTCTAGTTTTTTTTGTACCGAGCAGCAATAAAAACAAAAAATTTATTTTTGAAATAAAATAATAAAAAATATCAAGTATGAAAAAAATAAAATTTTTATCATGTTTGTTGTGTTAGTGTAGTGTCATGTCAGATCGAGTCAGTTATATCAAAAAGAGGAGACTAGAAAAAACAGCAGCGAGCGAGAGAAAACAGGAGCTCCTCCCGTGTCGGAGCACACGCCCCTTTATTTCCGGGGGCACCCTGTGTGTGTGTTGTATGTTTGTGTTGTGTTTGTAGGTCTCGTCTCCTCGCTCTTCTTCTTCATCTACCAATTTATTCCCGAAATCTACTGATTCATCAATGGAACGTTTGGGCCGTGTTTGGAATCGATTATCGATTCGAAGGACTTCTAATACGGATACCTCAAAAACTAGAAAAGAAGAGGAAGATGATATGACTCCAGAAAAGACTAAAGAAGTATTTCAAATGTTTAATGGAACACCGCAACGTAGAAAAAGTGAAGTGTCAAATCGTGTTGTCCTAAATCAGTTGCACAATCAGAAGCCAAGAACTAGTAATAGTTCAGTTGAAGCGCCACGAAATGCATTGAGAAGAAATTCAACAGATACACAAGTTTTCAATAACAATACTAATTCGAAAAGTTTTCGAGATCATGTAAGTTTTGCATCATTTTTTCTTTAGTTTTTCTTTTTTTAGTTCAAAAGGGTCAGATATGAAATGTTTGCTTTGTTTTCCCACTTGATCCTAACATATTTACTGACTCTTTTTTGAAAGGTGAAGATTTGGTATGACGTGGGAAAAAGGTCCGCGATTTGAGAGAGACTTTTGATCTATGACGAAAATCATTGAACAAAAATTGCAAATTTTACAGTAACAAAGGAGTTTTACTACTTTTTGAGAAACTCGATATTTTAGAGAAGTGTCATAAAAATCACTACACGGAAAAATTTTTATTTTTGAATAAGTGAAAACAATCTAAATCAAAATTTAAATTAAAAAAAAATGTTCATTCAGGAAAATCTGAACATTCGGACACCAGAAATTGTTTACTTCGTTCTGGCTCATAAATTTTGTTTTTCCCGTATTCTCTGAAAATTAGGGCTATAAATCTTTGAACTTTGAAAAAATTTGTTAATTATATTTTTTCTGGAAAAAGTTCTCTTACTTTTAAATCTGGAGTTAATTTTAGGAAAACAATTTTCGCGTCCCTGAAGTTGAGAATTGATTCCCAGGAAAAAATGAACGAAACTTTTCTGTTCAAAAACCCTGAAGACAAATTGTTTCCAAGTATTCGAAAAATCTCTCAAGCTCTAAATATACATATTCCAAAACTTAGACCACGCCCACTTTCCCCCAAAACATCATTCCTTTCTCATACTTGATCTTTTGGAAACGTTTTTTGTTAAAAAGTTTATAAATTTTTCCCATAATTTTATTTTTTTTTCTAGAAAAAAAACTATTTTTAGCAATTTTTATTTCATTCCAGAACAATTTTGTTGTTGTATGTATGAAAACTTGAGAAAGTTCATTCAATTTATGCAAAAGATTCTTCTTGTTCTTCTAGAAAACAAGAAACAACAAAACACTTCAACGATGCTCGCACTTTTTTTGATTTCGATTTTTATTCGAAGTTTTGACGAAACTCCCATTGGGAATTTTTTTGTGAAGATTCTTTCCGAACTTTTTTCACTTACTTACTTACATTAGGCTAAAAACCCTGCTGAAAGTGCTTTTTTTACAGAAAAAAGGGAAAATTGAACCAATGTTGAAAAAAGTGTTTTATTTCGCCACCCAATCATTTTTTTCTCCATTTCATTTCAATTTGTTTTGTGCAATGTTTTGTTTTGTTTCTTCCCATTCTAATAGAAAATAAAATAGCAAAAAAAACGAAGTACTTTTTTCACCACCACAAACCAGTCATATGATAGCATTTTTCCCACTCTTTAACCTATCCTCGCCTCGTTTTTCTTCGTTTTTTTTCTTTTATCCGACGGTGCTCTGTTCTGTTTTGAACTGTCAACAAATCGGCAAAGAAAAGAACGTGGGAATGAGTGAATGAATGAATGAATGAGATAGATTAAATAAAGTGGCAAAGTGTCATTTTCCTCTATTTTAATCTTGGAACCAATTTTTCATTTTTAATTCAAAATCATATTTCTTAATTAATTTTTATTTTCAAATTCAGAATGCTCCTTGTTCAAGCGACGAAGAACGTGTAAATCCCCGAAGAAATAGCGTTTTCGTGAAAAGAGGCTCAATGACAATGGAACCAATTAAAAAAGTTGATCTTGAAGATGTCTACACTGTTAACAAACAGGTTGGTTTCTCTCTATTTTAAATTTTCATTCTCCATTTCTCGCCACGTGGCTTACGAAAAAAAAACAAAAAAATCTGGACCCTTGAGGATTGACGCGTGTTTATCGCAAATGTAGGAGGCACTGACAAAAATAACATGTATACGTAAACTTCCCGTGGGATTTTTCATATGATATTCGTACTTGAAGTGTACTGGAAGGGTTAAACAAAGATGCGAGGTTTTGGGATTTTTATAGAAATTTTTATAGAGGGATAGAGAAAAAGTATTACCATTGGGAAACATTTACAGGAATAATTATAAATGTATAGTTCAAATTACCATATATTTCGAAATCTATTAATAATCAACATAAACAAATAGGTTTTCAAAACTATGTCAGAAAAAAGTAGTTTAATAAAAACCTAAATACTTTTTGCAGCTTGGCACTGGACGATTTGGCTATATAAAGCTCGCTGAGCACAAGCAATCGTCTCTTAAAATTGCAATTAAATTTTTCCCCAGACCGCAGACTAAACAGGTACCCTTTTATTTTCTCAATGATCCTCAAAATGAGTTTAATTCCAGGCTGATTTTGTGCGTGAATATAATTATTCATTTTTCTTATCCCCACATCAACACATAATTGATACATACGAGGGAATGTTTCAAGCTTCAAATGACACGGCTTTCTTCTTTGTCCAAGAGTTTTGTCCGTGTGCATCACTTCGTGAAGCAGTTGAGAACACAAATCAGACAGGTGATTCTTGATCTCACATTGAGTTAGATATTGAGAGTTTGAGATGGTTATTTATGTGCACAATCAAATTGACACGTGTTTTTTCTCTCGATCCAATATCAATTTTTTCTTGATTTTTTTGTGTTTCAATTTAATGGGGAAAGAGGGGGTGAAAGAGATTGCAAATTTTATAGCTATTTTTTGAAAGAAATTGATGTTGAAGATGGGAGAATCGAGAATTTTGCAAAATTGGGTTCGTAATTTTGAAACTGAACACTATTTTTAAAAAAATCAGGACTTTAAAAATTGGGAACAGTCGCATGTTGTACAACTATTTTTTCTAATTTTTTTCAAAATTATAAGGATTGTTTTCTTCTTTTTGAACATCCAAAACACTTTTCTGACTTCCACATCTGCAACAAAAAGTCTAAAGCATATAAATCTTTCAAAAGTCATACTTTCCCACGACTCCGAAAAATCATCATTAATTGTTTCCAGGAATCGGCGAAGAAAAGACGAAAAAAGTTTTCGCTGCTGTTTTATCGGCTATTGAATTCATGCACGATGAGAACCTGGTGCATCGTAATTTGAAAGCCGAAAATATACTAATCTTTGACGCGCAAGACTATTCAAAAGTCAAAGTGACAGACTTTGGTCTAACGCGAAAAGTCGACGCAACTGTCAAGTATTTGGAGTATGTCAACAATTATCATGCCGCTGAACTGTGTGATACAGTGGTCAATGAAGTGCTCACTGTTAATAAAAGTACCGATATATGGGCACTCGGTGAGTTTGCGATTGCGTCTTTTTTTGCGCAATAAAGACCACGTGACAGTTGAAAGATAAATAGATAAAAAACTTTGCAAAAAAGATACACGAAAAAAAAAACATGTGTTCTTTCAACTCATCTATTTTTAACCCGCAACCGATTTACGTCATCGATCGCAAGAGGAGGTAAAAGAGGGCCACGTTAAATAGTTACAGCTGCACCTAATAATATCTTTTCTTTTTTTGTGAGAAAGGGACAAAAGATGAATGTGTTTTGTGTGCTTTGCAGTGAGAAGGGGCCAATAAAAATTGTTGAGAAAAATGAAAAAAATTGAAAAGGTGAAAATTTTGAAAGGTTTTTTTAAAAGTTACCTCAAAAAAGCGAAGTTCACAAGCAAATCATAGTCACCTTCAAAATTGGGTGTAGCTTGTGTTCAGTCAGTTTTGAAACAAAACACATATTCAAAGTTATCAAAAATGTATGATTTCTGAACCACTGACAATGAGAAAATCAAATTTTTATTCCAGGTATAATCTTCTTTTATTGCATGAAAGGACGGTTCCCTTGGCAAAAAGCTTCAATAATGTGTAAACCATATTGGGAATGGGAACAATGGTTGAAGCGAAAGAATCCAACACTACCCAAAAAATTCCTACCATTTTCTGAAAAAGCGTTGAAACTTTTCAAAAAGTGAGTCAGCTGGTCGAAAAAAAATTAGAGAAAAACAAAAATATTTTTTTCTAGATCTTTGACACCGCGAGTCAAAGACAGATGGTCGGCGAAGGATATGAGAAAATGTATGGCAAAGGAGAAATTGTTGAAATCAGTCAAGGTAGCATATTATTAATGTTGTGTTCGGTTTTTATGTTGTTTTGTAATTTTATCAAATCACACCAAATCACCCTTTCCCCAATCACAAAAATAAAACACAAAAACATGACAATTTTTGTATTGTATAAACATTCACTGATTAAGTTCAACTATTCACCACGCATAAATCACTTTTAATTTTGTTAAAATATAATTTGGTTCAATGAAAGTAATATTGTGCATGAATTTGGTTTTGAATGTTAGTTTTGTGAAATCGCATGTATTGTGGAAACATTGAACAACATCAACTTCGAAAATATTTTCAAAAGAATTTTAGAGTTCTTTACACACTGGTATTCTGAAATTATATCATTTGATGTTGGAGTAATTTATTCATTGAAAATACAGTTTTTGAGTACAATACTGGCAATACAATTTTAGATTACTCTAACTTTTATAACCCGACTGAACAGCTCAAAGTCCGTATTTTTCTCAAGTATGTGCCAAATCATCTTTTCTGTCCCTAAAAACTCATCGATCAGATCAATTTCAGAAAATAAAAATGACAACTTTTGACAATCACAAGTTATTTTTTTCAGTGAAGGAAAATAAAAATAACCGATGAATAAAAGTTCAATCTTTAGGGACTCTTTGTGTTGAACCTTTTGAACCTAAAATCATAAATAATGTTATTCAACTCGCATTCTCTAATCTCGAAATTTGTTTGTTTTACTTGCAGTTTTCTAACAATTTTCATGTTCAATGTTTTTCTAGAAACCCGATGATGTATATTATGTTATGATGGAACCATCACGACCAAAACCCGCCGTAAATCCAGAAGGCGAAAATCCAAAGAAGAAATCCACCCTTCACCAATGGATCAGCACAACTTTGACAGCAATGGCAGAAATCAGTGAACAAGTTGTGTCAGCAAGGGATGACTAGTTTTCTTCATTTTCCTGATGTTTTTAATAATTTTTTGTGGGGGTTTCCTTTTTTTGTTCTGTCCGTTTTCTGAAAAAGTTTTATTTACAAAAAAATGAGTGTTTTTTATAATATCTTCATATCAATTAATATTATTGTATACGATATATTAACCCAATAAATTTGATTTTCAACAAAACTAAGAACATTAGTTTTTCAAATGAATTTCATCGTCTACGACTTGTTTTAATAGTGCCACTTCTCGTCGTAGATCCATCACTTCTTGACGAAGATCTTTTTGCTGCTAAAAATTGTCTTCATATTATCAAATAAAAATCAATAAAAACAAAATACCTCATTATTTTGAACGGCATTACAATTGGCACATGGTTTAATAGAGATTTGTCGTAAAAATTCGATTTCTTTATCTAATTGAATACATTTCGCCATAAGTTTCGTTTTTTCTTCTTGCAAACTTCGCATACACTGATTCATCGCCGAGTTTTGTCGTTGACAGTTTGATAGTTGTTCTCGTAGAGCCTTCTCTCCTTTTTCAGCAGCAAGAACTCGGCATTTCAAACCTTCCAATTCGGTTTTCCAAGCCCGTTCTTTATCTTGATACACTTTTATAATTATATCCTCATTTTGTTCCATCACATTCCGAATTTCTTGAAGTTCCTGCTCTTTATCACGAATCAAATTTTCGTAATCGATTATGCCAGAATCAGATGGTGACGGAGTTACATGAATTCCAGAAGATGAAGACGATAAGGTATTCATCACTGTTTTATTTTGATTATTCAAATGATGATTGTCATTTGGAAATGAGCATCGATATGAAGAAGAGTACAAACTTGCTGAAGAACGCATTGAGGAGTTCATTTCACGGTCCTTGTCTGAAATGATTTTTGATCACACTTGTTTTTAATGTATTACGTAAATAAACTATGTTATGGAATTATAAAAATCCGGAAATATTAGTATCAATGATGTTTGAAAATTGTTTAAATGTTTTTTGGTTGAAACTAATCGAAGATTAGGGGAGAGAGAAATTGGTAAAAATTAGAAAAGTTTGCTTCGAGTTACGAAGTTATTATATTTATATATCATAGTTATTGTGAAACTTATTTGTTCAAAATTAGGAAAAAATGAAATATATTTTTTTTCAACAATAAAAAAAAATATTATCTGAAAAATTTCTAGACTTTTATACTTTTTTTCAAAAAACATAGGCAAGATTTCTTTACACTCCCTTTTGTCTGAACTCACTATGATACATCAACAATAAATCAGATATCGACCCATTGATATCATCACTTCGAATCGTCGCATCAACTCTGAAAACGTTTCGCATTTTTTCCTAGCCATTTTTGCTCGAATATAGGTCACTAACCTTCGAAACGATTTTTTGTTACTATCATTATGGTTTATCAATTCAGCTGGTTTTGGCCGGAAAGCAATCGGTTTACATATCACTTCCTGGTGTGATAATCGAGGTGATGTCACAAAATCTACAGGTGGCCTATCAGCATTATCTGAAACGGGATATATAATTTTCAAAAATAAAAATTTTCTGGGAAAACAACTCACATGATTGTGTGTGATTTGGTTGCCAAGTTCCACAATGATTTCTCATCGGTACTTCTCGTAACGTTCGATGATCCATTGATCTACAAAAAATCAATTTCTTCTTATTACGAAAAAAAACTATACTAATATTTTTTTTCTAAAAATCAATCAGAAATCTGAATCAGAGAGAAAAGAAAGTGTTGTTTACAATACATGAATACGTAAATTGTAAACATAAACACAAATAAAATGGAATAATAATAATAAAATAATAATAATCAATGATGAAAACGGAGAAACAAAATCTCGGTAAACGATGAAGGTCACAATCAACCGATTAATTGTTGTTTTTCACACAACACTTCCCTATTTGTTTTAATGTTTTCTTGAAATTGAATAATTTCGTAATTTGGTGAGAAGTCATTAGAAACCATTTTTAAATGAGGATAATGTTTTGAAATTTTGTGTTGAAATGGCTGGGTACGTTATGGTGAAAAGATAAAAAAGTTAGAATCAAATCAAGCTAAATCCTGAAACAAATATATTTTGAAAGTTTAAAATTGTTCGTTTGAGATGATGAGTCATAACCGAAACATTTTTTTTCTAAATTTTTTAAACCCCAGAATGTCAAATTTTTTAAACCCCAGAATGTCTAAATTCCCAACTCACAACGCATTTGTTGCAGATTGTGTTGAATGCAATTGTCTGGACGCTGGTGGAACTCGCAATTGTGTTTGTTGCGGTTTCATTCGAAGTCGCTGAACCGGTGCCGGCGCACTCAAATCTCTTGATCGAGGTAGTATTTGGCCTGTTGATCCATTACCGATTAATTGTGCTTTCCATTGTTCTAATCGTGTTGAGGGCGTATGGTTCAACGATTTCACTTTTTCTAAAACAGTTTTTTATCTGGGTAATGTGATGATGATTTATAGAACTGTTGAAGAAATGTGGGAAAATTTCAAAATAGGAAGGAACTTTGTATAAAATAAAAAAGTTTTAGAGATCATTATTTTGGAAACATAAACAAAATAAAGTTCAGAGTGTCGGGATTAGTCTTTTCGAGTGTTTCAATTTCAATTCCAATTTTCCTAACCAAACAAAACTAACAAACAAGTCATAAAAACTCAACATATCATAAAAACAAGTCTCCTCACCTGGTGATGATGAATTGTGTCTCATTTCATTGATGCCTTGCTCAATAGTTTCTCTGAGCGGTGCAAATATTTCTTCAATCATTTCTTGTGTCTTCTTCAATGGTGTCGGTTTTTGCGGCTGGCTCATCTATGTCATAAAAATTATTTTATGACACATTTTTTGGGGTGGGTCTTTTCTAGTGGGTCAGTTAAAGAATACGCAGAGAAAAACAACGAAAACAACAAAAACATATGTGAAAGTTGCTGATTTTTTAAATTTTGAAAAATGAAGAGTTTAATTCTCCTGGGGGTGTAATATACCGTATATTATACATATTTACCAAGGGGAAATTATTGAACGCATTAAATTCTTACGGTAAACATAAGTGTGTTGTGATGTGATGTAATTTAATATATATCCTTCTTCCGCTACATCAAACACTCACTCACCTTTGGAATCTGAACAGTTTTCTCAATTTTCTCACAAATGTATATCCTTGGCGCCGGGATCACAATACTTTTATGCGTTTTTTCTCGACAACTGGAATAAATGATATTTTATAATAATATTGAGAAGAAAAAAAAAGAGTGTAGCAAAAAAATGGGAGTCGCTTTTGTTTATTTTATTCCTCCCAAAAACTAACACGGATTTTTTCTCGATTTTTGTCTCGGCCAAACATTCCGACGCTTGTTTGTCACGTTTAACGAACAGTTTTTGCGTTTGAGTTGGTTTTTGAGATTCTGCCGGTTTTTTTCTGGAATGATGATAAGATTTTTGGAAAGGGAGACAGTGGAGGAGAAGGAGAAAAAAGTTTGATTAAAAAATATAGAAATGCAGAGAAATAGAAACAGACCAGACCTTTTGAGATTTGAGATTTCAAGATCAGTCCAACAAATTTGCATGAAAACTGATGAAATAAAACACTTTCAAAAAAGGCCTGTTGAAAATAAAAGTTTTTCAATAAATAGAATCCGGAAAAAATATTTTCAAAATCGGATAAAGTAGTCTAGTTTTTACCAAATTTCATTCATTTAATTTTTTGAAAAAAAATTTGTTTTTTTTCTGAAGGTCCACTTTTCTATTTTTTTATCAGACACAATCAGACCTTATGTCTAAAATATTATAACATTAAAAAAACACCTTCTTTCCAAGAATAATCAAAAAAGTTTACGAGAAATTGCAAAAAAAAAAGTTTAAAGATTTGAGATCAAATCATTTTCATCTTTTTTTTTCACTTTTTGCTCACAATGACGCTGAGAATGAGCAAAAACACAACTGACCGTGATTGTGATTGACTGCGATTTCCATTGCTGTTACGACTTGTTGATCTGACATAAGAAAAATATATAGTATTTTTTGCACTTTTTTTCTCGTTTTTCAGTTTGTAGTTATGATTAATACCTCATAAAATGTGCCAGGTGACGAGAACATAAAATAAAATGTTTTTTTTTGTTGTTTTGGAAGAAAGATATATGAGGGAAGTTTGAATGAACATGGAGTTTTGAATTTATGAGCTGTGAAAAATATGAAAAATTGAGATCGAGATTAAAGTTTCTGTAGAGTTTTCAATGATCCTGAGAAGGCAAAATATGGATTTTTGAAAAACCACTCATAAACTGAAAAAATCAAAACTTTTTATAATTCAATTGTTATCAAGTGATATTGAAACAATCATAATTATACTGGATTTCAATAAAAATATATAAAACTTCAAAGAAATTCCAATCCATATTAAAACATATTTTTGGATTTTTAATCAAATTTGACTGAATTCTATAAATTGTTTTTCCAGAAACAAAATTCCGAGAAATCATTTTTGATAAATAAATTTTCAACTCTAAAACTAACCTTGCTCGAAAAATCGACAATGGATTTTTTAGCGTTTGCATTCTCGCAATTTCTCCAACACCAGAACGACAATAATAATAATGATAGAATGTCTTCTCTGTCAAACCGCAAAACAATATGATCGAAAAGTGTGTGTCAAGAGAATAAATATAAAAATATCGTTATCCGTCGTGCCCAACGACTGAAAACAGAAAAATGTCTTCTTCTCAAAAAATGGAAAAAATGACAGGGTCTTTTTTTCCTCCTGGTAAAACCACACAGCTGTCTTTATCTCTTCCTTTCCATCATTTTCTGCTTTTCCTTCTTTTTCTTATCATCATCTTCTTTTTCTTTCATTTTGACACGTGTTTTTAATGTTTTCAGAGTTGGTTTACTCGTATTCTTTTTCGCCTACTTGTTTACTGTGATTATATTGAATAACAAAGTAACAAATAATACCGTTCTCTACGATATTTTGGACTATTTTCAATCAAAATTTGAAATTTCACAAAATTATGAGTTCAGAAATTTTCGCAAGGATCTTTTCTGGAGTTTTTTTTCACGTTTTCAAAGTTAAATTTCAGAGATAAAAATCTTCAATATAAAAATTTCATGAATAAATTTTTGCTTCGTTTCAGTGAGAGAAATCAACTCCAAGATTTCTATTGTTCGGCAAAAACAGAAGGATTTTTCAATAGAAAATGAATTATTTCTTTTTTCACAAGTAATATATGTTTTTCGAAAATATGAGGAAATATATAATTTTCACTTGTGAAAAATGTTTAACTATTGTATCCTAAAGCGGTTTCCCTGAAAAATGATAATTTCCCAATATCTAATATTTTTCGATAGAAATACATTTACAAAGATATTGTATGATTTGAATACAAAATTTTCAAAGTACGAGCAATACAAACAAAATATTTTTTAAAATCTCGGCAAATTCAATAAATAAGAAAAATATATTACACGTTAGCTTTTGAGTATCATAGAAATCAGAAACAACCAGAAAATTTAAACTTTTTTGATATGAACAGGCATGTTGATCAGCTTGATTTTTGGAGTCAGATAAATGTGACGATCTTTTGAGGAACGGTGAAAGTTTTTGCAAGATGTTACATGATGCGAAATGTCCTGAAACAACCACATCCGTGTTATTAATTTCAATGCAAATCAAAAAATGTCACCTTTCTAAAATTTTTTGGCCAAGTAGAAGGTAGTTTATGTTTACCTTCATCTAACATAATCACTGGGAGTGTGATTTTTTTGGTTCTTGGGATTGTTGTCGTGGTGAGTGCCTGGAAAAAAACAAGTGTTTTTGTATCAACTAGAAAACATTTACCTTTTCAATCTTCTTAACCGCAGCATCAGCCAGAATTTGGAGATCGGGACAATTGGAATAATCCTGAAAGAATTATGGATTTTTTCAAGAAGCAAAACCAAAATGAAAAAGAAATCATTCGAATTGTATTCAATTTATTATTTTAGTGTCATCATTGAATTATTAATAATAATAAAAATACAATTAAATAAATTTTTTCGACATAAACTTCTACATACATGTAGAAAAAGAGAAATTAATTTTTTATGCTGAATTTTTTTCAAACTGTACACAGAATTCAAAATCTTTTAATCTCAAAAAAATTTCTGAAATATATTCATAAAACACTCACCATTTTCTTTTTTGACAGCTCCAGATTCTTACGATAACTTGACTCATTCAATGCAACATCAGCCAACAGTGCCAAATTTTGCATTTTTCTGAAAAATAGGAAATGAATGACACATTAAACATATCGCATTTTTCTTAATAATATCAATAAAAAATAAGAGCACATTTTTTCATGTGTGGCCAGACGAATACAAAAACATATGATCGAAGAAAAACGTCTTGTTTTGAAAATGCCCTTTTTTTCTATATCTACACACGTGTTGATTATAGGAAAAAAAATATATACATCTGGCAAGTGTTTTCGTATATTTTTTGTATTTCATATAGTGTCGCAACCTTTTTTAGAAGCCGAATACATCTGGACTTTTTCGGAGAACAAAATAACTTTTGTACAGATGTGTGTTGAAAAGAAAAAATAGATATACAGAGTGAGAAATTTAACCAACCAATGAAAAAATATAAAAAAGGGACGAACGTTTTTTGAATAGAACAAAAAAATTTTATTCCATCTTGACTCAAAAAAAACTAACAAATAAAATAAATCCGTGTCAAAAATATACATAAATTTACTCGTCGGACATCTAAATGAAGGAAATAGATGGGGTAAAAATTAGAAAGTACACTAATTTGAGCATGATTTTTTATCCGTTTTAACTGTATTTTTGTTTGATTTTTTGAAATTGTTCTTGTTGTGATCATTTTTTGCATTGATTTTGTTGAGTTCTTTTACAGCAACATCAGCCAACAATTTGAGGTTTGGGCAATTTGTATAATTCTGAAAATATTTCCATTCAATTTTTGAAGATTTTTCCCGGCTCTGAACGGGAACAAAGAGTTTACATTCAGGAATACAAATATTCTTGTAAAATCAAGAGTTTTCAGAAAAAGAGAGGTTTCTAGGAAAAATTTTTCCAAAAAATAAAAGGTTTTGATTTTTCAAAGCTCGAAATTGAATTCAAAAAATGCTTCCAGAAGTAGTTCGAGTTCAAAATTAGGAGCTCGATCAGAATCTTCTATGAAAACTAGAAATGCACAACATCTCATAGACTTGAATTTTCAAACGCCTCTTTTCCCTCTAAAATATCTCACCAAAATTTGTGTCTTTCTCTTTTTCTGATATTTTGTTTCATCCAGAGCAACATCAGCAAGAAGTTTCAAATTGTCACACATTCCTGAAAAAAATATTTTGATAAAAAAAGATTTTTAGATAAAAATGAGAAATGATGGAAATATGACTCATTTAATTTTTAATTTTTTTGAAAAAAAAAACATTTTTTAATTTATCAAATACAAATAGAAAATCTGCCTAAATTCGAATTAATGAGACATATTTTGTGGTTTTTTGAAATGAAACGAAATGAGAAACCACAATTTTCACGAAATTGGTTTTTTGTGATTGAGCACTCACAAGGAGGTCTAACAAAAATAATACTAGGTTAGAATGATGATTTTTTTAGAAAGTTGTGAAAAATTATGATTATAGGGTTGAGAGTTTTTTTTCATATTGAATGTGAGCTTAAAAATAGTTTGAGAAAATTTTTTTAATGAGCTTGAAAAATCTATTTTTTTATTCCAAAAAATAAAGAAAAAAAACTGACCTTGAAAGGTAAAAGCTAGGAATAAAACAAATGAACAACAGTGTTTATGTTTTCAAACAAAGAAAAGGATAAGATGCAAATTCACAAAAGAAACTCAAAATTTTTGTTCAAGATAGAAACGTTTACTTTTTTACTTTTATTAGCTTGAGCTTTGTGATTAATAAACAATTGGCTTCTGAGAGAAAGCCGAAAAATGACAAGACATCTGGATAGTATCGTGGAAGAAAAAGGTTTTGCATAAACATTTGTTTATAAAAGTGTCATAAATAGTTCACGTAATATTTCAAATTCAGAGAGAACATTTGAGGCAAGGTTCTTATGAAACAATATTTTAAATTCATCTCAGACAGTCCTCACTGCTTTGAACCGTTTTAGAATATTTATTTCTCAAAAAGAGTATTTCGGGTTAGTGTGTCTTTTCATTTCAAGCAATTCTGGATCTAAAATTAGAGAACTTCTATGTTTTTCCACGGAGTGTTTAGACAACACTCTATTCCTTCAAATTTCAACTTTGGTGCGAGAATCTGTAAATTTTCCTGAACCGATATGAGAAACACTCAGTGTCCTGAATTTCTGTACACCTGGTATGAATTTGTTACCTGAGAAACTATAAACACTATTCGCATCGAATTTCCAACTTTTACACACAGCAGATTAACATCTTTTCAACAAAATTCATTCCAATCAATTCAAATTAATACATTTTTTGATGGAATTTCTTGATCAACGGTTGCATATGCGGATATTGATGTTGGAATTGAACAAGTCGCGCCAATCTCGCCTCCTTTGAATAACCACTGACCCAATATGTCATCAATTCCATTTTATTTTTCAATGTGATTTTTTCTCTTGGTTGAATTTCATATCCTTTTTCACATTTGATAAGCAACTCATACATATCACTTGATAATTGAATTCTCATGGCTGAAAAATATTGTTCCAGAATGTGAGGGTAAAATTTCAGGGCAATTTAGGCTAACTCACGTTCTCCACTACTTTCCATAGCATTTGCAATTATCACACTGTCTCCGAAGAGACAATATCGGGGCATTCTGATACCAACAACACCAGTGACAACTGGACCAGTGTGATTACCAATACGAAGGCGCAGTTTCTCATCAGGACAGTGACTCACAGTAAATGTCTGAAATTTTCATGAATTTGTTTCAGTCCAGAAAATGATGTGATAAAAGTTACCTTGATACTTTCTAACAATTCTAAGCTAGCACTGGCAACTTCTCCAGCATGTAAATATCCATTCAACTCTGGCAATCCGGATACAAACATATAAGCATCACCAATTGTCTCGACTTTATAACAATCAAATTTATCAATAATTGTATCGAAAACTGTGTAGAGATTATTCAACATGTTGACAATTTGAAGTGGTGTGCTTTTACTACTCAATGAGGTGAAACCAACAATATCCGAGAAATAGATGGAAACATTGTCGTAGAATTCAGCATCGACTGGTTGACCATTTTTAAGAGAATTTGCGACGGATCTGAAACACTTGTTTGTGATTTTAATCGATTATAAATTTTGTTTGGCATCAAATGACTTTTTCCTCAAACTCCAAAATCTCACATTCAGAAAAAATTTCAAGATTTGTTGAATTTATGGCAGTTTTTAATTATCTCAAAAATTTTTCAACCCTGAATATGTGTTTGTGTCCTTTTAAACTCTCAAGATTTGGCGCCAAACTTCTTTTATATGAGTTTTGCTTCTCAAATATCCATCATTTTTATTTACATTAATGGCACCAAAAATCTAAGTTCGTGATTCATTATTGACAAAAAAAAATAAAAATCTCTAGATTCTTGATCCCAAAAAGAAATCAAAGTGAATTTTTTTTCTGAATTTGTGGTTCATATTTCTTATATTTATTTACAGGGTATCTCTAGCATATAGCGTTAGCTTTTTTACCAAACATAAATTATTCTGAATATTGAAAATTGAAATTTTCGCAACTTTCAAATCTTTGACCCCCCATTTCTTCTTGAATTCTTAAAAAATCGCTTTCGTCTGCAACCCAAAAAATATGATCTGTTTGTTCAACAAAACAGTTGACCACAGACACAACTAATCAAACAAACTTTGGCAACAATTGTAGAAGCAGATTTTCATTTCGTTTCTTCTCATCTTCCAGTTGTTCTGTGCGTTCTTTGATCACATCTTCCAAATTGTTACGATATCTATCGAGAAGTGACATGATATTATCAGCAATATTGCCTTTTCTGAAAAATGAGAGAAAACGTGGTTTTTGAAATGAAATAGTCTATCATATGATATTTTTCACTTACAATCCTTTGGATAACGGTTTGAGAAGGTCGCGTACTTTTTTGATCGTTGGTCGTTGGGATGGAGATTCGTTCCAGCATCTGAAAACTTGTTGTCATCCCGATTGAAAATAAGAACATTTCAGGTATTTATTTAGATTTATATCACTTCCCTAGATATTTAATTAACTCAAAACACTAACTTTTCAACAACTTGTGACACTGGATACGGCGATTTTGTAATCAAATGAATATCCGGCCTGGTCACCGCTCCACCCTCAGGGAATTTGATTTGCTCGATAATCTCATCAGAATCCAAGAAATCATCACCATAAGGACCTTGTCTTCCATAAATCTCATACAAGATAATTGCGAAGGAATAAATATCAGCTCGAGCAATTTCCATGTTTGGTAAATCGTTTTGAACTCCATAACGTCGAACAATTTCAGGAGCTGTCCACAAAAGATCTAGAAATGGAAACAATACAAATGAATTTTTTTCAAAAAAAAATTGCCCTACCATCAGCTTTCTTTTCTGGTTCATCTTGCCGAATTTTTTCCATTCCAAAATTGCTCAACTTGATCCTCCAATAAGCATCAACCACACAATTTGTGCTTTTTAAATTTCCATGATATCCAATTTTTGATCCATCGTGGAGGAAAGTCAAACCTTTGGTGATATCTTCAATGAATGATACTCTAAACATTCTATCCAATCGTAAATCGTTGTTTCGAAGAAGGTCCTGAAAATGAATTTATGAGTTTGAGTAAAACTGAATTCACACAAATGTTTGTTATCAGAAGCAAGTTATACTTGAATTAAAGTTACCCAAATCTCCCCACTCTCAAAATCCTCACATTCAAACTTTTCCGGGGTCCATACGCGTGAATTGTGAATATCAAATCAGTTTCATTGATCAATCCAAAGAATCGATTCAAGTTCTCATGAGTCTCAGTCATCAAAATATCAATTTCCTGCTTCATTTCTCTTGTTAACTTCAACTGTGTTTTATTGATTTTTCGAACAGTCACCAATGCATTATCAAATTTGGCGAGATGCCAATCATCAATATCAATCCATGAATCTTTATTTGCAGATTTTCCTTTTGACACTTCTTTAAGTTTATTGAGTCTAGCAGCTTTTCGAATTCCGTGATTATAAAATTGCATTGTTGTTCCACCAGTCACGGGTTCTTCGAAGTGAGCAGATTTGATACTCAAAGCACTTTGCAATACACTTCCTCCACGACTTGACCCAAACTTTGACATATCCATTAGAAGAACTTCTTTCCGATTAACCAAGAAATATGATGATTCAAGTCTTCGTTCATATCGAATCCATCTAGAAATATCTTGAAAATAGAATCAAACCTAATCAGATTATCAAGTTACCTGACAATATAAATAATGACAACGAGCAAAATAATAATCGCAACAAAGCATACAGCAATCAGCACAATCTCGAGCTCTGACAGGTCACCTGATCAGATAAAAGCGATCAGGTATTCAGAATTGAAAAACTTACTATAATTACTGGGACAGAGTTCGTTGTTGAATCCACATTCTGGTCGAGAATCAGGAAGAACACCATTCAATACACCCAATGAGGTCAAATTTGTCCAAACAATTGACTGAAAAACATTCAAAATTTTCACTTGAAAAAAATTAAATTCACTTACGTAATCTCCTTTTCCATCTGGATTCAAAGTAGCAGCAGGCTTCGCCCATGAATAAATTGCAATCGGACCAACTCTACTAGAAGCTTGTTGTGGTGACCACAGAATATATTGACGTTGCGCGACATGATTTGATTCAATTTTGTTGACATATCCAAGAAGGGCTGAAAATTCGAATATAACGATGATTTTCGCAATGTGAAGAACATAGCGCAAGAAGCTACTTCAATAATTGTGCAAAATTTGCACAAAACAATCAAAGATTTGATAAACACAAAAACCTAACACAAAAAAGCCAGAAAAGTTTGCGGCCTCACAAAAACAAAAGAGGGGAAGAGAAACACATAACTGACTGCACACAGGGAAGGTGACTTTTCTGCTTCTTTTCGCTCTCTCTGATTTGCATACTATTTTTGAAATTTGGTAATTATGTAATAGGTTTACGAACATACTTTTGGTTATGATATGTCGTTGAACATATTTTTTGAATATTTATTTGAGTATCTTAATTATTTTTTTCCATAACCCTTTTTTCGCAAAGTGATATAGCAAATTTCAGTTGTTTCAACCGGCTTCTTATCAAATTGTGTCATTAAAATTTGTGTGGCCGAACAATCAAACAACTTAGTCCGCAGCAAAAAAATATTTTTACTTTAACCAAACAAATGTTCTTAATGGGATTGTTCCACTACAGATAAACTTAGCTCCAATTTCAAATTAACTTTATAGTGAGTTTTTACCATTTTCCATGTTTTTGTTAAGTTTTTTACAATTTATTTTTGTTTATTTCTCGCTAAATGCATTCTCTTAAATTTTTCAACTGTGAGATGATTTTGATCAACATCAGGCCTGTTCATACTTATTTTAATATAGTGACTCACTATTTCGGCCTTAAAAAATACGTAGAAAGGCAACCCCTTTAATACTCACATGTCACACTTCTTCCAGTCATCAAATCCACCAATTTGGTCGAATTTTTTATAACACTTGCCCCATGAACCGCTACAGTTTCCGAAAGCAATCTTCCCATATCATATGCATCAACAATTGCTGGAGTTTCCGAATACCAATAAGCATCACTACTCCAAGCATCATTATTAGCAATTCCTTCAGCTTGTGTATCACACATTGGTGGACAATATGTGACATCGGCATTTTTATCAACGCGATTACGAAAAGCAGTCCATTCATCGCTGTAATCTTTGGTAAGATGAGCAACATCTGTGAAATACATGAATGATCGATAATATTGTCGAGCTGTGGCGTCGGATATACCGTATTGAATGGAATTCATATAAGTGGATCCTGAATATTTAAATTAAGTGAGTCAAGGGGATAGAGTTTGCATTCAACATCACTTGTAATTCACGAGTAAACTTTTCAATTTTCGTTTTTAATCAATAACAAAATATGTGAAATTGGATGAATTTTCTCGAAACAAAAAACGAAATAAAAACCGAACAAATTTTGTTTGTCAAATTTCATAATGAAATACCTCGATTCATGTTGAAGCTGAAATATTTCGCTTTATCCGCTGCTAAAGGTCCCATCATGATTACAAAATATTTTCCTGTTTCCAAAAGACCCAAATTTGACATTGTATGAAGAAACAGCTGTCCAGCAACTGGAAGTTGAAGAATCACCACATAAATCCGAGTTTTCAGATAACTTTCGAGAATTGCGTCAACGATTGATTCAGTGCCAGTGAACATTGCATTGTTCTGATTTGCAGAAAAGCCACCTTTTTTCACGTAGTCAAGCTATAAATTCAAGAAAATATTCGTAGTAACATGCTGAAAATTATCCTACAGTAATTGATTCTTCTGACAAAGCATCAAGCAATTGATCATGGTGAGTTTGATCATCTGCACCATCCTCTTCAAAATTGATGACAGCAAGATTTGTCCAGCCAACAGATGCCGCTAATTTTGCAAAAGCTCTATATTTTCCACCTTGAGTAGACCCCATTTCAATTACTTTTGATGATGGCATATGCGATTCCCCCACTTCATCTTCACAATTCTACAAAAAAATTTTGAAAGGTTTTTTGTCGGTTTTATGTATGAGAAAGTGCATTTCAATTTTCCCACCACTAAAAGCGATGTTGCGTCATAGGCTTGTGCGAGAGCGGCAACTTCTTTACAATCCGATTCGAAACCGACTACTGCTAGTAAATTGTCGGTTTTGTTCTCATTCAACATCAAGGTCAGCAAATTTCTGCAAAAAAGAAAAGGTTACTGTAACTTTCGAGTTTTGCGAGAGACAGAAAATCGGGAAGTGTTTAGCAATTTTCCGATACTTTGATGTTTTGAAATTTTGAAAATGATTGTTTTGAAAAACAATGATTAATTTGAAACTTTGCACTTTTGATGATATTTGAAGTTTGTATTCCACATTTAATTTTGATTTGATGGAACGAGACTATAGTAGTTTGTATGGTAAAACAAATAGTCAGAAATTGTTTCTCAAGGGTTTGTTGTGACCCCTGAGAGATTCATTGTGATCCCTGAGCTCGTGGTTTGAACATATTCATGAGATCTTAACTACGTTCCTGTTGTTTTCCAAAATTCAAAGACCAATTTTCTCGTTTCCATATTCGGATTATTTCCCTTTCACAATTGTTATACAAGTTTTACTCGAAAAATCGTATTTTACACCCAAAGACGAGATTTTTGATTTTTTGACCTCATCATCAATTTTGTCTCTCTTTTGTCCGAACAATTTACATATGAATAATCAAACACGTATTTTCTTTTCCCCGCATTCCTTCATTTTTTTGTAAAAAACATCATATGACAACAATACATTAAACGAACGTTGTTTTAAAAATAGAATCTGATTCTGAAACATATTTACAGAACCAAACCTTTTGTTTCAATTTGTACTGACCTATGGCCAATTAGCAAAACTCTATTATATTTTCTTGTTTGGACACAATTAGATTTCGACCATCATAAAAGATATCTTATCAATAAAAAAAAGCGTGCGCGATTTTCAAAGTCCTTGCAAAAGTTATCTATAACATGTCTGCGTCTTCCTTGTGACGTTTTAGACTTTTAGAGATCAAATTTATGTATTTCATACAATTTTGAATATTTTTTGAAAAAAAAAATGAACACTTACGAAGTATAATGACCAGTTTGTTCACCAATTGAGAAATTTCCCTGGACAGTTGGGTCGAAAAATTCAACATTGATTGAGGAATTGATAAAGTAACCAGTTGAATTCATACCACCCCCATCAACCAAGCCTTAATTTTCATATTTTTTCGAAATATTCATTTCTTTCTCGGATTTTCTTACCATAGTAGAATGCCAGACCAACATAGGTATCAGAAGTGCAGTAATCTACATCAAAATCAACATTGCAAGTATATCTTCCAAAAAAAGTTACATGATCTTGAAAAGATGATTCAAATATCAGAAATATAAGAGCAACCCATCTCATCACTTTTCAGCAAGAAAAATGAGTATAATGATAATCCAAAAAAAATTGCTCATCCAAACCCATCCCATTTCCTTTTCTACCGTAGTCCTAGGTTCCGGATATCGAAAAAATGACAATGTAAAAACGGAAATTGCTATTCGATGACGGGTTTCCCCTTTTCTCCCCACACACATTATCATATCATAATAGATGATTAACAAGCGTAGAAAAAAATGCTGATTTATTATGATTGATGTTGTTGGTTGTGGGTACTGTAAAAGTTCGCTTTTTTTGTGTATTTTGTTGTGTGGGAGAGGAAATAAAGTGTTGATAGAAGAATATAATGGGGAGGGAGGGCAGGTATTTTTCAAAGGACATGATTTTTTGAGAGATCATTTTATAGTAAAAATACACATCAAAAAGGGGAAAACTGGATGCGGGTTCCAAAGTGTCTACTCGATCGGAACAAAAAGTGTTAAAATTTTGATGAGCGTAAAAAATATACAGATTACATTAAGGTGATATTTCAACAGAACTAATAAGTTATTGAAATATTTATTTGAAAAACGTCTTTTTGAATTATGAATCATCATAAAAACTAAATCGAAATACTATTTTGTATTCATATTCGCATATTTCTGACGTTAAAGATACTTCAATGTGACACTTTTAGAAACCAATTTTACTCTGAATATTGTTGTATTCACATCACCAGCTACAAAAATTGAATGTGACTTTCTAAACACAAGCTTCAATCTATCATAATCTGAAAAACATATCCATGCTTAGCATTTCCTTCTCTAAAAGAACTCAAAGACTTTCTCCAACAGTAAATTGTTCGCATTCCATAAACATACATACATTTTATTAATAACCTACAGTATCCCAAATGTTTTATAATCATCAATCTATTTTTTCTCGTCAAATTTCCTGTCTCCTTTCCGGCCTTACCTTTCGAAGATAAAATAAGTGTATCAACATTTTGAACCCTATCATTTTTTTTCTTAAGAATGTGATATTTTTATTTTCTAATGTCAAAATATTTTTTCATTACTTTTTGTTACACCTGACCATTTTTTAAAATGAACCAGAGAAGTTCAAAGTTTCAAAAAAAGAAGTGAAAAATAATCAAAATTTATATAACATTTTTTATTTATTAAATGAAGGTCATTTGTCGAATACGGTAGTTTATTTTTAAATTCAAATAAAAAAGTCACGTTTTGAAAAAAGAACCGATTTATTTTTTTTGTTTCTATGTACAGTACACAAAAGACCAAAGGAGAAGGAAGATGAACAGGAGGAAAAGTGATAAAATATATAGCAGACACGTATGGAACGGGAAACAGACATATTTTTGGAATTTGGAATTCTTGGGAAATGGAGAAGCCGATTATTACAGCTTCATGTGGATTTTCTGCAGAATTTCGTTGGGGATCGTACGACGAAGAATTGCATTTTCCGATTCAAGGCGATGAACCTATAAATAACCAATTATTTGGGGTCATTAATATTTGCGAAAAACTACTTACGTGATTTTCTAGATCGTAAATTTTACTTCTTAATCCATCAACTTCTTCACGAACAGCAAACATAAGATGAGTTTTTACCAAATCCTGAAAAAATGAAATCTTGAATTTGTTCGAAATTTCTTTAAAAACTCACCATAGCTTGTTCGATTTTACTATCAATATTCAAGGAATTATGATGAGGAACAGGTGGACTTGCGGCAACGCTGTAACTTGAACCTCTACTAGATGATGTGCTCGGCGAGCAGCCTCGCGATAATATTCCATAATGGGGAGAGTACATAGGCACATGATTGCATTCAACAGCTTTGCAGTCTTTCCACATTTTTTAGAAAAGCTCGCTCGAAAGTTAGATCAGGAAAATTGGAAATTTGAGAATTTGAAATTTGTTGAAAAATCTCGTGGTTCAAATAGACGAGGGGTTGGTAGGAGGGGACAAGCAGCAGCTAGCAGCAAGGATAGTATGGAAAGAACAAGAGAGAAAGATAGAAAAAGAAGAAGAAAGAAGAAAAAACACTGTGGGGCGGAGTTTTGGCGAGCTGCCCGCAATGATGTTATGGTATTTGTTTTAAACAACAAAGTATAAAGAAAGAGAAATGAGAGACTGACATAAAAACCTACACTGTTTTGGCTCTCAATAAAGGGTTTCTGTAACAAAATTTCTTGGAATTGGGTAGAATTCAGGATAGGGAGTTAAGGGAACCTTTTCAATTCTTGAATTCTTTGTTTTCTGAAGAGATATTAAAAGACTCATCTAGATTTTCAAAAAAAAAATAAAAAAAAACAGAGAATATTTTGTACAAATACGGCGTTTGAAAATGAACACTTTTGAAAACTGATCAAACAATTTCGAAAATACAAAAACGGTTCAAACAAATTGAAAGGTCCCCTTAATAAGGTTTACCTATGTGAAAACTGAAAGCATATTTTTTCCCTCGAAAACTTACCTTTTAGTTCTCCGTGGTTCAGTATTATTGGTCAGCGATTTTTCCAAACCTTTCAAACTCTCCGAAGTTGCTCCATTTTTCAAAGTCGCTTGAGCAGCCACTGAAAAATTTTGTAATTTGTATTTTTTGTCAGGTATTTTGTTTTCCAAATTCTTCTCGACAAAAAATGTGAATTACGAATTTTGTATTCTAACGGAACGTCATTTTGTTTGTTTTTTTTTCTCGTGTACATAATGAGGAGGGGTGTATTGACACAAACAGAAAACATGGGATAAATGACATCAGATTTTTGTTTTTTTTTGAACTACATGGTTAAAGAGTGATTTTTTGAAACTTTTTGTTATTGTTGTGTTATATTTTTTGAAAGGGAAACTATGACACCTGTCAGTGTGATCTGTGTCATATGAACGTTTCTTTTTGTTGTGTTGGGGTATATGTTGAAAACAACTGGTTGGGTTTTGAAATTTTTTGTTTTCTGATTTTCTGGATTCTTGGAGGCTGAATCATCAAAGACGATGTTTTGAAAGCAGAAAAATGATATAAAGTATAGTAGGATTTTGAAATTATGAAGGTTTTGTGGTTTTATGAATAGGAAATTCTCTGAAAGTATTCAAAATTTTAGAAGAAAAATAATACGATCAGAAACAAAGTGGCTAAAAATTATCCAATATGCTGTGATATAATGATTCAACCTTTGAACTATATTCAACCAGACTTCTGGCTATAAAAACCAGTAAACTTGAATCGCTCATCAAATTTCTCAAATTACTACAAGACTCACATGATTTCTGATATTTATTGAAGAAAAGAAAGAAATACTATAATCTCTGATCTACATATCCCAAAAAATTATAAAAACTGGATTATCATGAATATATACATTTTTTCCCATTTTAATGAAGAAACAGAATCTACAGTACTCTTCATGTAACAAAATAAACATTGTTTTCAAAAACACAGAGCATCTACACCAGTTTTTATTCCTTACAAAGTTCTTCAAGGTCTAAACTTTTAAACTGGAGTTCTGCCAAATACCGTATACCATGTCCTCTTCGCAATTTCAATTTTTCACGAAAATCGAGAAAAATCTATCACACACAGCATTGGTGTTTGATTTTTTATGATCATGCGTATGTTAGAACATCTGACACTTTTTCGTACACACATATATACCTTGAGCCGGAGATCCATTGGTAATTGTGTGGGAATGAACATTATTTGAGGCAGTTTTTTGTGGTGTTGTTGTCACCTGAAATTAATAAAAATATATCAAATCAAATCAAATATATATTTTATTTATTTATAAAAAAAACTATTTTCAGATAGATTCTCAAATGTCAATATCAATTAATTTAATAGTGATTTTCAATGATGGATCAGTTTGTTCATTATTTGAACTCACATGTTTTTTTATATTTCATCTGTTATCAAACTTATTTCAAGGGACTTTTCCTTTTCAAACAAAGTGTCTCGGAATGTTTTCAATATCTAAAAATAATTCATATATATCTATATTTAGCCTTCATTTTGAGAAAAAAATCAGAAAAACAACATTACGAACGATTTGGTCATGTGAAGGAATTTCCCTATCTCTTTTTTATGTTTTAAAATAACAATAAAAAAGTTCACGTGCTTCAAATTGAGAGAGAAAAGATCAGTTGATTTTGAGTACAAAAACATTCTTCGCTTTTTTTGATATGAAACATGTGAACAAACAAATAAATAAATAAGTTACGAATTTGTTCTGCAAACTTGGGGGTTTTTTCTAGTGCAAAAAATAATGACAATTTTTGAACAAAGTTTTATGGCTTCTGTATAACTGATATCAATCAATTCCGTGTTATATTTCATAAAAAAATCAAAAACAAATAAAATGTTATTATGGTATTTGATAATGGTAATCGTAAAAGCATAATAAATTTTGTTAGGGGTTTTGGTTTTTGGAAAAATTCTATTGGGGAATTGTTTGTGATTTTGATATAAAAATATCTGGACCTTGGAAATTAATTGAGCATAAAAAATTGTTCCGTGATCACTGTCAGATCAGCGTATACTTTTGTAGCTATAATTTGTACCTCTTGGTTAATTCATGATTTAGAATTTTTTAATTAAAAAACTAAACTAAAATCAAAATTTAATTTCCAGCCGAAAAATTTTGTTATCTATCGTGATAAAACTTGAAGCGAACAATATATCCTCTAATTTTTTTATATGAAAATCCGATTTACCGTTTTTTTTATTCTATCCAGAATTATGTAAAACTATTTTTCAATATTCAAATAAAACAGTAATCGTGAAACATGTTGAAAAATTACTAGATCATCTTTGGAACTAATCAATTTTCACAATAACACTTTATTATACTTTTTTCTCACATCAAAATTTCAAAATCTGCTCGAAAATTCCTACCTCATCTTGAAATTCCCCAATTCTCCCACAATTAATGTATTCTTTGCTCTCTTTTACATTCAATATCATTTTTGTTTATTTATCAATTTTTTGAAATTCTAGATCTTTTGATAAATAATTTTTGGTTTTCCCCCAAAAATGAAAAAATAAAACTAACCATGACAATACAAAGAAAAACAACGAGTTAAAATAAAATATGTTTTCAGAGAAGAATGCGTGTTTTTTTCTGTTTTTCCACCAAAACAAAATTCTAATTAATTCGAGAAGTTGTTGTCAAAGAAAACAGAAAAGCATCATAAAAAAATGAAAAAACAAACCTTTGGTAAAATATAAACTGGTTTCGGAAGTGGTGGTTGTTGAAGTGACATTTTTTGTTGAACAGTAGCAGATGGCACTGGATGAATATCGGACAAACTTCGACTACTCCGATTCACAATTTCTTCTTCTATTTCAGAATTTTTGATATCTGATGTGAGACCTGAAACTATTACTTACTTTTAAGAGCAGCGGCGACGGCGGCGGCAGCTGGTGGCGGAATGACGGGCGGTGGGCAGGCATGTTTGGGCACGCGGGTGAAGAATGGGTCTCTGTGATCATAATAATCATAACAGGCCCAACGATTTCTTTTATACCGAGTTTCCACTGGGACTATCTGAAAAACACAAAGATAAATTTTGTCAAGTTGTTTTTAGAATAGAGTCTCAATTTTGAACCATTATGTAAAACCGATTTTCTGTGGCTGATTTTGAACAAATCATTATGAAGAATGTTTGAAAATCAATTGTTGAATAAGTAACTTATTCAATCTCCCAAGATTTTCCAGTTACACGGCATTTTGAAATTCAAGTTCTTTCTTTTCACTAAATACGGATTTTCTGTGGCTCTATTTTGAAAAATGATGTTTTTCAGAAAAATACGAGTTTCAAGAAAAAGGATTATAACAAAAAACAGGGCTTATGACTCTCTTCGAAAACCCAAAAAAACAAGATTTTTGATTTACAAAAAACGTGGATAAAAATGTCATATCCAATCATGAACTTCTGATCCTCAAGTTGTATTTGAAAATTATGGAAACAAAAGTAAATATTTATTTTTCAACGGAAATGTTGTCTAGACAATTTCTTCCAAACTCTTTTCAAAACTGTCATGATTTTTCGTTCGCAATTGAAAATCTTTGTTGCGTTTTCAAAATCAGAAAAAAATTATATCTGGTATTACATGAACAACTGCACTAATTTTCTGAATCAACATCATTAACACTATTTGTTTACACTTGAACGAACATTCTTTGAACTTCTGAAAAATGTAAAAGGCCAAATTTATTCGAATTAATTCAAAAAATTGCCATGGTCTTTCCCCAATTTTTAATCAGTTTCTGATTTTTCCATACTACAGATCAACTAAGTATTATCGGGTCAACATTCTTGTCTTATCGTGAAAAAAGAGCAAAAATGGATGGATTGAAAAAAGAGAAAGTTGTTTAGTACGAGTCACATGAATTTTTCAAGACGAAAATTTTTTTAACACTCAATAAAAAAGAATAAATATCACGTTTGAGTTAAAGAAGAAGCAAAATTTTTTTAAATAGTGAATTCGAAAAAAACGTCTTTAAAAAAACTAACCTTGAATCGTGATCCACCGCTCGCCATTGGTGTAGCAGATGGTGTAGATGGCGGGATCGGTGGATTAGTTTTTCGAATCGGTGTCGTTGGAACTGAAACAGGAACCGGTGGTTTCTGTTGAATTTGTTGTTGCTGAAGATGCTGTTGTCGACGTTGCTCTTGAAGTTGACGAAAATCAACCGATTTACAAAATCGACCTGGAGTTTCGCCTGCAATAATCAAAATCCAGAACGATTAACTCACTTTTTTATGAAAAAAATAATAAAAATAATGACACAAAATAAAGTAGTTTTTCTTATCAGCTGTTTTACACATCACAAAAAAGTTGAAAACTTGTGATTCATTGGAAAAAAATAAACAAAACGTTTTTACTGAAAGAAAGAAACTATTTTTTATGAATTAATGTTTATTCTAGTAAGTAATGTCAAATAAAGTTTCCTCTTTACAGGAAAAATGATTTGGTATGATTTTTAAAAAGCCTTCTGATAACACTATCTTTTCGAATTGTTTTGAACGATTTTTTCGACAGAGTGAAAAAAACGCGAAAAATAAAATAAAAGAACATGCTATGCTTCAACAAGTGCAAGTCAATAGAACAAAGAGAATCGCAAAAAAGTGCACATATATAAATATTTTTGACACAACAAAAACAATTCTTTTTTGACTGAAACCGCCTTCGCCTCCAGAAAAATTTAATCCTAGACCTAACATTTAGAAATAATTTTTGACCGACCTAAATCAACCCCAAACAATACAAAAAAACGTCTAATCTTCTTGTCTCTTCATGTTTAAACGGTTTTTTTGCGACTCGCTTTATTTATTTTCTATTTTTTTGCTGTTTCACTTTCTTTTTTAGCAATGATGTATTTTTATTTACCAAAAAGACCACATGTTTTTTTTTGAAACAGTAAAAATAACTTTGTTTAGAAAGAAAGGGGAAAAAACAAAAACAACAACACTTAAAAAAGAAAACAAGGGAGGGGTGAGGAATAATGAAGCTAGAAAAATTCAGCCAAAAAAACATATAGATGTTTATTTAGTATCTATATATCAACCGGGTAAATATTATTATGTTTTGTATTTTTTTTAGAGTAAATTGGGGATCTGGATTATCCCGATAAACCATTTTCTATATTTTTTTTTGTTTTTTTTTGTTTTTGAAAATGAAAAAATTATTTTCCTATTAATAATGTGATAAGCTTTGTTACTCGCTCGCTGTAGAAAAACACAGTTTAATTCACTACCTGAAAAACATCCCGCATTTTTGGAGACCTAACAAAATTTTGCGGATGTGGTTGAAGCTAGAAAATAGAAGATTCGAAGACAAATTGTTTGATCTACCGGAAAAAGTTTTGAGGCCTGACGGTTTGGGGAGTAAATTACACAATGTAAAAATCAAGAAAGAAAAATTCAACCAAAAACATTTTTTCGCATTAAAAAATATTAACTCTACCTCATTATAGAAAACTTACTGACAAAATTGATGTTTCACTTCAAAAAATTAGGAAAAATCGCAATAAATAAAAAAGAAAACTTGTTTTCGCCCACCGGAAAATTGATTTTTAGGAATGGAAAAATGTTTAGAACGGAGGTATTGTATATATTAAAAAACAGATGTGCTTTGCTTTTTTGAGGGGAATAAAAGCAAAAAAACACATACAAAAAGCAATACATATCCAGCACGTGTTCCCAATTAAATTGGTTTATTTTTGGATTTTTTTCGAAAAAATTATAAAAGTAACAGGGAATATGGTCCAATTTTTACACAAAAACATTTTTGAAGTCTAGATTTTTCTCACACCAGAGACTTTCTGATAAGAAATAAAAAGAAAAAAACTAAAAATTGTCTTCGCAGGAAAATTTTAGGATGACGGATAAATCACAAAAAGGCTCAAAAACTTTGGTTTTTACAGAATAAAATGCGCTTCCGGAAAAAAAAACAATGGAAAAAACGCTTTTTTGTTCTAGAAAAATATCATATATCTGGATAAAAAGCTCGAATCATTTATGAATATTTTTGCGAGGTTTTTGATGTGTATAAATTATAGTTTATAAAACTTTCATGTGTGAAAAATGGTTTTTTGAGTATCTAAAGATGAACCAGATCAAAAAGTCAAGACGTTATGAAAGTTTATTTTTGGAATATGTGGGATCATTGATGTTCCAGTATGATTAGGAAAGCTCATAATATAATCAAGAACGTAAAATGAAAGTTTTATTTTCATTTTTTTAGATTTACACATATTTCACATCTTCGAAAAAAAACATGTTTTCAAGAAAACGAAAAAAGCTAAATTTAAAAATCAAATTGAACGACTGGAAAAAGTTCAGATGTCTTATAGTTCTTATTTCCCAAGAGCTAAGATAAAAATAATAACTCTCATTCAAAAAAGATAAATCACCCTTCTTATAATCTAACATCATTCATATTGAGTTCAAATTCACATGAACAAATTTAGAGATTAAAAATATGATGTTCAATATCCCTTTGACCTACTTCTGTTCAGAATTGTTGCGTTTTTGTGGTATAGTTGGGCTAGAAACTACAGATTTGTGTTACTCATTGAAGTATTCATTCTCTCCCATAAGGTATAAAATTTGATTAAAATTTTCAAGAGAAACTAACCATTAACTAACAATTTTTGAATTTTTCGAGAGCCTAACATAAGTTTGATAAATTTTTTAAAGGAAAAATTGGAATATTTCAAAAGCTCATTCCTAAATCTTCATCGTGACTCAAAAAAACCCTGCCCTTGAAACAATAAACTAACCTGTACTTATATAACTTCCAACCGGCAAAGAATCATCCGAATCTTCCGAACTACTTCCTTTCCATCGTTCATCCAAAATTGTAAATCCGCTCAAATCAGGTGGCCGATTTTTCTTTGCTGGTTCTTCCTGAATAGTTTCCATACTAACATCAAAAAATATATGAAATATGAAAACCGACCTCTTCGACAATGGTTAAAGTTGTAGATTTTGTCTGTTTCTCTGCTGATTCATTGAACATCGTTCTATCTCTATCTGAAAGGCAAGTCTGTCAACCGAAACTTTGGATTATCTGTCTTCTATCTATTTTTTTTTCTCTTCAATACATAGCACTATATATTTATCAAACCATATATTTTTTTTCGTTTCCACTGCTGAAAAAATATTCAAAACTTACGCTTCAATCAAAAAAATATAAGAAAATATATTATTCAGTAAGTTACATATGACAAGAAACAATCTGACAAGACAAGACAAAACAAGTCAAGAAAATAAGATGAAGATGATGAGAAAGAAAAATAGTGTTCTGACTGTAATCAATGAAAAGTCCGGTTTCATTCTGATTGTTAACAGATAGGCGCGAAGGTCAAGTCACTTTTTGACTAATTTTCACTAGTTTTTTAATTTTTTGAAGAGTTTGGATCCAGAAAGATTTTTCTTTTGTTTTCATATGTTTTTTTCAGAAGCAAAAATCGAAAAGGGTGAGAGTAACATTTTGTATCTCAAAAATTAGAGGAAAATTTCAGAAAAAATTGAAACTTCATAAAACTCTTTCAATTTTCTCACCCTTCTGATATTTTCAAAATTTCTGTGTTCTTCTAATCAAAAATTGTGATTGAAAATCAACCCAAATTAAAACAAAAATCTTCACTAACTTTTTCCTCGCTATGTATATGAAAAGAAAAGAATAGAAAAAATTGATTGAATTCAAAATTCATATTAAATTTTGAATACGAACAATAAACTATAAGCTTGGGAAAATAAGAATAACAATCAATGGAAAACATAAATCGATCAGAAATCAACAAAAATTGAATTCGAAAATCAATGCTTTTCCTCTAAATACACGATTTTCTCACTAAAAATGTTGTATGGTTCACAGCTATTACAAAAATGTGTCTGCGAAGAACACACATTTTTGCAAGTATTTTCTGCAGATGTTGTCTTTCAAAAACCAAGCAGATAGTCTGGTCAGCATCTGTAGACAAACACAGAAACATTTTTTTGTAACGATTCTCAATTGTGAAAATATAGGCTTGGAGTATTATTTCAGACAATCACAGCTTCACGAAAAAGAAAAAAATGAGTTGTAATTTTTATAAGCATGAACATTAAATTTCACACAAACATAATCTGAATTAACAAAATTGAACAATATACGATGCTCGATTTTGACATGTGAACGTAGATGTTTTGTCATCGTAAGCGTAGGAATAGGCAGTTGGACAAGCACTTTTAAAAATTTCAGCGGTTTTACTTCGATGGCATTTATCTGGAGTTCCAAATGCTCCACGACAACATTCTTGATCAGTATTGTATCCAAGACATCCGGATTTGCAGCCAACAGTACGATCATTTTTTCCCTTTACAGAAAGATTACCAGGACATTTTTGATTGACATCTGAATGGCAACCTCCAGCACGTTTGCAGTCTTTAGAACAAATTATCAAACAATGTTCTCAATCTTTGAATAAAACTAACTGCTTCCTCCACGTGGATCAATCAAAACTGGAAGATTATATCCATCAACCAATGAAACGTCATAAAAATTTTGACCACCGTGGCCATTCAATGTGAATTCAGCTAATGATGCTGGTGGAACACCTCCAGCTCCATCACATTGTTCTTTATTTCTGCAGAAACCCGTTTCACAGTTGAAATTTGAGTCACATCCAGTTCTTGCCCAAATTCTACCAGCAGTCCATGAATCATCTACATGAATATCTCTAGATTCTCCAGAATTCAACCGAAAACCACCGCCAGCAGGGTTTCCAGGTCCAAGAATACCAGGCCAGATTGTAATTGGACACTTGTTGTAGATTGTGATTGTTCTGGCTTGAACTTCGAAGACTAGAGATACCAAGATAAAAGCAAGTTTCGTCATGTTTTTTTTTGAAAATGAAGACCTCAAGACACCCGCCTTTCTTTTATGAGAAAGTTTTTCAATGTTTGTGACTAATCTATAGAGAATAAACTCAATTTTTGGTCAACTCAAATCACTTCAAAGAAACAGCTCGTCTTCTTGTTCAAATATTTTTCTATTTATTTATTTGTTTTCTATATCTTTTTTTGGTTAAAAATGATGTGTTGTATTTATCGAAATGATCATATGCTTTGCTTTTTTAGAAGTGGATGTTTTGTTTGTAGTCCGATGTTTGGAATGTTGTAGGTTGATCACTTCCTGATTCGATGATGTCAATATTTGATGAGAAAAGCGTTATTCAACAAGAACAGAAAAACATTTTATAGATAAATAAAACAATTTTTTTTTTACATAGTGGTGAAACATTCTGATTTTCTCAAGAGATGTATTCAGTGATCCAAGTATTTGTAGTTTAGGAATTGCAAATTCAGTAATTCCCAAATGAAAACATATATTTTATCGGATTTATCCTTTCATTTTGCTTTTGAATTAGATATACTCTTTAAATACAATTCATTATACCATGAGCAAGAATTATTGAAAGTTTCTGCACAACTTTTTAGGGTTGCGAACAAAAAAATGTGCATTATCGATGGTGTTTCACAAAAGTGACTACCTCAAAAACATCACGATACAAGAAAAATATAAAGGAAATAGAATATGACACCGTTGAGAATAACGGAAATAAAGAAAAAAAACTCAATTAACAACATTAAGTAAATTTTATCATTTAACACAGAATAATAATTAGCATAGTGAAACATTGCATTAATTTTATTTTTTGTCTTGATGAAATGGGTCATTCGGAATCTCCTGAAATGAAAAAATACATAAATATCAAAAGACAGAAAAACTAACCTCAAAATTTCCATTGTTTTCAACTGAGTTAGTTGATTGTCCATTGATGAAAATCATATTATTGTTCAATGAGGGAGTACCCAAATTAGAATACGTTGCAAATCTCAGCATGAAATCTGCATTTCCTGATGCCAAAACCGATCCTGATACCGAATTCGTAGTTGAAGTTGAAGGCGCATCAGCATCCGTCATCTCAACATCGTTATCTTTTGATGGAGGTATGAATTTGGTGCGTTTGAGAGGCGGTGATTGTGACATACCAATACTAATCTGAAACTTAATGTTAGAAAATTGGCAAACAAAAAGAATATGAAACTCAATACCGAATTATAATAAATAATGTGTAAGGATATTTGAGAGAAAGAACAGAAAATGTTTTTGAAAACTATAAAGATTTTTATAGAAAGAAAACGAACAGACAATTATGATTAGATTAGAAATCAATTATTTGATGCACGGTATGCTGTCTACAACAAAATCCTACTATTTGTATAAGGAACAACTTTAATTTTTTCGAAATATAGTTTATTCAACATTAACATAAATATGCCTAATTTCACAAGCTAGATAAAATGAAAGTCAGAATTGTGAGTTGAAGTTTCACAAACAGAAATATTCCGGTCGAAAACGGAGGCGTCGTGGGTGGTCTCGACTTTCTCAACGTTCTCTTTACCCAACCCCTCTTATCCGGGATAATTTCAAACAAGATAGAGAAGAAATAATTTCATTCAGCTCCTGAAAATCTTGCTCCCTAGATTTTTAGGCCATATTTTTGAGAAAAAGGAAATCAAAGAGCACAATCGCTTCCCTAATTAAACTCACAAATCATTCGGCAGACTTGAGTTTAATTTATTAGCCTTTGTGATTTTTCAATCTACAGAAACGAAATTTATGTGAAAACGTGAATCCTAAAATGTCAAAAAGATTAGAAAATATTTAGGAACACATAAATACGAAAAATGAGTAGACAATGAATGAAATGATGAAACTCTGGTTGTCTCGCTCCCGCGCGCACTTTTCTGGAACGCTGCCAAATTTATCTAGTGTTCCTCTTTTAGATATGCAGAGGGGACAATGAATATACGGGCAAGCTTGTGGTGTAACAGATGTACTAGCTAACAGAACACTTTCCCGTCTTTTTAGTACCCGTGAATGAGGAAAGGGGATGGTTTATATGATTAGAACAAAACGATGTTTTGATCTACATAATTATTTTCGAATCTATTATAGTTAAATGCAAATTGAGGAACAGTTAACACAAAAATAGCAACTATTGTCGCTCCAATAAAATAGAAAAAATGTCAGTGTTTTACAAAAATATTGAAAAAATGAAAACAAAATTTGGCAAGGTTGCGGTCAATCTTATTTACTTACTAACAAAACTTTTCCCCGCATTTCTCAGGACCTGTGAATAAAGAAAAATACTATTTTTTGTATAAAAAAAATTTCTACATAACAATTTTCAAAGGTGTTGATGAATGGAAAAACGAAAATAGAAAACCATGAAAAGTAGAAAAATGTTTTGCTCCAATACAATCAAAAAACAGACAATGTTTCACGAAAAAATACTGTCAAATAAAAGAAAAGAAGATTGTGGAGAAGAAAATGTTTTTGTTGCTGTCTTCTCGAATCAAAACATTTTCAAATCTAAATTTAAAAACCAACATACAAAGTTTGCTACACAATCATCATTTATGAATTTCATTTCATCATTATCAAAACAAAGCAGAAAAATTAAAAATACCAGTAAAAGACGATTTGGGAAACTATGAATGTTATAAGCTACAGAATTCAGGTCTTTTTGAATATATATGAAATTCGATACATTTTACACAATTAAAAAACGATATATTTAGGGCTCATCTTCCGATAAATCTTCAATCAAGTCTTCAATTCTAGATTCAACGGTGCCATTATTTGGGACAACAAGATTCTGAAAAATAAATGATTTAAAAATAACCACGTGAACTTCAACCGTACCATATGTTCAAAGCTAGTGGCACTTGGACCCATTTCAAGTTTTTCCGAACTTGTTCCAATTGGTAAATTTGAAACATCATCATTTTCAACTAGATTTTTAGGAGACCCAGAATCGGAGACATCTTCAAATTGAATAGGCGGAAGAGCTTCAACCGCAGGCACATCGTTGTTTTGAATATCAGATGTTGTTCCAATCGGCAAGCTCGGATCTTCGAAATTTTCAACTACATTCTCCGGAACAGTGTTTTCTTCTTCTTCTTTGTCAGTTTTTACAGGTTCATCGTCGGAAAGATCACTGAAATCATCCTCAATTTTTAGATCCTGTTTTTCAATTTCCAGTTTTGGCTCGGGTTCAGAAGAAGAAACTGAATTGCTTGAAGATGGTGGACTCTGAAAAATATCAGAGCGTTCTCTCACAATTGGACATTCAAACTTTTCATAATCATATGTATTTTACTCACTTTGCTATTCTCAAGCTTGGCCCGCTTTGCAGGAATTTCTGATTTTGCTGATGACACCCTTGGCTTCTTATAAACTTCAAAAGCAGACTTCTCCACAAAAGTTGATTCTGGTTTCAATGGAACATTGATCTTCATTTTATCCGCAAGACTTTGTAAAACATCATCAACTTTTGCATGGATAACTAAATCCGCTTTGCCATCCTGAATACAACTCATGAAATAAAAAACGCATTTCTGAATAAGAAACTCACGATTGATGTTTCTTGCAGGTTGATATTCACAACTTTTGCACCTTTTTTCTTGGCATAAAGTGGGAAACCTGATACAGGTTGGACTTTGAGTGAGCTTCCAAGAGTAATAAACAAATCGCAAGCCTGAAATCATAAATTATTCAATAGAATTCTAAATATCAGGAAAAACTCACCGCCAACATTTTTTCAGAATATTCTAATAGATCAGCTGGAAGATCGCTATCCCAATCCAAAGTGTTATCGATGAGTTTCCCTCTGCAGGATCTTCCAAGAGGGGTTCCTTCGCAACTTCTGCCGGTTGGTTTGAAACCAACGCTCAAAATCACCGAATCGCGGTAGTAAATTCTGAAAAAATAAAAAAACTTTTGAAAAAAAAACATTTTCGAAAATACCTACCTTTGACAATTTTGACATTTTTCAGTGAATAAATTACCATGCAATTGGGCCATTTTGTTGAGAGGAAATCCGGATCTAGTGTGTAAATTATCAATATTTTGAGTGATTAGCCAATCAAGCTTGTTCATTTTCTCAAGTTCCACCAAAAACCGATGAGTGAAAGACGGAGAAGCTTCCTCTAATTTGATATTTTCAGTGTGGATTCCTTTTCCTTCCAAGGTCCAGACACCTTTGGGACCACGGAAATCGGGAATGCCGCAGCTTGTCGAAATTCCTGAAATATTCCTTGTTACTCTGGTATCCTATGAAAAATAGAAAATAACCCACCAGCTCCCGTTAAAACCACAACCGAGTGTGCAGATTTCAAAATTTCCTCAAATTTTTCTATTTTCACACCTAATGTTGCTTCATCGTCAAAAATCTCTGGTTCTCCAAATGACCCTTTTTGATCGTAAGGTTTTAATAAATCATTATAGGCCAAAGACGACATGTTTTCTGAAATAAAGAATTTTTTCGGAGAGAATGAAATTGCATGAGAAAAAGTACATTTTCCCAAAGACAAAATATTAAAAAAAGAGAAGAGAAGAGTGTTGCTAATAAAATTTATATTCAGAGAAAAATAAATTTTTGAGTATTGAGATGTATGAAATTAGAAATGTCTGAAAAGGTTCCATCATTCAAATTTGCAATTTCTGTTTTTGATAAATTGCATTACTCAAAAAACCCATAAACATTATATTCGAAAAAAAATAAAAAAACACAAGCGTTCTCGTAAAACAACACATTATTTACTTTGGCTAAACAACACGCACGCGGAGTGTTGTCGTTTATGGTTTTTCACGAATTTTCTAACAAATAACTAGGGAAAATGAAAATGTAAATTTTGGGTAATAAGGCCATTGATTATTGAATTATATCTAATGAATGTTTTATATGATAACGATTAATACATATGACAGTTTATAATATTTCATTGAAGAAAGACATGGCAGGGACACGGGTAAACAACGCGCATGCGGAGTGTTGTTATTTTTTTTTGTTTTTCATAATATATGAAAATGTTTGTGGAAAAAATGGAAAAAATACTTTTTTTTTACAAAAATCGAGAAAGAAATACTAAAATATTTTTGTAATGGAATATTCTCACAAGCATAATACAAAACATGAAAAGATTGCACTCACGATCGGAAATTCAACAACTTTCGTGAGACTTGTTTTCCATCGAGGTGACAAAGTACGAAAAAAATGTTTGACAGTGTTTTTATGAAATTTTAGGATTGTGCCACTTTTTTTGATTACAAATTTTGTAAACAAATACCAAAGATTTTCGAATCTTCTGATAACTTTGAAAATTTGATCAAACCTTATTTTAAAATAGACCGCATACAATCAAACACGTAGTTATGAAGAACAATCTTGTCTTGTCTGAAAGTACATCATTTTTAATTTGGATCTTTTTTGATCCAAATAAGTTTTTTCTCTCTATTTTTGATAAGAACACAGAACATCCACGACATGCATAGGTCGATTGTGAACAACTGTTGAAACTAGAATCTATGTATTTTATTTACTGACTACATACGTTCAGATTTTAAAAAAAGTTCACAGTTGTTGCTATCACGTGAACATTTCTTGATGAAAGTTGTTAGAAAAAAAACATATGCAATTCACAATTCGTGTGCCCGCCTCTTTTTTTTATAAGCATCAACTTCTGAATAATATCTTCAGTTGAAAAAATGAAACTTCTAACACTATTTCTTTTCCCAATTCTGATTTTCGGATATCACGTAATCAACAATGAATACAAAACTGCAGCCAAACAATCGGTTGCTGGATCATCAGTTGGAGTTATTTCACGAAAACCTAGAAGTAAGAAAACAATTCAATACTTCGTTTTAAAAAAAGGATTGTTAAGGCCCACCTTGTAGAGAATGGCATCGACCTTCCTGTGGGCAATTTACTAGATGCTCAAATGGAAGAGAGTATGTTATGGATTGCCCGAGCGGCCTTCATTTTGATACAAGACTCAAAATTTGCGATTATCCAGAGAATGCAAAGTGTTGATTGTTTTCTTGAAATCAAACTTGATTTGTGTTTCATTTAGGACCATTTCTATTTTTTTTTATTTTCTCATAAATTCCTTACTTCGGTTAGAAAGGTTTTTACTTGAAACTTTATTCGGCTGATTAAAAAAATTACATAAAAATTACAAAAGTATCCATTAATTAGAATTGAATCCTTAAAAAACACAGAATAAGTTTTCATAGTTTGAATCAACATGAAAATCGGAACCATAAATGTTTGGCGCTACAAAAACAATTTTGGCAGGATACGTATATAAGATAAGTTAATTGTAAGAAAAATGATATCGAGAATAGGGCGGAAAACTGGTAAAAGTTTTGAAAAATTGAAAACGGTCTCATAACTCAAAAAATAAGAACATGAAATATATAATTAAAATAAAGAACACACGATATTTTTCACCGTTTACAAAAAAATGTTTCGTTGTCAAGTTTGTAAATACTTTTGAAAAATGAAACAGAAGATCAGGAGAGGAGTGAGATGTTTTTGAAAAAAATTCGAAGATCATAGATTGATTGAGTTTTCGATTTATACAAATAGAAAATATTAAAAAGAGAAGAGGGGTTAAAAATGTTCACATGTTTGTGTTTTGTTGCTGATCTACTTCCATTATTTGATCTTCTTGATTGGCTGGATAAACACCGATTGCTAACATGTCTTCAGGAATGTTTTCGAGCTTAAAAATTGAATTCACCAAAAAAAATATACTTAAAAACTTACAATTTGTTCGAGTTCTTCATCAAAGTCGTCACGATTCAATTGCGGTGCTTGGGCGTTTTGTTTAGGCCCTTGATATTGTTGCTGCATTTGATGTTCCTCATGAACCGCCTCCACAATTCCACTAACAACTCGAGCAAATGGTTCATCTTGTGTCTCAGTTGAACTGCTCGTTTCAGAGAAGCTTGGCGAATTTTCTTGTGGTTGTTGTTCATCTCCTCGAGTACCATCATCTTGTCGGAAACTATTTCCCGTCTCAAGGTCTGAACCAGTTTCTTCTTGAGTTAAATTTTGCTCATCCAGCGTGTGACGTTCTCTTTGTATTTGAAGTGAGATTCCTGCGACTTGGGATAACTCTCTATCTTGTTGTGTGCTTGGAGCAGGTTCGACATCAATTCGAGCTTCAAAAGTTTCATCACCTCTGTGAAAATGTGTGTTGTGCTCAACAAAGTGTTGCGGTTCGTTTGGATAATTTTGAGCAAAATGACCACCATAGTAGTTTTGTGGTGGCCCATAATTCATTGGATTTCCTCCTTCTCCCATAGCTGGTCTGAACTCAAATGACGGTAAAGCATTCGGTTGTTGTTGTGGATTATAGGTATCCGCTGATTGCGCAAAAGTAACATGTTGATGCTCTTGAAACTGGTCAAATCCATAATGATAAGCATTCACATTTTGATTATGTTGTTGCTCAGGAATTGCAGCATTGACCGGGTTTCCGATTGGTTGGTGTGGTTCAATGAATTCATTCATTCTAGGAAAATCCATATCTTGATGATTCTCAACAATATCTTCATTCACATTTGGCTTGACATCCAGCTCATCTGGTTGATTTTGCTCGTTTCGTTGCTCAACTTGTTGCTCATTTTCTTCAATATTTTCGATCTTCACCTTATCGAGTGGTGCGACTTGCGGATCTTCTTGTTTTACTTGATCTTGTTTTCCAACAACTTCATCCTCTGTTGTTTCTTCCATTGGTTCTTCTTTGATTTGTCGAAATGGTTCAGCTGGTGGAGCAGGTCCTGGTGCATTTTCTTCTTCTTCTTCTTCTGCTTCTTCTTTTGTTTCATCTTCTTCCATTGGCTCTTGTTCATTATTTTGAACAACATCGTCTAAAACAACTTCTAGCTTGTAGTGATTGTTACGAGGAAATGGTGGAGGAGGTGGAGATTCACGCAAATGATATTCCGGGCGAGGGTCGCCTCGACCATAGTCTACTTCAGGCTCCTGAGGTGGTGCAACTCCATATTCTCCATCATCTTCAGGTTCTTGACGTGGTGCAACTCCATATTCTCCATCATCTTCAGGTTCTTGACGTGGTGCAACTCCATATTCTCCATCATCTTCAGGTTCTTGACGTGGTGCAACTCCATAACCTTCATCGTCTTCCGGTTCTTGAGGTACTGGTTCTCCTTCACCCATGTATCGCATAAGCATATTTGTCAACTCGCCAACGTGACCATAAAGACGGTTATCAAGTAAATCATCCTAAAACATGATCATGAAAATAAACAGTGAAAAATTGCAAGTGAGAACTTACAAATTTGGTTTCAGTTGAATTCATGATATAAATTGGTTTACCAAGTTTGAATGCATATTTGAACAACCTCGCAGTTCTTGCGTTGACTAAATTTGTTCCAATAAAAATTATTATGCGGCATTTCTGAAAAAAAATTTAATTTATTTCGAGAAGATTTTTTGCTGTTAGAAGCGTGCCGTGGGCACATAATTTATACGCGGTTTCTTCACACTTGCTCAATTCGTACAGTCATATAGCGTGAATTGCTTCATTTTTCAGCATATCAAAATAAACCTACATTTATTTCAGCTTTTGCTTTTCCCATTTCAAATTCATCCTTTGCAAAACAAGATGGATATTTTTTCCCAATTCTACCACGACAGCGATCACGACAGCGACCACGGCCGCCTGGCGTTGAACTACATATGCCGGGTTTTCCAGGTTGATCTTTGTAGTTGTGGAATTCTCTGAAAATTTTTCTCTCAAAGAGTTTTCTTAGAATTGTTGAACAAACCTTCGGCAAGTGTAGCAATACGAGACTGCAATACTTCCATTTAAATTTATTATACGAGTAGGGTCTTTGTTGTTATCAGATGGTTCAGCTTGTACAATGAAACTGAATGGATTCTCAGTTATTACCGCTCTGAAAAAATGAAGAATTATTTGAAACAAACACAAGAAGGTTACAAACCTTAACAGCTTTTTCTCTATTAATATATTGATTGCATTATGAACTGAACCAAGTCTCAATTCTTCGACACATTTGGCATCATCCAGTCCAGTGTCATAGAGCACCTCTGAAATACGAACACAATATTGATAACCTTTTGTCTTGGTGAATTCATTGATTAATAAATATAATGCTTTCTCGTGTTTCGATAATATTTTTCAAGTATTCGTTGAAAACGATGAGATACTTTGAGATTCGCTTGAAATCCTGATTTCAAGAAAAGTGTCCTCACTTTTCAGATTCTTTGTAAAATATTCATGTGAATTTTCGGAGTCGCAACTTTTCAAATCTGTTTTGCCTCTGATGCCAAACATTTTTATAATTAAGCCATAAATTGTTGTAAGTTTGTATTCATTAAACTAATTGATGCTTTTTTGACATTTGCAAAAGTTTGCGCAAACAATTATTCAGTGAATCACGTTAATTAAAAAATATGACAATTCTTTTCGAAAAATTGTCCAGTCTCGTGATTCAGTAAAGTCACTATTCTTTTTTTTTCAAAGAAAAATGATGATTTTGATTTAAAAATGTTGAGCTTTTTGGAAAAAAGTGCAATATCTAAGGAAAAAACCGTTGAACATACCTCGACTTCAGATTTTTTGAAAAAAACAAGATTTATCGTAATGTTTCACAGTTTCTTTTCTTTTGATAATCTTTTCGAAATCAGTTTTTGTTTTCAAAAATGTCTAATGTTCAAGTTACATCCCGATAATTCCAAAAAAACTTACCTGCTCCTAAAAACACCACGGCTTCTTTCATTACAAGGTGCAAAGACAATACTTGGCAATAATGTGCAATCGTCGATAGATCATCGTTTCGTTCTTCATAAACTTTTCCTTTAATTTCCCTCACCAAAAGCTTGTTGATAAAGTTGCGACCTTCTTTTATATCAGACATCTCTGCAAAAAATACAATTAAAGCTCTAAAAATAGATAAAATTTCAAAAAAAAAGACCAAGGACAGCAGGCAGGAAGAGAACAAAAAAAATGAAAAGAAAAAAATAAGCAGCGACGAAAAGTGATAGAGTGCGAGAAAAGCTGAGAAGTGAGAGAAACAGAATGAGGTAAAAACATTTGGGAACACTCACATGTTGCTCATGTTTATGTTGTTGAGATTTGCTATGTGTGAGAAATTTTGCACTTTTTACAGGTGGTCTTTCAAAGGGGCCTAAACTAGTTTTTTTAGGTTTCAAGTGAAAAAAAATCAAGAGAAGGAATTTGAAGTAATCTAAAAATTCAAAAAAAATAGGAAGAAGAAAAGGGCTTTTGGCACACACGCACAATTAAAATAAACTAAAATGAAAAAGTGGGCGTGACGAAAAAAATGAGCGACGGAATGCCCTTGTTTTGATTATTCCACACAGCCCTCTGCACAAAAATGGGCGCTCATCGATTGTCGACAAACTTTTTGAACTACTATGCAATATAATAAATTAGAGAAACAAACACCACGTGCTCTTCCTGTTGAACATAAATAAAAAGAGGCGCCAAACCGCATTCGCATATGGACAGGCGAAGAGAGTGCAAATCTTAGATTGATATAAAATATTGTGAGCAGCGAGGAGAACAGAGAACAAAAAATAGAGGCAATATATTGAAAGAAGAAAGAAATAATTATTGTTGAGACATTTTTGAGCCGCGAGTACAAAACAACAAAAACATATGTATGATTGAAATTGTGGTCTGATAATAATAAGGGGTTTTGAAATTACTAGTAGGGATTTATTTATAATAATAAAAATGTACTATTTTTGAAGAGTGGCGTAAAAATTTTGAGAGATGATTTCAGATAAGAAAAAAATCAAGATTCAAAAAATGCGTTAAGAATTCGTTTTTGAGAAGTGCTATCAGTATAAGTGAACTACAAAATACTATTCACAGGAATTCAAATTTTTTTCGAAAGTTTTTATGATAAGGTACTTACCGCAATAATTTTCAAAAATGATATACAAATACAGTAAGCTAGTGTTACAGTAATCCAATGTTCTTCAAATGAGGTTCATTTTTTCTGCAAATAACAGAATCGTTCATAATTTCTCACAACTACAAAAGTTTCAATAAGCCAATTTTCACAAAAATTCCAAAATAATAACATTTTCAAACAGCAATCCACCAGTTGTTCTCTTCATAAAAATCTTTTTAAAAATTCTCAACTTTCACAGAACACAACACTTTGTGTGTTTTTTTTCAGATAAATAATTTTACTCTTTTACACATAATTCAAATTGTAGTTTATTTTTGCTGAAACTATCAATTATAAGTTTGGTAACTATAGTAACGGCTTTTGGAGAATCCAAAAAATTTCAACCCGCAAAACATTTTTGGAAAACACAATGTCAGGTTTTACAGAAAAAGAGAGAGAGAGAGAGGGTGAAATTTGTTCGTTTTTTGTGGGAGATTTATCCAACACATAAAAACCTTTCCGGCTTCATCTTAAAATAATGGATTCGACAAACATGATGTGATGAATTTTTTTAAAGATTTATGAATTTGGTTAAATTTTGAACAAGATGACGTGCCAAACAGAACAGATAATGAAATCTTCAGAATTTTTAAAAAATATGTTCCGCATTTGATATTGATTCCTAAGCAGATTTGTTGATCTGCTTAGAAAAAATACATTAGTAGGAGACTTTAAAAATTATATATACATGTGTTTTTGTTATGATTTGCTAAAAAGGGCAACCTTTTGTGAATGAGTCAATGGGAACTTTATATTTTGTGAATTACTGTATTGTATGCTGTTAGTTTCCCCCACATAATTTTTCGTAAAAAGGAAACTTTTCGATCTTCAATGTTTTCGGAGAGACAAAAACAATGGCAGCAAATTAATTTTTAAAGAGTCTAGCACTTTTTTGTGCATGTGTTTTGCACTTTAAATTTTTACATCAAAGTTTTTCGATATGGTCATAAAATATAAACTTCAGATACAAAAAATCAATATCAATAGAAGAAAAAAACAATGGTTATTACACTGTATTGGAAACATTGGCACAATTATATTTGAAAAAACCGTTTTCAAGACTTGGGCTAACTAATAAGGTACAAATTGTTTGATTGTTGACTTGCTTAACTTTACAAAATTGTATTATCAAAATTGTATTATGTCAAACTTCACAATTTTTGATAAATAAAAAACATTTTTAAGCTAATGAAATGTGATCTAGTTTCACATAAAGTAATTTTCAAGTTTTCAATCGTTTATCTACCTAACTTTCAGCCAGGTGGTATTTTTTGACATGCTTGGATGGTTATAAGACTATGCTCAAGGTTTTCTGGTCCAAAATTAATATTTTCAAATTTGATTCACTCACAATCAATGCCAGAAGAGCACTGTTGAAACACCAATTTTCTTTAAATAAAAGTCTTCTCGTAAGACCTTTTTTTTTTGAAATAATAACTTCAAAATCAAAGTAATAATTTAGGTTAATATGATGAAACATCAACTTAAAAACATTTCATGTTATTTTCTTGATTTAACTATAATATAATATTTCAACATATGTTCTCATTCATTTTTTGTATAAAAATACTGGATATGTTTCATTAACAACAAAATACAACAAAATGTCTAATTACTTTTCTGAAGTTTTTAACTTCGAACATTTCAAGAAGTAGTAACCTCATTCTTTCTTTTTTATTCATTGAATCCTGGTAAAATTCTCATGAAAATTTCTATCTGAAAATAGAAAATATTGATCTACAACCTTTTCAAAAGGCATTGTTTAATATCAACTTTGATATCAGAGCATTCTTGAAATTTTTTATATTTTCACAGGAAACCATTTTTACTGTTTGTTTGTTCAAAAAGTTTTCGGCTTCAAATTTTTCAAATTACTCATTTTCCTACAGTTTTACACAGATAACACATCATTCTATAATATTTCTCTTGTTTTCAAAATTTTTATAAGTTCTTTTATGTTGATCAAAATTTTTAAATCAATTTTCACAAAACTTCCTACGTTCAATTCAAAATTAGCTTATTTTTTACGCCTCTCACAATTTCATACGTAGCAAAACGGCATTTCCATTGTTTGAAAGTTCGGAAGTGTCTGCATTTTTTTTCTAGAATTTTAAATGACCTACAGTATGTATCTATGTTTTGATCTTTTGTCAACCAAAAACCATCACCACAAAAACATAAACATTGCCAGAATAAGGTGCTAAATCATAATTATATTACCCACGCCGGCCCCTTTTGGCCCCGCCCACTTTTATTTCTAATATAGGTATCCCTGTCTAAAATCATCATTGTTTGTATGTTGGTTTTCTCACTCATCATTCGCTTGCTCATTTTCTCTCCGCTCATTTATTTTGTCCGTCCGGACGGCCGGCCGGCTCTTGCGCTACTTTTTTTCTATTATTAATTTTTGTCACGCGGATTTTGTTATTAATTTTGAAAAATCTATGTCTTTTTCTGAAAAACTTGTGTTTTCTTTGTGCAAATTTGTAATTGAAAAAAATCAAATTCCAATTTATTCTTTTTCAGGATGAACCTTCGATATTACATTCTTTTGCTCGTTCCAACACTTGCTGTAACTTTTGCATGGACCGGAGCTGGAATTCGAAACCGTGAGTTTTTTTTTTTCGAAAATAATATGAAATAAAGTTCAACATCGAGTTTTGTTTGCATACTTGACCACTGGAAAAAGCCTATTGTTTTTTCAAGTGTTTTTGAATTTGAGTTGAATATATCAACTGTTGTTTTTGTAACATTTGAGCTCTGAGTGCACGAATTTTCAACAAAATCATCTTGAAAGAGGACGTTTGGTTTTCTAGGCCACAGTCTCTATTTAAAATTATCTTACAGATCCTGCTGATGTCGTCGCAAAACCTCACGACAAATCATCTGGATATGTTGCACGATCTCCATCAACTACCAACTTTATTAGACCATGCTATTTCACAAATTGGGCACAATACAGGTTCGGTTAAGAAATTTGATATTATTTTGATGATTCCGCACGCATCTTATTTACACATTGAAGAATGCGTGTGTAAACATCAAAACCTGTCACGTGTGAATTGAATGAGAAAATTAATATAATAAAGATCATTTTCAGACAAGGAAGAGCGAAATTTATGCCTGAAGATTATACACCAGGATTGTGTACACACATTCTTTTTGCGTTTGGCTGGATGAATGAAGATTATACTGTCAGGTAACATTTTTATAAAACATTTCTAAACATTGAAAATTATAAAGTAGTTCACAAAAATTCATCAAAAGCTTGTCAGAATTTCACAACATGGCTCTGACTTGGGAAAATAGTCCGCAGATCAAGCCAGGCTTTCTCTGAAAAATGATACTTTTTCAGAGCATACGATCCAGCGGATTTGCCAAATGACTGGGCTGGAGATGGAATGTATAAAAGAGTGAACGCTTTGAAAAAAACTGATACCCAACTCAAAACTTTGTTGTCATTTGGTGGATGGTCATTCGGAACAAGATTATTCCAAGGAATGGCAGCTAGTTCAGCAACGAGAAAAGTGTTCATAGATTCAGCAATTGCATTCGTCAGAACTTGGGGATTCGACGGAATTGATATTGATTGGGAATATCCATCAGGAAATACAGATATGGCTAATTTTGTATTACTTGTCAAAGAACTTCGTGCTGCTTGTGAAGCTGAAGCTGTTAAGAATAACGCTGATCGTCTTCTTGTAACCGCAGCTGTCGCTTCTGGTCAACAAACAATTGATGCTGGATATGATATTGCTAATCTTGCCAGCTCTTTTGATTTTATTCTTCTGATGAGTTATGATTTCTTTGGAGCTTGGGCATCGTTAATTGGTTTTAATTCTCCGTTATATGCTACAACTGAACTTCCAAGCGAATGGAACACATGGAATGTTGATTGGGCTGCGAAACACTGGAACGAGAAGGGAATGCCAAAAGAGAAAATCATTATTGGTATGCCAACATATGGAAGAGGTTGGACATTGAAAAATGTTAGTGATGCTGTTCCTGGAGCAAGTGGAACTCCAGCAAAAATCACTCAATTTGTTCAAGAGGCTGGTGTTGGAGCATACTATGAGTTTTGTGAAATGTTGGCATCTGGAGGAAAACGTTATTGGGATCTTCAATCACAGGTTCCATATCTTGTCCAAGGTGATCAATGGTGGTCGTATGATGATGCTGAATCATTTGCAAACAAAATGGCTTGGATCAAGAGAGAACAATTTGGTGGAGCGTTTGTTTGGACATTAGATTTTGATGATTTCAACGGTAAATGCTCAAATGGAAATGGTCAAATCTATCCATTGATTGGAGTGATTGCAAAAGAACTTGGTGGAATCACAATTGGATCAGGGACAACTTCTACATCAACAACAACAACAACTCAAAGACCATCTACAACTGCAGCACCTGCAACGACCACCCAATCAACAACGTCGACAACTAAAGTTTCTAGCACTAGCACAGTTGCAACCACAACCACCACAGCTGCAAGTTCAAATCTCTGCACTGGAAAATCTAATGGACAATATGCTGCAGTTAACAACTGCAATAACTTCATTCTCTGTTTGGATGGTACAAGCTATTCTCTTGCATGTCCCCCTGGTCTTCAATTTTCTTCAAGTTTGCGATATTGTACAACAGCTGCAAAATCTGGGTGTACCACAACTACAACAACCACAACAACAACCACAACAACACAAGCAACAACAACATCTACACAAGGTTCGAGTAAGTTGAACGTTTTCTTCTGTGTTTTCAGCCACATTCAAAAATCTGTTTCCAGCCACATTCAAATGCACAAAAGATGGATTCTTTGGAGTTGTTGGAGATTGCAATAAATTTGTGCGATGTGTCAATGGCATCTCATACAATTTCGAATGTCCAAACGGACTCAGTTTCCACGCTGACAGTCAAATGTGCGATCGTCCAGACGCCACAAAATGTGCCAAATAAGTTATTTTTGATTTTATTTGTATTTTTCTCTTCACATATACACGGGAACATATATAAGCTTCAAGCATTTATCTAATATTTTTATTATTATACATATTTTTTCCATAAATTTATATCTATACTACCAAGAGTTTATGGTTTAGAAGTTTCAGGTAATTTTTCCAGCAAAATTTTCTCTACATATAAAAAATGATTTTTAAAAAAGCCACAAAAATCGTTTCAAGTAAATTGAAAACAATGAAAATTTAAAATTTTTAAAAATTTATTCGTTCAAGATAAATTTACAACCCACAAGAATTTTTTTGTTTGTTTTCCACATATAAAAGAAAGTTGACCCATTTAAAGGAGACCACATAAAAAGAAACTTCGAAGGTACCCGAAAGACAGTGTAGAAGTTGAAAAAAAAACTATCACAAAACTATTTCGCAATATTGGTATACATGTAATAAGCAAAATCAATCACGAAAAAACAGCAAATCACTTGGAAAATGAAACCAACGAGATTAAAAATGAAAGGTTTGCTTCCAGCAGTTTCAGAAAGCTCTTCGAATTTATGTTTGATATATTTGACAAAGTTTACACCGGGCAATTCGACGGAGAAATTTCGAGAGATTTCCTGAAAAAAAATTAAGCAATTTTGTTTTGAACAGTTTTAAAAACAAATCTTACCCCAGGTGTTTTTCCTCCAGTTTCTGGCAAAAATTTGTATGTAACAATAGCATAAATCGTGTTCATTACAACAAATGGAATAAGAACATTTGATACACCATGATAATTCAAAGCAGTGAGCAGGAAATTGGTGAGAACTCCACCAAATCCATTTTGTACAATTCCAACAATAGCAGTTCCAAGAACCTTGTCATTAGCTAAAAATAATTCGGGAACTATAGCGTAAGCTGATTCGCCACTGATTGCTGCAACGGATAAATCAAGAGCAGCTAAAATTGGAAGAATAATCATGATTGGGACAATTGTTGCAAATTGAGGCGCAGAGAAAACAATAGCAAGAATTCCGAAAATGACACTCAATACTGTTGGGAAGATCAAAAGTGAACGGCGGGTGAAGTTGTCAAAGCAGCTGGAAGAAGAAAGATTCTTTTGAGGAAAAAATAAAGGAAATGTGTGTATATTTTAAGTTTCAAAGTTATCCAAGTTTCCCGCGTCTTATGTCTTATATTTTTATCATTTTTCTTACCCTAACAATGCGATACTAATAACAGCTTGTGGAAGTGACATGATGAGAGAAGCTCTTTGTGCTTTTCCAGAAGATAAGCCATAAGTTTCGAAAATTTGAGTTGAATATGAAATCCAGAGCTGAAAAAACCCCGTTTATATTTAAATCTCTTCACATTTTACCAACCCAATCATCTAAATGAACAAAAGTTTGGATGAAGAGAGCAATGAGAAGTGGTCGGAAGAATTTTCCATCTTGGATTCGATCAAAAGTTTTTTGTAAGAATTCTTCTCTTTCAATTTTGCTTGAATTCCCATTCTCATCGATTTTTTCTTTTGCCATTTGAAGGGTCTAAAAAATTATATGATTTGATTATAAAATGTTAATCGATTGGGAAAACGAAAAAAAAATTGCTCACATATTGTTTTTCGCTCAAAATTTCTTCCATAGATTGTTTACAATCTGCAGCATTTTGATAGAACGACATTGCTTTTCTTGCTTCGCTTTCTCGATTTGCCAAAAATAGATATCTTGGAGAATCTGGAGCTTTCCAGAGGATGACCAAGGCTGGGAGCAAAACGACGAGTGGGAAACCCATCGCCCAATGCCACATATTTGGACGACCGAGGAAATCATCTAATGAAATAATCATTCCACCAAGTTCACCCATACATGCCCACATTGTCTGGAAAAAAAACGGTTTGAAAAAATTGCACTGGAAGCAGGGTTCAAATACTTTTATGTATATTTTCAAGATTGAATATAGAAATAAGTTTTCTGTTCTACAAATTAGAAGCCCTGTCAATGTTTTCAACTCTCTGACATGTGAGAAGTTTGTTTTTTCTAAAGTAAAGCACTCAAAATTTGATAAAAATATTACCAAAGTTGCTAAAACTGTTCCTCTCTTATTCAAAGGTGGAAGTTCTGACAACATAACAGAACCCGCTGTTTGTACCATCCCTTGCCCAATTCCATTAATAAGTCTTCCAAAAGTTGCAACCATCACACCACTCGGAATATAAGTGATCAAAAGTGTTAAGACAACACCAATCACATCCAAAATTGTACCTAAAAAAAATTTGTGTACCGTATTCTCTTGCACTTTTTCTAATATGAAAACATGTTGTCTTCCAAAGTTTTCAAAAGTGTTTTTTATATCTTACCGACAATAACTGGCAATTTTCTTCCGTTTTTATGCGACAACAAAACAGCAATGAAACATCCAATTGCCAAACCATAAATTCTTGATGACACCAGCATTTCCCAAGCATGATTGGCTGAAAAACACAAACTATCTTTTATGTTTTCCTTGTGATTTCCATGTGTCAATTTAATGAACACACTTTTTATTACAAACGTCGTAAAAAGTTCAAAAACTATTCGATTCGAAGAAAAGTGTGACAGGATTCGGTGTGATGTCACTTTTCAAAGAGATTATTATCAATCAAAAAATTCACACTATTTTCGTCAAATCAATTACACAAAAAAAGATCAAATAGCGTGTTTTTCTGATTTCCTGGACAATGACAAAAATTCACAAGATTGATACATTTCAAGTGTCAGAAACAATGTTTTGATGCACTTTTTGCGAAAAAGATAAGAAGTTTTTTCAGATGGTTACTGTATTTTGATATTTGATTTATCACTTGAAAAATATCGGAATTGTATGATGTGTCACTTTTGTTGTGAAATAAACCCGTTTGGGTTTTTTTTTTCAAAACTTTTTTGATTTGTTTGAAAAATCTGGAATATTGGGGGATTTGATAAAGGTTCAAAATGTCGATATATTTTATTCGAATATTTTTACCAGAACTTTGTGAATCAATATCAAAAAACATGTATCAAAATTTGAAAAAAATATTACTTTCTGAATGCGAGTGGATGAAAATATTCAAAATTTTAACCCATTTATTCTAGACATCTCTCAAAACTTTGCTCTTTCTACATGATTCAAAACCACTTGAAATCTCAAAATTTGCCGTGTCATCAACTAATCAATTCAAGCATTTGATATTAAACCAATTGTTGAAAAATTCAGAGAAAATGCACCCATTTTATGAGTCATCAATTCTGATATTATTATTTTCCAAAATAAATCGATCAAAACAATATGACGTTGACACACCATTTAATAAAATCAGAAATTTGTGCATAAAATCCATTATTCCCCACCCCCTCTTTTTCCGAAGATGACTCATAAGTCATCCCAATTTTTTCTCACTCACCATTTTCTTTTGTCCCGTAAACACTTATAAAAAAAGGCATGGCTGCTGGTAGAAGATTGTCAACAACACTATCCAAGAATAACTGAAAAAATAGGATATTTGAGAAACTATCAGAAAAGTATAGAGAGAGCTCACCAAGAAATGACTAGCTGCTCCAATGCTGAGGACCACCAAAGCGAGGCGAAGTGATGGTGAACCTGGTGGACAGGTGTTGAGCACCCTTGGCATACGAATATGAACATCCTTCATTTTTTCATCACTCTGAAAAATAAATGAATGTTCAATTTGATCTTTGCAGAAAGAATAATGAAATGGAAGGTGAATTATTATTTTTTTTAACTGCAAAAAAGAAAGGACCTCTGGAATAATATAAATGACGATTTTATTGTTTCCCTCCATTTTTGATTGCCTCCAATCGGATCGAAGTTATTTTTAATGTCAGATTTTTTGAATAAAACTTTCATCGAATTTCACACCAAAAAATGACAATTCTTTTTGAATAGTAAAATAATTCTAGTTGGAATACAAATTTAAGAAGAATGAAAATAGCAAAAAAACACAAACAAGTTTAGTACAACTATTTCTTCGATTTTATTGAAAATTTGTCGAATAATAAGAGTTTATAGAATAGGAATAGTGGGTGTGTATCATATCAATTGTCTATCTCTATCAATTTGGTTGTTTTTTGTTTTACATCTATGTAAAGTCCGATTTTAGCGAAAAATAAGACTATGAGGACAGTTGTACGTATCAAGTCTAGAGATTTATATGTGTTTGAAAGATCCAGATCTCTTTATATTTATGCAAAAAAAGGAAGAAAAAGAAAAATATAGATAAAATCAGAAAGTATTTGATGCGAATTGAATTGAATCATATGCATAATTTGATTTGATTTGCGTCACGTGTGTCTAAAATTATGGGAAACGTGAGCATTTTTCAAAAGCTAGAAAGGAATTCAGTCAATATGAGCATACATGAGCAGCAAAACCTGCATCTCTGTTTCTTTTTTTCCGTGTGTAGAGAGTCAGCCTTTTTTTGAACTCTAGAAGTATGAATATTAAATTTATTGACCGTGGGAATTTCATTGAGAAATGAAAAAAAGTTTCAAGAGCCAAGAATGAATAACTTTTTTCTGATGAATCACAAATGAAATCAGATATTTATGGGAAAACGGGATGATTTTAGACACTCTGATCCTGATTTTTTTGGCATAAAAATGATCAAGAATAAGAAACAACGGATTTTAAATTTTGCAAAGAGAACATCTGAAACCAGAAACAATTTTGGAAAAATAAAAGAAAATAAATTATTTATGCAAAACGAATAAGGTTTTTTTTTGGAAAAATGTTTTTTTTACTTTGTTTCAAAGTGTTCTAGTTTTTTCGCCCCTTCAAGAACTGAAATGTTAATTTGGTTGAAAGTTAATTAGAAATTTGAATCAGTCAGTTTGTTCTTCAAAAAAAAGAGAAATTTTTGTGTTTTTTTTTCAGTGAAATTGGATATACATGGGAAAGTATCTGGATTGGTTTTTTCTCAAAAAATAATTATGAAAATTCAAAAACAATTCAATTCACTAATCAACAACCATCATTCAAAAAAGGGCGTTATGAAAAAGTTTCCTATCAAAAGTAAATAATTCCAAAATAGAACACAATCAATTTTTTGTAAAATTGAGTGCAATCAAAGATTGAGTATATTTTTTAACTTTACGGAAATCTTCCCAACATTTTCACAATTTCTATGAACTTAAATTATATTTTTTCGGAGAGTAATACAGTTCATAAAAGTTTGGAACTCAAAAGAACAATGAAAAAAGAATAGAAATTTTCAAAAATATTTTTTGTTCAATTATAAAACACATCATTTCGATAGCGAGAGGGTATTATAAAACTTCCCGATCAAGAGGAAATATATTTTTATTTAAAAAGTGAAACATACCATTTTCTCGAACTAGGAATAATTTCAATGAAGCTTTTTATTCAACTTCTCTTTGAATTCAAAATGTTTCAGACCAAAAATGTTCTTTTTAAATCCCTAATTTCTTTTTTTTTTTCAATTGAAAAAAAAAACTTGGAATTTTCATTATCTCACAATCTGCGAATCTAGAAAATGTTGTCATCAAAAGCTTTTCTGTCGATAAGAAAAAATTGCAGCGGAACAATTTTGATCTTTTCGAACAATAAAAAGTTTTTGTACGTAGTGACACAAAATTGAATTTTTTGAAACGTATATATTTTCTTTTTCCAGCAAAAATATAAAAGAAAAATAAACGACATTTTTTCACACATTTTTGAAAAGAACGGGAATTTTCAAAAGAAAAGAAGGAGAATAAAACTAACCAAAAGGGGTTCGGCTGATGAGACCACTTCAAATTGTCCGCCTAAGTATTGATTCCTAAGATATTCTCTGGATTTTGTCGATGGCAATCCACGACTTAGCAGCGTTAACATTTGTTGTTCTTCCTTTCTGCAAAAAAACAAAAAGTTTAAATTTTTTCTTAGAGAAGAACATAAAAATTGGCGGAAATTTGTTTTGTTTTGTGCATTGTTCTCTCTTGAAAAAAAGACAACAAATGGGCTACTAATCGGAAAACGAGAGGACACTCTTTGGGAAAAACAAAAATTACTGGCTAGAAAAAATTGGGTTTAAATTTGTTGTTTTTTGAGCGGGAGGGAAAGGGAGGATATATATTTTTGGTTAAAAAAAACATAGAGATCAGGTTCAGAGAACATGTTCGTTTTTTCAGACAGGAGGATTTTTTGTGAACTGGATAAAAACTGGGTGGTTCAAAAATACGTGGCCTAAAGATGTACGCAATTTTCGATCGGCAACGGTTTGTGGGTCAAAATTTTGGCACTTTCAAAAAATTTCTAAGAACTTACGAATTTCAAAAGTTTAGGGACTTGTTTATAACAAAAAAATTCTTGAAAACCAAATTTGTACGTGCTTTTGTATAGGAAAATCTTACTTTCATGAAATATAATTTTTTTTCGAATATATCTGAACTGCAAATACTCTTTATTTCAAAATGTTGCCTTTTTCAGAAGGTTCGGAGATTAAATTTTGCAAAAAAGTCACTTTAAGCCACTTGATATTCAAGAAATCTTTCAGAAAACTGAAAAACTGAAAGACTTCTCGAATTGAGTTAAGTTTAGACAATTCAAGATTTCAAAACCATAAAATTTTGGCTATGACTAACACAAAAAATAAAAATGAAATTTGGAAAACTGTTCTGCTATTTATTCCCATAAAAAACGGCAAAAATAATAATAAGAATAATTCGATTTTATGTTATTTCAATACCAAATTGTTTGAAACGCGAATAGCAAAAAATAAATAAACAAAAAAGTTTTGGAGAGGGACTTTTAATTAAACAAGATTTCTCAAAGATATTTTATTTCGTTTTTCTTTCCAAAAAGCGTGGGGTTTTGAAAAAATATATTTCTATTTGAAAATAAAGGAAAAGAGCATAGACACTTTGGGCGGATATGAAAAATGATGAATTTTAAATAGGGAAAAGACAAATAAAAAGTTCTATTTTTGAATCTAATTAACATTCAATTCAAAACCTTGGGATTTGGATATCAACAAAAAATCCAAGGTTACAAAAAAGTAACATTTAAACCAAGAAACTGGGGCAACTTTGAAAACAAAAAATTTAGAGGATAAAGAAATCTGGCTAAAAGGAATTTTAGATCGTTATCCAAGCTTGTTCTGTCCATTGATTATATAGGTAGATAAAATCATCTTTGATGGTTTGGGAAAACGAGGAAAATGATATTACAGTTTTATGTATTGTTATCTTCTCTTTTTAGGTTTAAGTGAATATAAATTTCTGCTAGAATGATTTTATTATTTTTTCAAAGAAAAACAAGAAAGAGATTTCGAAAAAAGAAAAAGGGAAAAGTAATTTGTCAAATGGTTCATTATTTCAAACACATCTGGTTTTGCGTGCTGAGCCCTAGAAAAATGCACATTTTTTCAAAATTATATGTTCTATCTCTAAAGATCAACTTATACAAAAATACATTTTTTTTAAAAATAACAATTTTCGATTCGATTCGGATTAAGTTTGGTAATCCATCTAGTTGGTCTATGAATTTTTGAAAAAAAAAATGTGAGAAAGGCCAATTAACATGGTCAAGATCTATAAAAAAGTGTAATGCGATTTGAGGGTTTTTTATTTGTATGTATGTGTTGAAAATTTCTGTGTCTGTCTAAAAAGGAAAAGAAGAAGAGGAGAGATAAGAATGTGTAGGGAATGGAAGAATGTTTGAAACAGCGCCCGGTTAGCTCAGTCGGTAGAGCACCAGACTCTTAATCTGGCTGTCGCGGGTTCGAGCCCCGCATCGGGCTGATGCAAATTTTTTTCATTTTTTTTTCCAAATCTCATTTTCTCAAGTGTGAATTATAGCTTCTCGGAAAATTTAATGATGTTTTATAAGATATGAAAAAGAGAAAATGAAAATTGAAAAATAATTTGTTTGAAATCAGGTGACGTTCAACGAAATTTGAGCGTTTTTTTTATTTTTCTGGTGGAATTGTTGTCACGCGAACAATTATTTTTTATATTTTTTGCGGGGAAAAATACAATAAAAATTGAAGTTTTTTCTGGTTTGTTGGAATCTGGAGGTATTTTCTTTCATTTATCAGATACTGAAATCTGTGAGAAAGTTGATAGAAATTGCAAAAATAGAAATTGTTGAAAAAAAGTTGTCAAATGATTTGGGAGAAAATGTTTGAACCTTATTTTTTAAATGAGAAATAAAAAATCTGAAACAGAGTTGTGAAAATATAAAAATATTCAAAATTGAAGTTGATTTCGGAAATTTGGGTAAACATGAGAAGAAAAAAATGTGACTTGAAGAAAAAAACAAGAATAGCAAATTTCAATGTTTTTTGTTTACAAGTTGTTTATTAGTTTCATTCAACATGAAGTTTTATATTTAGATTTGTAAAATATCAATATTCGTCAATTGCATTTCTAGAAAACTTGAAGATAATTGTGTGAAATAAAAATGTATCTAATTGTGGGAACCGAATCATAATAATAGTTCTCTTAATTTTGAGAAATGCAAACGATTCAAAATTGATTGGAAATTATTTTCTTACGGAATATTTCAAAACTCTTGAAAAGTTATTTTATGGATTTTACCAATGAAAATTAACGACCGTATTCCAATTTTCCAATAAAAAAACTCAATAGTTTAAGAAAGATGTCATTTGATTTCAGAAAACTAAAAAAAAACAAAGTTATACTTTTTCATGTGAACGACAATTAGATAATTCTGAAAACCATCTTTCACTTTCCTGACAATTTTTCAAATGTATCTACTTCCTAATTACACTTTTTTTTTTACAAAAAATGACATAATTGAAGCTCAATCGGTTAATTAGTTAACTAATCCTTTTGAAAAATTGATGAATAGCAACATTCTCATTCAAACTCAAAAGATGAAACAAAAATAAAACTAATTTGGAAAAGTATATATGTATATTGTGTTCGAAAAGAGTTCATAATAATGTAGTTTTCAGATCCAAGCGTACAACTGGAAAAAATAGTTTTTTTTTTTGAAGAATATGTGTACTACCTACGCAATAAAATTTATTATATTTTCTGGGATTTAAACAATGGTTATAAATTTTATGTATCGAAATTTTAGAATTTTCGGGAAGAATTGTGGTATGAATAAGTCTCAAATTCTGAAAAAAATACATAATTTCCGTGCTTCTATGAAATAAATTTACTTTCATAGTTTTTATCCCCTATTTAATATCAAATTCTGAAAAATTCTTTCACATATATTCAGAATTCCAGTTCTCTTCAAGTTTCACAAAAAATTGTATTTCTACCACGACTTCACAGATATCATCCATTTTTTCCAAGAAAAACACATATCATGATAAGAAATTTATTTGATTTCAAGGTGCTAAAAAACAATAGAAAAGAATCAACAATCTCAAAATTAATTGGAAAATTGCGGTTTTCCATTGTTTTGTTTATTATTGAATGAATATGAATTTGGAAAATAATTGATGGGAAATATGATATTAGGAAATATTTTTTAATAATAGTTTTCTTTTGAAGTTTGAAAGAAAATGGAAATTTATTGGATTATTTTGGAACTGGTTTAGAAATATATGTTTATCAACCAAAAATATTAACCAATATAAATTTCCAGCACATGCAGAAAAATCTTGTTCTTCACAGTGATTCAGAATTCCAAAGCCAATAACTAATAATTCAAACATGATTTTGGGGAAACAATTGGAACAAAATTCTTCGAAGCACCGACGACGACTGCGATCAAAAAAGTGTCGCACATTTGCTCAAAACTGCCGCACTTCCGCGCCAACAAAAAATCGAGTAGCAAATTAGCCTCGAGGATGGGGATATCTTCCCGAGAAATCCAAAATTTTCAATATTCTAGAAATTCCTTAAATTTTTTGTATAAATTATCGACAGTATTTACATTAACACTATTTTTTCATTAAATCACAACAACAACTGTCTCTTGCACCGTTACTTTAATGATGCATTTAATTGTATTATTCCGATAGAATTGGAATATTCATGTTCAAACGTCATAAAAGCTTCAAACTTTAAACTAATTTTTCGCACCTCAAAAACCTGCAACAATGTTTATCTTACCAACACTAAAAGAAAAAAGAACCTGTTGCTAACTTTCAAATGCTATTGCCAGACGACAAAGAGAGATAGTGAAAAGGGCAATTGAATGCTGTTGCCATCGACGCCCGGTTAGCTCAGTCGGTAGAGCACCAGACTCTTAATCTGGCTGTCGCGGGTTCGAGCCCCGCATCGGGCTGATGCAAATTTTTTGTTTTTTTTTCAGTTTTTTTCTAGGCAAAGGAAGAAAACAAGAAAGCCAAAATTTTTGCTGCTGAAATGCTGAAATTAACAATTCAATTTTGAAAAATCTGGTGCCGTAGTTTTTTTTGATACCGTTTTCCGGAAAAGTCTACTTTTCAAAAAATTTCAGTGTTTTTCCAGCAAATTCGTTAATCCGGTTTACATGCATTTTTTCATTTTCCTTTTTAGAAAAAGTATTTTTCAGTCGATTAACTTCTTGGTAGCCACAATTGTTTCTATTTTTTGAATTCTTGAGCTGATTAAGATTCGCTCTGTCAGAATGAGTTGTATATCAAATGATCAAAAATTTTCTATAGTTTAGTATTTCTTTCAATTTGAAATCTATTCATAATAATTGAAACTATTTTTCCTTCCCCCATTTTTCCCTCCCACAACCAAATACATAAATAAAACACATTTACGTTGAAGACGCAATTATTTTCAATTGTCACCAGCTGTCAATTGAATATAAACGTGGAGTGATTACACATGTTTCATCTGATCACATTTCTTCCCTCTTCTCCATTTTTTTCATGTTCCTTTAAAGGTCATTTGGAGGAAGTAAGTGCAATCAAAGATTGTTATCGTCTTGACTTGCCTATCAGAATATCTCGTCTTGACAAATCTTTTTTTTACTTTTTTTTATGTGTACCTTTTTAATAAAAAATAATCCTTTTGTTGTTCACTTTTTTCTATAAAAACAAAATGAAGAAAAAAATTCATTTTTCTTCGCCCATTTGATCGTTCTATATATTTTTTATCTTTTTCATTATTTTTTTGATCATTTCACACCTTCCCTATCTTATTATTACAACTTCCTTTTAGAGTAAAACACTAAAATTAGCCTAATCTGGATGAAAATATGAAAATGTATAACTAGTTTGTGAGAGACTCTCAAGTTCAACTTTCTCTAAACACGATTTGATTCATTCAGTAAATGGATCGAAATCTTATCTAGATCTTCTTCTTTCCCCCGCACCACGTAGGTTTTTTGAAGCATTTTCATTTTTTTTCGAAATATCTTTTTTTCTTTCATCTCAAAAAATTAGTCCTAGGTCGTTACTCATTTGCCGAACAAGCCATAAATTTTATTTGATCCACACCGAGATACGTTTTTATCATCGGGTTTGAGATAAAATTGAGCAGTTTAACAATCAACCACATTTGTTGTCTGTTTTCTTGTGTTTATTTTTTTATATAAAAAGTTTTTTTGATCATTCAAAAAACTATTTTCCAGTATGAATGCCATGTTTCTGTCGATTTTTTTGATCGGATTGGTTTTTGCGGAAAGTGAACTTCTATCAGTTCATGCGGTATGTTTTGATGAAGTTTGGATTCTGAACAAAAATCACACAGGAAGAATTATTTTCAGGTTTTCCGACATGGTGCGCGTGCTCCAATCGAAGATTTTACATCAGAAGAAGCTAAACATCATTTTTATCGAGGCTTGGGTCAATTAACAGATGTGAGTAGTTAATTTGATAAATTCCGAAAAGTTGGATGATAAATATTTTAGGAAGGTGTGGAACATGGTAGAATTGTTGGAAGAATTTTGCGTGATCGATATGTGAACACATCATTTTTGGATAAACGAATGCTCACAAATGAGGTAAATTCAAAATCAGACTACAAACTTGAGAGGTGTCTATAAAAAAGTGGTTCAATAAAAAATTTTACTCATTGCGCTGACCTTCTCATATGTTTTCGAAATATTTTCACGTGATCTATGTACATCTCATTTTCAAGTACAACTTAATTACAAATCTGGTTTTTTTTTACTATTTTCCGACTGTAGATGTCTATAGATCAAAGATTGACTTTTTCATGATTGATAACAATGAGAAGTTGTGAGAATTTTTTTCAAAGAAAAAAAACGAGAATAGAAAGAAGTAACAATAGGTTCAATATGTTTCAAGTTTTTCTCAATGATAAGTAACATCAGAATCATATTTTTCAGACTTTGAAATATGTTTCAATGATAGTAGGTCATATGAAAAAACACACGTGATACTGTAGATCACGAGGAGAGGGTCAATTGTTTTTTGAAAAATGGTAAGGTGAAATATGATATGAATGATAAGTTTTGAAAACTTGGATCACAAAAACAAAAATCGTATTTTAGAGGGATTGAGAAAACTTTTTCACATGGAAGGTTTGGAGAATTTGGAATTAAGTTACTGAAAAATAAGTTTAAAAATAATTAGACATCAACCAGTTAATTGGTTTTCTAGGCTCATCCTTAATTAAATTCTAATCTTTCAGATCTACCTCCGAAGTAGTGGAAGTGAAAGATGTTTAATGACAATGAATGCGGCTATTGATGTGATGTTTCCAAATGCAATTCCTCCAGTTCAAACAATTGCTAGAGATGATGATTTCCTCCTTATTCCAAAATACAATTGTCCAGTTATGTTAAAAGGTTACAAGGAAATTTTCAATCTCACAGAAAAGGAGTTCAATAGAGCAAAGAAGAATATTGTGAGTTTTTCATTAGGCATTATTCGTACATTCCGATACGAATGATAGATTTTTACAGTGGGAAGTGAGTGATCGAGCAATTGAAAGAGCAGCAGAAAATACAACATATTTGAAAGATAAAGATCTCAGCTTGATTTCTTCTCTTATTTTAGAGGTTTGTTAATTTAATCAAGATTGTTTGCAACAGAAGTATTATGATTTTCTAGAAAGACGCTGGACTTGCTGTTCCATCTTGGTTTGATGATAAGGCATACAAAGAAGCAGAATTTTTGTTCTTCAGTGTAAGAAAACCAAAATTTCAGTTTTTTTTAAAAATATTGCTGTAAATTTCAGGCGATAGCGGTTATGTCAGGAACTGGTCCGTATTATAATCCAGAATGGATTCGGCCAAAATCCGGGCTATTACTTCACACAATTTTTGAGAATATCAAAAATCGTATCAATTGTATTTCCAGTGGTGAATGTGATCCTCCAATGAAGAAATTTGTAGCATACGCCACGGTATCTTTATTTTTTTCACATATTTTGAAAAATAAAATGAAATTTTTCAGCACGATATAATGATTATGGCCTTGCTGGAATCTTTGGGAATTAGAGAAGCTGCTTTAGGAATTGATAGCTCGCCTGAATTTTGTTCATTGATCATTTTTGAGCTTTGGATGATTGATGGAGCACCACAAGTCAAGGTATTAGAGGAAAAAAAAACTTTTTTTGAGTTTGAAAAATGAGTTTTCAGATCCTATACCGTAGAAAACCAGAAGAAACGACGTTGATAAATCTATCAGGAAATGTAAGAAATTGTCAAGAAAATGCGGAATATTGTGCGCCTGAGAAATTCACAACTTGCTGTAATCAATTCATCACATCAAACCCAAGAGAAGTCTGCTATGGAGCTCCAAATCCATGGAAAATGAACTCATTGGTCTGGCTTCTAATTGGAATAATTGTTGTGCTTTCGCTTCTAATCTTGATCATTTCTTTGATTTCAATCCGATTCAAAAAACAATGCAAAGTTGAGCTCAAACATTAAATTGAGTGTATTTTTTTGATTTTTTCAAATTTGAAAATATGTAGGTTTCGGGTAACTTCTCCTATTCATGTAAAAATTTATTATACCAACTAACTAACAGTAAGCAGCCATAATAAAACATATCGATAAAGTTTTTAATTGTAAATTGTTCTCTATAAACATTGATATACATTTGCGAATTCGAGACCTTCATATTTTATTCCGGTGTCTACTGGAATATCATCTAACAGAATGTCACCGTTGATTCGGAATACTGTAATATATGTGGCAAAAAGTTTGTTCTCGAAAGGTTTTGCGGGATCTTGAGGAATTTCTTCGGTACGAAGAGCGGTTATGATTTCATCATTTGTTCCTGGAAATTATCATTTTTGATAAGGTTAGGAACATTTGAGAAAATTGAGACATGAATTTTGTCTAAAACTAATAAAAATGTCAAACCAATCGGGTCAATGTTAAACACGAATCAATCAAAACTTGCTTTTGTGATCTAATTGATCTAAAATTGGTCGAATATTGGGGTTAAAATTTTAGATTAAAAATCAGTCGAGTGCCTATTTTCATCAATAAACTTTATCAAAATAATATTCACTCCGTCACCATATTTAGATGAAAATCAAGTGGTTTCAAAATAGTATAAATAGAGTTAATATATTTCAATAATTAATTGAAATGTCTTAAACCGAATTCAGACTATTATCCTTTACTCACCTGGAACAAATTGAAACGCGCTGAATCCCCTATGCGGATTCTGCGATCCAATCCTCACAACCTTTGTATCACAAAAACAATCTGAAGTACTCAACAACATATTGCTTCCAGTTTCGTATGATGTTGCTGGATTGAAAGCAAGTTTCGAAGAATATCTTGGTAGGAAAAACCATTTCCGATGGATTTCAGACCAATGAACTGCTTCGTGAATAATATAACCAGGAAAATGAATTCCGATGGATCGGCGAAGTTTGACATATCTTGCTGTCCAATCTTCAGCGCGCATGGCGCCATTTGCAGAGACTATCTGAAAAATAACAGTGTGTGGAGACCGAGTGGGATATTCATTACCCTGATAAACATTTCATTATCATTCAAATATTCACCGTTCGCATTAACAACTTCGTGTCCACTACTTCCCACATATAATTCACCGTTTCGAATTGTCATCCACTCTCCTTTGAAGGCTTAAAAGAAAAATCAGTCTGTGACTAAAGAATTTTAAGCAAAATTACATACGCTGGCTAGAAGATCCATCTCCAGCGGAAGCAATTACCCATGGAATCGCAGTTCCATTACGAAGCCAATACACAATTCCCATTTTGTCATCAATTGATAAAAGTCGATTGTTGAAAATTTTCAGGTCACTCATCTCCATTGATTTTTGATTGAAATTGAAGTTTGATGTGATGTTGACTGAACCGATCCAATGAACGAAAGAGGATGTGCGATTCTGAAAAAAATTGATGAAAATTTATTTCTTCATAAGTTATTACTTACTTGTGAGAAAGCAAGGGCTCCATATTTGATTGTGCTGTACCAACTATTTTTGTGTTTTGATCTTGCATCCATATCGGTAATAACTGATAGTGGAAGTAGAATGTCACTTTTTTGATCTGGCACCACGTTGATGACTTCACATTTTGCTATAAATTTAATAATTGAAGTGGGTTGATAGATCAAAATATGCATAAAATAATTAAAGAATTTTAATTCCCCTCAGGATCTTTGAAATTTAAAACTTACGTGTTTGTGTTGCATAAACATTTAGCTCTAGAATACTCAAAAAAATAAAAAACAAACAAATAATACGATAGCAACACATGTTGCTTTTGCTTTCTTCCAAAAAGTAAATGATTCCACCACAAAGACAAAACACAACACAAAAAACTCGAACTGAAAATCCAAGTAATCAGTCTTTCTCTTCGTTTTGATGTATGTGTTTAATCTCACCTAAAAGTGAGCTGTTGAGAAAAAATGAAGAGATCAACAATCCATATACAGTCCTCTCTCTATTTGTTTATTTATTTTTCTTATATATAAATAATTTTAAATGTACTTGAGTTCTCATCGGATTGTCGTGCGAAAAGATTCTCACCTTTCTTGAGTCCATTTGATGTCTACAGAAGCTTGGAACTTCGGTTGATGCAAAACAAGAAAAGAGCGAAAAATAGTGGATGAAATAAGAGAGGACAAAGAAACAGAGAAGAACTTTTTTCTGTGAAATAAAAAAAGATAAGGAGAAATAAGAGAGCGCAGACAACAGAGAATTGTGTGTCCCTGTGACATTTATCGGTGGGGCGCTCTTTCTCATCTTATATATTTTCTAACTAAATTGTTTATTTTTCATGTATTTTTTAGCAAATGAACAATGCTATCGACCCAATTGATTTACTTATTAAAGATTATTTAGTATCAAGATGTTATACCAATACAGTTAGAGTCTTGGAGCAGGATAGTTCGACCTCAAAAGATGCAAATTTCCAGGTATTTTTGTATTTCCAAGTTTCAATTAATTAATTAGTTATAAAATATTTAGGTTGGTCGATGCGTTGAAGAAATGACACGAGCTATCGATTCTCTTGACGTTGATAAACTTTTGATGCTTTGGAATAATTGGAACACAAAAATATTCAATTCGCTAGATCAGGAAAACGCAAAGCTTGCTAGACAATATGAGACGAATTCTTATCGATTGCTTTTGGTGAAATGTGTTCAGAAAGAAGATATTGTAAAATGCAATGAGTTTTTCAAGAAAATGACAAGCCATACAATGAATAATCCGGAATGGACCGAATGGTTTGGTAAGTATTTTGATTGACGGGGTTTGTGGAACTTTAAATATTTTGAAAAAAATTTGCTGACTTTTGAAAAATACTTATCAAAATCTGATATAATTCATAATTTTGCAATCATCTTGTGAAATGAAAAACTAAATAGAGAAAAACCAACAAAATGGTCAACTCATTATTTCAGCATTCCCGTATAATCCACATGCCAAAGATTGCGAACCATTCAGAAAATATTTTGTAAAAAGCTGGGTTGAAATATTTCTAATGTCATTTCACAATTTTCTATCAACAAGTATACCAACAGCTCTACCAAGTTCAATTGAAAAAATTGTTGAGGAAATTGCCAGAGATCCAGAGGTGAGGTTTTAGTTTTATCTTATTGGAATTTGTGAAACATATCAATGAATTTTAGCAGGGAGATACAACTAATGTTGAATTCGATGAAGAATTGATTGATGACTTTGCAGTAATAGCACAGTGAGTTTTTTCAATGGAAAATTGAGGATCAAAAAAATAAATAAAATATTCCAGATGTTCAACAACTGTCAAACGTGCTCACTCAAAACCAACACTTCGAAATATTTTTAAAACTTTGACTGGCACCAAAAAATCGCAAGATTAGAATTATTTCGATGTGGCATTTGTATATTTTTGTATAGTCGATATTTGTATGTATTTTTATTTTGAAACGGTAATTTTTTTGGTTCTTCACTTTCACTTATATGGATTTTGTGCTGGAATAAAATGGAAATGTTCTGTTTCAAGAGAAAATTAATCGCAGATGTTTGAAGGTTGAGAAATTGTGGATAACTAATGTAGAGAAACAACATGTTGGAATGGTTTTGTAATTTTCGACTGAATGTGAGAGAAATTTGGCCAATTTGATCAAAACCCTTCGAATTACTCGAATCACTTTGTGATTCTGTTTTTTGTTTCTGATTGCCGTTTCTGATATGAAAATGATGCCGTTTTTGATATGAAAATGGTAATTCAATAAGTTTCAAACGAAAAAGTTTCTTCGAAAAATGCAAATCTTTCACCTTTGCGAGAATGTTTGTTCCTAGAAAAGAAATGTGATTTTTCGACCTGCCGCTAACTCGCCATGAAAAGCCGAAAATCAAGGATTTGAATCCAGATAAATATGATACTTTTATGCATGAAAGGAGTTAATTAGAGACGTTTAGCATTCAGAGGAGGTCTCATTCTCGTACTCAATTTTTCTTTGCGCTCCTCCTTCTACTGCTCATTTTTTTGCCGTGTTGCTCAATTCTAATCCTGCCCAGATTTTTGCTTGCAATGCATCGTAAAAAAACCACCTTCTTCTCCAAAAATATATGTGTTGTGTGTATGTATGTAGATGTACATCTGCTCAAGACCACAATTAAAATAATTTTCGTTTGTGGTTTTTTCTTTGAAACAAAAATCCAAACGGACAGAAAATAAAAAAAAGAAATCCTTGGAGACACTACGGGTTGGATGGATAAGAAAGATTGTTTCCATGTGTGTTTTTGACAATTTTTTGTTTTTTTTTTCTATTTTTTTGTTGGGTTTTGCACTATTTCTGTCGAAAATTTATGGAGATTCAATTAGACGATTCATTTGTAAAACATAAGATGACAATTTCCGAAAAAAAACCTTCGAGTATTTTTTTACACAGCCTCCCATAAATTTTAGATGATTCAACTCACTTGTTTTCAGAAAAGAAAAAAATGCTCATTTTTATATGAACTGAATTTATTTATTTTCTTTTATAAATTTATATACTCATTTTCTCGTCACATAAATTGGCAAAGCGCGCGAAAACAGCACAATTAGCGTGTCGACCTTCGAAAAGCTTTATTTTTATTTCATTTTCGCCACTTTTTTTGTTAGGAACTACTAAAAACAGGTGAACTTATTTCTTTCTCCCGGCATTTTTCTCGCTTTTTTTCTATCTTGCTCGTGTTCTAGTACAAATATGCATATTTATGTATGAAGAATCTTGACAACTCGTCACTTTTGCTTGATGGGTGGTCTTGGATTTTTGAAATAAAAAATTTGTTTACCAAGCTTTTATTTATTTATTTATTTATTTTCTTTCACACGAAAATATTTTTTTCAACCCCAACTCGAACATTTTTTATTATTGAGGTAACGTGATGGTCAAAACCTAAACAACAACAATGAGTATGCAGTTTACTGGATTGCAAGTTAGTTTTTTTTTTTGGAAGATTTGACTGGTTGTGAAAATAAAATTATGAATTATGAATTTAATTCTATGATAATCAATTAAGGTAGTTTCGTGGATCCTTCTTCTACTCGGAACGGGTGTTTTGACAATATCTTTAATTTCCGATTACTGGTCAACACATATTCCACATGATCATCATGGTAAGACTAAGAACTCCTTTCCCAAAATACAATTATTAATTTTTATTCATTCAGAAAACTTATCAATGAATCGAGGACTTTTACGTCAATGTATCAGAACATCATCATATTCAAATTGCAATTTTCGACTTGCAAGTATTTTTAAACATTTGAAGGAGACATTCAAATTGGATGGAGATTTGATGAGCGCAAGAACTATTTATCGACATAAACCGACACAGAGTTAGTTGCAGATTTTTTTTTGAAAATATTTTCGGGATAAAATTTTAATGAACAACAAACAATATTTGAATTGATGGTTCTAATTTTTTGTTAAATTTTCTTGTTAATAACAAAATTGGAAAAATTGTTCATGATCCAATTCTCAAATATAAAACCAATTAAATTCAGAAACAAAATTATTCCAAAATACATGAATATAACATATTTTTCATTCTCACACCCTATAATAACCATATATCTCAAGAACAACCTAAATCAATGAAAAAGAAATATGCTTTCTAGAGGTATCACAAATTTTCGAAATTACATATCTCCAAAAAAACAGTCTTCAATTTTGTTTGATATATTCTGTCATCATAAATATTTTCTAACTTGAAATTACAAAACCATATTTCAAAAAATGCTATGTTTCACATAAAATAAGAATAATAGTTTCACAACCCGTTATAACCATAAATTTTCGTGACAAAAAAATAACAACAAAAAATCTTCCAGGCTTTGAAATATTCGTGGCTCTTTTCATTGTAATTGCATGCCTCGTTGCTGGCACAGTTCTTTTGTTTGGCCCATTTTGTTGTCAAAAATGCAAAGCGTCAACGACACTTCTCATTTTCATAACAGGCGTTTTTTCCGGTTCAGGATGTCTGGTTTATTGGAATTCGAATCGTGAAGGACACACTTTTACTTTGGTACAATCATCTTATTCACAAGAGTATTTTAATTTTGAATATGTGAGTGAATTTGTTTTTATCGCTAAAACACTATTTTCTTAAATTTCAGAGTGGCGACATTAACAATTTGTCTTGGTCATTTTATATGGCATGCACTAGTACAGTTATCATTCTAATCTCCGCATTTTTATTGTGCGTTTCTTCTCGCGTTGATCCAGATGTTGAATATGAACCTGCTGTGACAAGTGTATAATAAAAATGAATACGTTTTTGTTGAAAACCAATAAAATTGTTTCTTTTTGAATTAGAAAAAAACAAAAAAATTTCCTTGGAAATTGATTCCCAACAAAGCTTTTGATGATTTTATGAATTGTTGTGCAAAACGTTACTGACCTAATCAAGAACGAAAACCCAGGAAACACATATTTTTTGTTGCTGCCTATCTCTCGCTGTTTCTCTTTTTTTGTGACACGCTTTGAAAAAAAAATGGAAAAGAAAAAGAGAAACGAAAACATGTGTGGCCTTGAGGCATTGCAAAATGTCTGCCTTATTGGCTCAGTGGCAGAGCGTCTGTCTAGTAAACAGAAGGTCGCTGGTTCGATTCCAGCATAAGGCACCGATATTTTTTCCAAAAATTATTTATAATTTTTGTCTTCAGATGTTCTTCTCATTATGACAGACTATTTGCCCTCGTAATTTGTTCTTTATCAAACTGAAGAATGTTTAATAATTTTTTATTTCGACGCTTTTCACATCAAAAAACTCTATAACTTTCAGCAATCAAATTTTTGAAATCCAGAAAATATTTCAAACTATCATCTGGATTTATTTCTCTAGTTACTTGTACATATTCCACATTTCGTTGATATCCTTGTTGCATACGGTCCCAGAACATAATTGAAGAATGTAGAGCTCTAGCAGTTTTAATAAATTGATGAGTATTATCAACTCGTTTCAGTTGTTTTGCCAAATCCCAAAGAGATAAAGTTGCTTCCATTTTTCGCATATATGGAATTTCAGGATTTCTCCATATTTCATTTTTTATACTTTTGCATAACTTCAATCGAAATTCATTTAATGCCTGAAAAACAATCTAATACTACCATTTTTTCAATTCACAAAACTAAACTAACCTTCTGAACGGGATCGATTTGATACGGTGGTAATGTTCTATATCTTCGTAATAAATTTGAATAGGAGTTGGGATGAGAACGGGAGAATGGTCCGCGAAGAGCATCATTTTGTGGATACATCAAGAATAAAAACCCAATTAGTGAATGGGAAGACAACAGTAGAGATTGAATCAGAGCCCGCCAAGAGACATAAGATGATGGACACAGATATTAGGTTTTGGGAAGATAAGTTTCAAGATAATGCACAATTGTGTTGGAGGGGGAGGGGTTACTTCCCAAACATTTCGGATTAAAAGTGTTACATTTTGTAGGCATAAATATATTATGTTCATACATAAGTGCTCCTGAAACGGCTTAAAATTTTTGGGTTGTCTAGATTTTTGTTAGGCATGAATTATCACAATAATAATTATGAAATTTAATTTAAAAAAAAGTTTACCAGACATAGTTTAGACTTTTCAGTTGTTGTTACAAAATAATTGAAATATTCTGATATGGAACTCTATTTTTAAAAATGTCTATAAAAATTAGATAAAATAACTTTATTACATTCAATAAATCAAAATTTAAACTCCACAATATGCTCCGCCGTTTGCGCTGAAAAAAAACATATAAAATATTTTCACAGAAAAAAAACAAAATAAAACTAACTCTGCATTCTTGATCAAAGTTTGAATTGGTGTTATTTGATTATTCAAAGTGGTGACATCATTAGCAGTGAATGAGCAAGCAGCTCCTCCCGAAAGAGCCAACAATTTTGAGTTATCAACAGTTGGACCATATCCAATAGTGATGATTCCATATGTCTTGCTTGACAAAATTTGTTGAGCAACAGCAGTTGGATCAGTTCCGAATGAGGTAGATGCTGTGATGTAGATGATCAAGTGGTTGCTGGTTGTGGAACGGTAACCGGATCGACGATAATCGGCTGAGTAGGCAATTCCCAAGTCACTAGAAAAATTAATAGATTTCTATCAGTTAAGCTTTCATGTTTTGTGACAGAATCCCCGAGAATAATTTCACCTCATCGAAAAATTTAGAAACTTGATTTGAATGAACTGAAAAAAATAACTCACGAGTAAATTGGTTGTCCGGCGGTATCAAAATCAGTGTAACTATCCTTCAATCCATTCAAATTACCAATCAACGATGATTGTGAACGAATTGAATCGAGTTGAGCTGCAGCTGGCATTGGGTTTGTGTCATCTCCAGCGGCAACAATCAATCCAACTCGAGCACCAGTTTGTCCGACATCAAAAGCAATCATCAATGTTTGAATGAATTTTGTGAATGTGTCGAAGCTTGTTTGAGCCGATTGACTTCCATCAATAATGAAGACAACGTCGAATTGAAGAGATGGAGCTGCAGTTACTGGTGGTTGTGTTACTGGAGATTGAGTGACTGGAGCTTGCGAACTTCCTGGGGCTTGAGTAACTGGTCCTTGAGTGACTGGAGCTTGGGAACTTCCTGGTGATTGTGTGACTGGTCCTTGAGTGACTGGCCCTTGAGTGACTGGCCCTTGAGTTACTGGAGCAATAGAGGATCCTGGCGGTGCTCCTGTTGGTGGAGTTGTACCATTGCAAATAACAACTTCTTGACGACGGAATTGTTGATTATACTCATCAACACCGTGCACAAATACAACAATCATATCAGAGTTACAGGTGAATGGATCAGAATAATATTCATATGAACATCCAGATCTTGGGTAAAGTTCTGAACGAATGATATTGGTAGCAGTATCAGCATCGAAAATTTCGGTGTATTGAAGTTTTCCAGTGTGATAATGTTCACCAGCAAGATGGAAAACAGCAACATTTTCAAAGCCAGGAATTGGTTGAATTGATCTTCCGTCTTGATGAGCTCCAGTTGGATCCATCTTTCCACCAACTGGATTTGTCAAAGCAAACTTGGTGTACACCTTAGCACCACCTTGTGAATAAACATGTGCGAAACAGAGACCTGGATAACTGATGACTCCCAAAGTCCAGATTCCAGGAACATGTGAAACATCAATAGCATATACTTTTTGGAATCCAACATTGTAAAGAACTTGAGCGGCTACAGTTGCTCCAAGTGGATTAGTAACACTCAAACTTCCGGATGGTGAAGTGAGAGTGACATAGATTGTTGTTGTGTTATAGTCAATTGGAACAAACCATGGGTTTCCATTTGAGCATGTGAAATTGTCTTGACCAGTTGGGTTTTGAAGAATTGATGCTCCATAGAGTGATGGGAAGTATGATCCGAGCAACTGGAAATCGAACATTTTTGAAAAATAAAATTTCTTTTTTTTCTGGACGAAAGTAAAAATAATGATGGTTTTTTTCGAAAAAAAAAACATTTAAAATTTGTTAAATTCATCAAAAAATCTTACCGCTGATACGTATTGTGAAGAAGTGAACAAAATGTTTCCACTTGATCCATATCCAAGCCAAGCAGTATCGAAAACATTGCTGAGCGAATCATAATCAGGACAGCTTGGATTTTGTGAGTAGACGAAGTGCAACTATAAAAAACGTTTTAACCAGAAAATTTTTTCAAAACTTACGTGAGCTTGAATGTTGAAGAGATTGTCCATTGTCTCTGTGTAACTTCCAAGATCTGATGGTCCAGCAGAAGTGATCAAGAAGATTTCACTGTTTGGAATAACGATTTGATCAACATGTTCGAGGAAGTGTCCAAGAACTCCGAGGTATGGCAAAGTGCACGATCCAGCATCGTTCAATGTGATAGCAGCCAAAGCAGCGACCACTTCATCGATTGAAGTGTAGTTGTATCTTTCAGAAGTGCGACCGGTGGCTGAAAATTGAGTTTGAATAGTTTTTAAATACGTGGACTAGTTTTCATGACTCACAATCAAAAGTGACTAATCCATAATTGGCGAACCAAATTTGGTTGGTTGAAAGTGCGTTGGCAACAATATTGGAAAGATTTGTCTTGAGAGCATTGATAGTATCAGAGTTTTGTTGAGTAGTTTCAATCATAAAGACCAATGATTTTCTATCATTTGAGAAAAGTTCTGGAATATTTGGTTGGCAAAGTTCTAATTGACAATTTGGTCCAGCAAATCCATCTGGACAGATACAAGATCTCTCATCAGAAGTCCGATTTCCACCATTGACGCAAATTGGTACAGTACATTGGGATCCAGTCCAGTAGTCGCTGCAAACACATTGTCCATTTTGACGGATACCTCCGTTTCCACAAGTGATTTCAGCTCTTGAGCAATGTCCATAAGTGATACGTTGGAAGGTGTGTCCGAATTCGTCTTCTCCAATATGAATAACTCCGAATTCGTTGTTTTGGTTTGCACCATTTGGACAAGCGAAATCTTGTGTGACATATTTGTAGTTGCATCCATATCTTTGTGAATATTTAACTCCGTTGTAGAATGTTCCATTATAAGCATCAAGAATGATTGCGTCAGTTAAAATTGGTGAGCGGTTTTCGTTATCCAAACTATGGATGTAAGTGATAAGACGGTTAGCAGCTAAAAAAAAACAACATTGTATCATTTGACTGAATTCATAATTTTTAAATTATTAAAATAAAATAACTAACTGGAATCTTGAATTGGATCAATGACTGGAATATCACTTCCAACATTCGTTGTGAATCCAGAAATAATTTGAAGACTAGATTGAACTCTAACGCTCAATGTACATAGAGTTGGATAGGCTGGATTAGTCGGCGCTGTCTTGATCTTTGCATACCACATACCAGCAGCAAGATCATCATCATTGATTCTGTTTGGTTGATAATTTTGATCATATCGATGTTTCTGGCAAACAAATGCTCTTGGTGTTGAGCAAGAATCGGTAATCCAAGTTTTGGAAGAATCAGAAGCAGCTCCATCAAAATAGACGCATTGTTTGCTGGCATCAGTGCTTGGCTCATTATTTCCCCAGAAGAGATTGGCTTGACTGAGTGGTTGTGGGTCGAAGTTTTGTCCGCGATCCCAAAGCCATTGTGAGTTGTTGTTGTAGAGACCGATCCAGAATTGAGTCTTGGCGGCGGTACCTGTTGAAAATTAGATTAAGAATGGGGACCTTAAAAAACAAGTTCTAGTTTCAACACAAAAATCTATTAAATTATTACTTTCAAAAATTTCTAAAATATTTTCTCTTGAGAAACTTACCGAAAAGAAAAGCGTTCTTTTCATAAGAAATGTCATCAGCCAAGAATCCACCAGCAGTAGAACAGAAGTTCTTAGCAGCTGGCATTTGAAGAATCTCATCAACTCCCGAAATGAATTTCAAACACGATTGTCCGTAGTTTTGCCATCCATCATCGCAAGCTTTTCGAACTTCATAAGTACTAACACCAGAGAAATCATCATAGAACAATTCCAAAGCTTCTTGCACAACACCGTCACCGTTGTAAACAGAAACGGTTGTGTTATAACCGAAAACGTTGAGTTGAATAGTTTGAGTGTAAGCATCGACTGGGAAATATGCAGTGAGTCCAGGATCTTGATTACAATCGTTATCCCAGTTGAATGAAACCATTCCATTGGAATATTGAAGTGGGATAAGTCTGATAGCCTGGAATGTTTTAAATTACATATTATTGATGAAAATTCCCGATTTCTCACGTTTGAAATCTCTCCGGGTTGAAGGGTGTAAGTATCTCCAGTGGATCCGGCGACGACTCCAAGAAGTGTGTAGTAATTTTCCTGAATGATTAGATTTTTTGTTTGACATTTTTAGAAAATCAATTTTATGTTTTAAAACTTATGCTAAATTTTGAAAAACTCACAATTGTGGCGTTGCAAGCAAATCCATTTGGTGCTTGTCTTGGCGAAATGGCGAGGAATCCATAGGCAACAATATCCATGGCACGGGACATATCATAGAAAGTTCCAAGACTACGAGCATCGGTATCATCTTCTGGAGTGGTCTGAAAAAAATTCATCAGAAGTTTTCATGAAACATTTTTTCTCGTACCTGGAAGATTTCGATGAAAGATCCTGGAGTGATATCTCTTTGGAAGATTGCTTGATCCAAAGCATCCCACAATTTGACAGTGCAACCAGTATCACTTGGGACAGTTGAGGCGAGGTTAGCCAAGGCAGAAGTGACTGCAGTGGTATTGTAGGCTGGTGATTCGGCAATAACTCCTCCCCAAGTTGAGTTGAATCCAACGAGAACAAAGTTTCGAATCCATCTACGATCTTGCATTTGAACATCACGAAGAATCTCATCAAAGTTTGTGTTCAAAATGGCGACAGATGCGATTGATTGAGCGGTCAATTCAACAGCGAAAACCATGTCAACTCCAAGAAGAAGGAATTCAGGAGTTGGTCCGGTTTCAACACATCTTGGAAGTTCACAATTTTCTCCAGCATATCCTGGTGGGCAAGTACACATATTTCCGTTAACGGTTCCTCCATTGTAACAAACAATAGATTGACAATAAGTTCCGGTGAATTGTGGTGGACAGAAGCAGGTAGTGTTGGCTGGGTTCATTACTCCTCCGTTTTGACAAGTGTGATCTGGTGGAGGTGTTGGGTGGACTGAAAATTATATTTGTGAATCCTGAATATATATATGGGGATGTGATCTTACTTTCAGAGCAATACATTGTTCCAGCACGTTGAAGTGTTTGGTCAAAACGATCACGAGCAAAGAACTAGAAAATAATACATTTAGGGCTATAGTGTGATTTTGGTAACCCATTGAACTTACATTGAAATAAAGAACTTCATTTGGAACACGGCATGTAAATGGAGCAAAATAGAAGTTGTATTCACAACCATCTCTCCAGATTCCAGAAGATCCATAAACTTCAGTTTGGAAACCATCACGTTGCGAATAAATTTGCAAATTTGCATGAATTCGATCCATCGAGATGAAAGCTGGATAATTTGTGACGTGGAAAACTGGTGATGCATCAAAGCCAAGAACTGGTTGTCTGAATTGTCCAGGAGCGGTGATATCAGCAGTGAATCCCCAGAAAATATCGAAAGATGGACTGTATTGTGCATTGTGTCCTGGTGGGTTGAATTTCTTTTGATAAACACGGAATGAGCAAGCATCATTGGTTTGACCAGCGATAAGAGTGAAGAACCATTGTCCTGAGACTGCACCACGTTTCACCCAAATGTAATTCTGACCATCAGAATATGTGTTTTCCAAAGTGACGTAGTTTGCGAATGGATCAGTGAGGATAAGTGTCAAATTGTTACCAGTTGCAACAACGACAAACATATCAGTGTCTTGATCAGCAGCAACAGATTTATAAAGATTTTGTTGTCCACAATGCGAATAATCTCCAGATAAAATAAGTTGTGAATAATAGAAGGTGTTCAAATAATGTTGAGTCAAGAACTGAAAAAAATTTGTTGTTATGATATTCACATTGAAGAAAAACTCACTCCTTGAACAGCAGTTCTGTTGGAAATGTAGAAGGTGTTACCGCTGGTACGAGTGGCAATATCAGCATAATCTCTGAATCCGGAACTATCTGGTGAAGTGTTGCAATTGTCAGCTGGTGCTGGTGGAACATATATGAAGTAGGTTGGTGCACGCCAATATGATTCAAGATGGAAGGCGGTTTCTTTTTCTTGGCTGTCATTTGGATTGGCGTCGGTAATAACGTAGAGTGGCGATTTGTTGTTTGGATATAATGAAAGAGCGGCTCTGAAACATTTTTGAAAAATTGGTAATAATTGGAATCAGTTCATTTTTCATATTTTCTACAACCAAAACTTTTAATTCAACTCAAAACTCACGAGATAGCTGAGAAAACTGAATCTTCACATCCACCGTCAGTTGGCGCGGAATGAATAGCCTTTGTCAAATCGGTCAAAACATCATCCCATGAGCTATATCTCTTATTGCTCAACAACTCTGCAAAGATCAAACCATTATCATTTTTTCTGATGAGCACATTTTTTTTAAACTGTATAGATAATAAAAATAAAATTGGCTTACTATTGTTATCAAAAAGGACAACGATATAACTGGTCAAATAATCGGCGTCAAGAGTCATAGCATCAACCAACGATTGAGTGGCATCTTTGACTTGTTCGATGACATTTGAAAGTTCGGATCTTGATCGAATAACAAGAGTCAATGTTGGATGTTCAGCATCGAATGAAAGTCCAGTGGTGTCAGTGCAGATAACTGAAACAATAATTTTGAAATTTTGTTGATGTTTATAGAAAAATCTAACTATTTGAACAATGACGTCCGGAGAATCCTTCAGGACATGTGCAAGTTTGACTAGTTGGAGTCAAAACATAACCACCGTTATCACAAACAAGAGTTCCACAATCAGGTCCAGTGAAAAGTCCAAAACAATAACAATAGTTTGTTCCGTCAGTATCAGTGAGAAGTTGACCATCATTCTGGCAACTTGTGATTGGTGCAGGTGTTGGTGTGGGTGAAGCAGTTGGGGTTGCTGGTGGCACTGAAAAATTGTTTTGTTTTAAACTAGGACACTTTAAAGGTAATTAGAACTTACAAACGCATTGATATGAAATTGCACGACGGAATTTGTATCCGGAGTTGGTGATACCTTCAACTTGGAAATAGTTATGACCGACGTCATTGTTGGTAGTGCGAGCACAGGTATAACGTTCCAAAATATATGGATATGTGCAATTGAAACGGGTTCCAATTGGAATGAATCGACTGATGTGCTAAAAAATATGATTTTGAGTGTGTAAGGTGTTTATGAAACACAGTCGATGATATTCACTGTCTTACATTTTCGGCTCCGGTGAATCCAACAGCGCTGATAACACCAGGATATTCCAATCCTTGAGCATGAATAGCAAGAACTGATTCAGTATCAAAATAGGCATATCCAACAGTTGGATAATCATTGCGTTCTGGTTGTGATCCAGTGGTGAAACCTCCAGTAACTTTAAGACTTGTGCGAGAGCTCATCATCAAAGTACAGAATTGTTCTCCAGTATCAGCACGTGGTCCAACTAAATATTGTCCAGGAGCCAAGAAAGTGTAATGAGCTGTGTAATATGATGGTCGTTGAACATCTGAATCCGGGAAGATCAAAGTTCCATCTTCAGCTTGAAGATAAAAAGTTGGATTGAGCGGTGATTCGGTTTCAATTTCAAGCAAAATATCCCACATGGTTTCGTCAACCAAAACAACCATGGTTTCTGAACAATTTGCAAGATTTTGTCCATCAATTGCGACTTGATCAGTTGAAGCATCGTTTGGAATAATTGGGGCGCGTTGGGTACAAAGTGCTGAAATTTTTTAAACGTTGTTAACTGAAATTATATTTTAGAAACTCACGATATTGACAGGTTTCTCCGGTGTATCCAGGTTTGTTACATCCACGTGTCACTGACGCAGCAAAACTGTGAGGACTGACTGACCGTTTTGAAATTCTATGGGTATTCTGAAAAATCAACGTTGACATTCTTTTAAAACAAAACCTGGGAAAACCTTACCAAAATATCTTGATCATTTTCAAAAACTGAAACATAAGTTTCCGAAACTGGATTAATATATTTCTTTCCATCCCGATTATTCCAAGATTTCAATACTTTCCGGATTTGCTCTTTCTGAAGATCGGCAGCAAGTGCGACTACGGCTAACGCCGCAATCAACACCCACGTTTTCATCCTGAAAAAATAGAGAATTTTTGTACAAAATTATCAATCATCAAAAGAAAAAAGACGGTAAAAAAGGGAAACTAAAATGCAAATCTAATAAAAACGTTTGGCAAACCTTTATCACTCGAAAATCAAATAAAAGTGGGCTGGGACTCATAATGTCGTGGCAAATTTTCGTCTTATCATTTTCAGTGAGTATGACGATAAAAAGAGGTACTAAAATGGTTTTTGTGAAGCGCTTTTGACAATTCAATAGTACAAACATATTAAACTCGATCGATGCGCATTGATTTGTGATAAAATTCTGAGTTTTGATTTTTTCTAAATTCATATTTGTTTCAAAAGAGTTCGGATCATTTATTTCGATTTCATATTCTTGGTTGCCTCAAAAATCGAAAATATGCATTTTTCAAAAACTGAACATACTTTTTTAACTTTACAAATACGTGACCGGAAAAAAATTTATTTAAAAAAATGATATATTCTTGAGAGAGTATTCTAAAGATTCTCAACAAATGAATTCCAATCAATTTTTAAGTTTAAAAATTACTGTTCTGTTAAAAACTGTAACAAAGCTTTTGAAGGAAAAAAACAGATTTTTCAAATATTTTGCAGAAGTAAAAATGTATTCTGCACATTATTTCAAAAATTTGCCAAATAAAGCTGAATTTGCCAGAAAAAGCACGTACCTCACTACTCACATTGATTATTTTATTCAGCAGTCCCTCTAAACACCACATTCCTCCCTGCTGTCGATTTGGTCAAAATTGTTCGAACCTCTAACTAAAATTGTTGAAAAACACATAGAAACAGCACCAGCATCGAATTTCAGTGCAATTTCGAGCCAAACTCGTGAAATTTTTGAACATCTGTAAAAACAAAAAATATACATTTTGAACACTCAATTGTATCACAAACTTAATTAGGAATGACAAAAAGTACGAAATTCCAGTGGAAAAAATGGATTTTTTTTTAACTTTTTTTGGTTTCGCAAAAGCCTGAAAATTGAAAACTTGCGTTTTTTACCACTAAAAACTTATAAAACGAAACAAATCACATGTAAGGTGAACACTCAACACATCTATTCCAATAAAAAATCCTGAAAAAGTTTTGAAAGCAACTTGAAAAGACAAAAAAAAAATGAAAATTAGGGTTTTTTTTTCAAAAACAAAAACAATGGGGACAGCAGAAAAAAAGTGCAATGGGGCGCGTTTACTTCACTGGGGAACGGACATTACTTTTAAACGTATTTATTTATACTGATATTTTGTTAAAAATTGGTTTTATTCAGAAAAGAAGTTATATAGATTTATAACTAAAACAATTTGATTGTCAGAAGTGTGTATGAATGAGATGGGATTATCACTGGTTTTTGAAAAGTACACGTCAGTTACGGAAACTCTCCAAAAAGATTAACCTTTTTCATAGCCCAGGTGTTAACTTTGTTGACAATTTGTTTTGTAGTTCCTTATAATTTTTGAATTTTGTACTATTTTCTACAATGAAAATCATAATTTTGCTTCTGAAAAATTATTGAGATGTTTATCTACATTTTCAATAAATCTGTGAAGATAAATGTTTTGTAGTTAGTTGAAGTTCCATTCGTCAGTTCAATAAATTTTCTGCCATACAAAACACAATTGTCTCTGACTGCCCCAAAACTCAAACTACAAAAACTAAATTTGCTTTTCAATTCATTTGAACTTTGAGTGACAGTACCTAACATTTTTTATTACGATAAACTTTTCAACTGTCAATCTGCAGTTGAATTTTGTTTGCACCTTGTTCATTACATTCCACATTGTGCCAGTTTGAAGTTAAAATGTTTTGTCAGTAAATTGAGTAATACAAACTTCGTACTTTAAATATTCCAAACTTGCACTTTACGTGCAACCAACATGTATTTTTCCCCAAGAAAAATGTTTTATTATTATATCAAAAAGATAACACATAATAAAAAAGAATTATATGCTAGCCCTATAAAAAATTCGAATCATTAGACGTTTTTTTTCCATCTTGAAAGATAATGGAGCCCTATAAATTCTACTGTTCGATAAAAGTCTACGTTCATTTTTTTGATATATAATTCCAGTCGAAAATGCATATTTGTTCTGTATTTATTTTATGTCTGTTTATGATCACTCCAATAATTAGTATATATCGTTCTCATCCAAATGATCAATATGTCAAACTTGCCAAAAGTATTGCCAACAGATTCAAGGATTCTCAAGATATTTCCGATTTATTAGACGAAGATGTAACATTGACAATGTGTTATAGAGAACCATGGCTGAAAGATGAAGTAGTCAGCATAAACAACGGAATATTTCGACCATTTATTTTGAGACAATACCATATTACGGAAGCACATGGAACTGACAAAAAAATCACAATGTGGGGAGATTTTCGATTTCAAAGAGTTACAAGAAAATACGAGTTGTATAAAGCATACTTCTTTCGAATCAATGCTTATTTGAATGATGATGATGAATGGAAATTGTTAGAAATTGAACAAGAACACTGTTACTATGAATAATAAACATTTCTAAATTTGTGTATTAATTCCTTATTGTGCTCACATTCCGCTGTAAGTACATTTGCTCTTTGACCAAAAAATCAAGGTGTCTACTGATAACAGTAGAACATGAACGAGTTCGTTTTTTTTAGTTGATAGATGGACCTGTTGGGGAGAATAGGTGATAGATAAAACTATACAGGTGCAAAGTTAAACATTAGTGTGGATTTTTAGGAATAACCACCTACTTCTGATGTTGAAATTCAGAATATCTTGTTCGAAATTAAATAATAAAGCACAGAAAATGAAAAAATGATCACTACAAAAGGTAATATGAAAAATCTTAATATGAGCAATGCCGGTAATTCTTCAACTTCACCATCGTCAACGATTTTAGTTAGTGAATCTTTAAGAAACTTACATTCTTACTTTTTATATATACTTCAATAAACTAACCTCTATCGCTGAACCCCTCTTCAAGTTGCTGCAATGAACTTCCATAGCTCAAATTTTTGAGTTCACTGGGAGTCAGAATCATTTGAATTTTTCTCATGTTTTGAGAACAATTAGTACAATTCGAGCAAATATATGAAAGTTTTTTTTGTAAAAAAAAATGAAGCATTTGATAAATCATATGTCCAATGTTAAAAAAAAACAAAAAGCTTCGAAGCAAAATGATCTGAATTCTACTGTTTTGAGAAAATTCCCACTGAATTTTTATAAGAGACATGGATTTTTAAAAAATTACTTCACTACTGGAACATTTTTCATTTTTTTGTGAAAAAACTTCAGTCAAACGTATTTTCAAGTTTGTGTTCATCTTACATCATTTTATGTTCGCCGAAATATGTTTCTTATCTTGTAAACTTTTCAAAAACATGATCAGAAACAGAAGCTTTTTATTAATCGAGATTCATATATTTGATTTATTATTTGCACATGAGGGTTCATTAAAGCAAATTAAATGATTTGTCAAAAATTATGCTAAACTATTAACGAAAGCCTTGAAATTCGATTAGATTCTAGAAAATACCCAAAAAAAGATAACCCCAATATTATTCGATTATTATGACATTTGTGTCGACAAAAGAAAATCATTCACGAATTCGTTTCACCAACAAATAAGCGTCACTTGGTGTAATTCGATAATAATCATGAACTATTTCTTTTTGTTCAAAGCCATGTTTTTTGTAAAAGTTCAAAGCTGTTTCGTTGTTTATCTAAAAATAAAAAAAATGTGATTGTTTAGAAGCAAAAATATTACCTGAACATGTAAGCAGAGAATTTTTATAGTTTGATCATTTTCGCAAAGTTTGAAGACGTGATTGATCATTACTGTGCCAACTCCAAATCTAGAAAATAATCTTGTTCAACTGATTTCAGGCATTTGTTTTGGTCAATACATAAGAAATGCATTAAAATTTCCATAATTCTCTATTCTAACACAAAAAATCAATAAAACCTCACTGTCTATATGCGGCTAATGTCCCAAGTGTCATTATATACAACGCCCTTTCATCTAGAATCACATCATATCGACAACAAACAGCTCCAACAACCACATCATTGAAATATGCGAGTTTTGCTAGCTCACCAGCAGATTTTACCTTAATATTGAAAAAATGAATTTATGAGAAAAATTAATGAATAAAAACCAACCTCTGTGTAGAATTTGTCATTATAGGTTATTGGAAATACAGCCTCGTTCAATTTTTTCAATTGCTGTAACAAATTGTTTTAAAATTCATAAAAGTTTTTGAAAAATATTACCAAAACATTATGCTGTGTGATCATTCCTAGAACCACTTGAAAATTTCCAGCAACTTTTCTTTTCTTCGTTTTCTGCTCGTTCATTACTAAACTTTTCAACTGTGTTGAAAGTTGTACATCTGTCATTCCTGAAAACTCCAAAAAATATGAAAAATATAATTTTGCGAAAAAAAATAAAAATAAATCGATGTGCCTGCAGTTTAGTGAGAGTGTAAAGAATGGAGTAATGTTTTTCTTCTTTGAATATATATATATATATACACTTTTGTGAAAAGGGGAGTGACATCATGAGGGGCAGCTGTTCGGTGAACTTCTTTTTGGGAATTTCTTGTGGTACTTTTTGTTCTGATTAATATAATTGTAACGTCACAAAAAGTGGTCACAGATAATTTTTATGCCTGATGAGAAATCTTTTTTCTACCTACATGCCAAGCTGTTTTCGTTGACACAGTTTTATCAGTATTTTTCAGGAAATTTTTCAGCGGTTTTTTTTAAATTTACAATGGGGAAAATAAATTGATAATAAACTAGGTCGTTCAGAAATCAAAGAGAAAAATAGGAAAGACTTTTTCTGATATTTATAGTAATCACTCCCTGGATATTCATTTTTTGAAGTACCCCAAAGAATTATCAAAGTTTAAGAATACAAAATTATATTTTTACTCCAGCATTATAGTATTTGCAAATTACTACATTAATCATAGTTTACTTCATCCGAGAAAAAAATCACTAGTTTCCATTAAAAAAAGGTTTATAAGAGAAATTGCATATCACAGTAAAGAATTAATTTTTGAAATAGGGGGCAGTGTTTATGCGTTACTTTGACGTTGGATATGTGTGGCGCGTTCTTCGCCTTCTTTATTGAACAAAATAGTTTGAACATTGTTACCACTTCCAAAACTATCATCACCATCATAAACCAAAGTATCAGGTGGTGAAGCGACTCCTTGATTTCTGGCGAAAATCTTCAAAGTTTTTCCACCTTGAAGGACAAAATCTTTTGGAATTGTGTAAACGATTTCGCGTTTTCCATCTATTCTTCGTTTCAATTTCCAATCACCAATATGTTCATCTTTGGCGCGGTGAGTGTTTTGAAGAACGATGTATTTTCCATCTGGAGTGGCTTCATGGATTGAAACGTTTCCTTTAGCAGAACGTTGGAATGATTGACGGGAAGCGGTTTCACCTTTGACGACACGCATTGTTTCGGTGTCGAATTCTTGAGAAATTGCGTGAGTTTTGACAACTTGTTCGACGAGTTGCTTGAGACCGGCACGATTCTCTTCACCTTCCAACATTTTACGATAGATTGCGATTTCAGCATCGAGCGTCTGAAAAATTTAGTATTTGGTTCTACACTGGTGTGAAAACTGATTTTTGCAATGGATTTCTAGAACTTAATGACTCTGGAAATTCTCATACTTTAGGATAACCAGAACCTTCTGTGAAAAAAATTATAGAATTGAATTTTTCAAAAGCAGTAACATTTCTTTAAATTATTTGAAAACAAATATTTTCTGAACAAATATTTAGACCGCTCACCTGTTTGGTATCAAGAAGCATTTGAAGTTCGACCATGAGCCCTTGACATTCTTCACGCATTTTGCGAATTTGAGCGTCTCTATCATTCAAAGCTGCTTCATATGATCTTTGATCATCTTCCAATTGATAATTCAATTCTTGAATTTGTTTTTCGAGAAGCGAATTTCTACTCTCCAAATCCGCCAATTTTCCTCTTAAATCACTCAATTGTGTTCTCAATCTTTTAACTTCTTCTTTAGCATAACCTTGTTCCATAGATTGTCTTGCACTTTGTGTTTGAATTTCTTGAACTTTGAGACGATACCACGATTCCATATCATTTCGATGAACATTGTTAACTTGGTCATATTCCTCACGAATGTCACGAATTGCGGATGAGAGCTCATTTTTGAAAAATTCACGATTTTCGGGAGTTGTATCGCGGGAAGCAAGAGTTTGCAATTCACGAATCTCGTTGTCATGAACACGACGAAGGAAGTCAATTTCTTCGAGAAGTGTTTGAACCTGGTTCTGATAATCAATTCTGTTAAGCGTTTCTTGATCCAAATCAGTTCTTGCTCTTTGAAGTTCCGAGAGAAGACGTTGATTTTCCGATTTGATACGTTTAACTTCATCTTCCAATTGAGCGATTTGACGCTTGAGCAAATTGATTCCGGCTTCAAGTTGAGAAAGTTGAACTAATAATTGATCAATTTTAATACGATCTTGTTCATGCCCCTTGATTGCATCCTCATATTTTCTACGAATTTCAGTCAATTCATCTTGCATTTTCCGAATTTGTCCTTCCAATTCTTTTCTTTGATTGTTAGTATCATTGATCAATTTTTGAGCATCCTAAAGTTCAGTTGTTCACATTTATATCAAAATTTTTAGATTTCATTTCAACTTACCGAAAGTTCACCTTCATACATATTACGAATATTATGCGTATCTTTTCCCCATTTTGATCTCAATGCATCCAAATCAGCAGCCAATTTACGGTTTTGTGCCTCAAGGAATCGAACTTTTTCGATATAACTAGCTAAACGATCGTTGAGATCTGACATCTCTTTTTTTTCACGTTCGCGAGAGTCGCGGATTGTTGAAGCGGCATGTTGGCCGAATGGTGATACGCTGGAAGTGGTTCCTGAACGCATTTCAGTGACGATTTTAAGCATACGATCTTGCGCTGAAAATTAGAAGATGAATATAATTCAAACTTTCCTGGTGATTATGAGACTGAAATTATAAATTATCTAACAAAAGTTTAGAAACGTCTTAACTCTCCTTAAAAAACTTCTGATAAACTCACATGTATGATTGGTAGAAGTTCTGCCACCAAGTGGCGCACGAGCCGATGGCGTTGAAGAAGAGAACGACATGGCTGAAAAAATAACGATATTCTCCAGACAATCTTTGAAAAAATTTCAACAAAATAAACCATATTGAAGAAATTGGTCAAGTATTAATATATAATTTTCGTCCAAGAAAAAAAAAGAGGCGTCGTCCTTCAACACCTCCACTTTTTCTGAACAAAATGAAATGAAACGAGACGAGACGAAATGCGAAAAAACCAAAGAAAACTCGCTCAACCCTTACATTTTCTCAAATACCATGCTTCATTTGGTTTCGGAAATTGTTCAGAAAAAAAATGAATCAGATTCAGATTTTTTTGGTCTGGTTTCAAAATGTTTCCCAGCAAACAAGCTATGCAAAATAAATCTGATCGAAATCTCTAGCGGAAGTCAATAAGAAAACAACTTACCATTCCGATTTCCATACATTTCGAAAAAATCAGGATATAGTGTAATTTTTTTTTGAAATTTGTATTTGTTGATAAAGATAGGGGAGCAATTTTTAATGTTACAAAAAATGTTATTTGTCAATGTGCTTGTAAATCTGATTTATATCTGGGTAAATAACAGATTGATCGGTGATGAGGAAATTTGCAAAAAAAAGACAAATCAAGTTGGAAAAATTGCAGTTTCTTAGAAAAGTTTTGAGAAAAATTGCATTTTATTGTTTACAAGAGGGGCGCGCCCTTCAAAATTTTTTGGAAAAAAAACAAATATGTATGACGTGGCAAAAGTTATGATCAAAATAGTTATCTACAATTTTTAAAATATGTTTCAAAATATCACTAGGTAGTGGTGATGGTGAATTGAATTATGACTTGGTCCAGATCTACAGTAGCCCAAAAGTTTTTCCAGAGTTTTATGTACTTTTTGTAATTTTGGGATTGTTAATCCAGGTATGTATGTTTTTTTGAACTTTCAATTGTTTTCGAGTACTTATAAACAAACATTTCTATGAAAAATTCGAATAAAAAACTCACTTTCTCTGGTAATCTCCATCATATTTCAGTTCAAATCGAGTGGTTCAAAACTTCTCTTTAAGAGAAGCAAATATCCGTTTGGCAAGTAGCTGAAAAAATGAAAAAGTACACACAAAAATATTTCTAGGAACAACTGAAATGAGGGCATTTGAGTGTGTGTTGATCGAAACAAAAATAAACAATAAACTGAAAGAGAGGGGACGATTTTGTGTTGCGCGCCCAAAAAAAAACTTTATAATTACTGTGGATCAACTATTGTCAACCGGTCTTTGAATGACACACACACATATATAAATCGATGAAAAAGTGAAAAAATTGGAATAATTATTGCGTCTTCCAATAACAAATTTTGACAGGTCCTTTTTCTTTATGACATGAGTTATATACATTTTTTGTTCTTTTTTTTTCAAAAAAGGCAACGCCTAGGTACAGAAAATAAATGAGTCACATTTCTTTACTTTTTTACAAAAAAAAACTTGTGTTTTTTTTCGCCGCGTTTATTAAAATATATATTCGTGGAGTGTTGAGTCAGATTTTTGTTTGGTTAAGAAGAATATCAAACTCTTGAGAAAAGTTGAGGGTGGAAGAAGGGGAGAGTACCCATTTTTAGGCATGGCAAACAAGGAAAAAATAGATGAAGAATGTATGCAAGAGGAAAAAAATTGGGAGTGGGTTGGAAATGGGTTCCGGAAACTATTCGTTGATGGAGAAAATTGATAATTGTCTGAAATTCTGGTTTTCAAAATGTCAGGAGAAATTGAATCACACTTCAGAACTGTTTTGAAATTTAAAAAAAACAATTTGAAAAAAAATGGTTTGGGATTATTTTTAAATGCAGGTTGAATCATGATCTTTGAGATCTTACGGTTCAAAATAAAATTGTATTGATTGGAAAAAAATCCTTTTTTTTCTTGTAAAAGCCCTATGAACTCATGAAAAAACTCTATTAACTTCACTGTCCTTTTTTCCTTCATTTTTTCTTTGCCAAAACCAGATTCAATTTTCCATTCATCAAAAATAATAAAAAGTTGCGAGCAAATAAGAATTCAACCATACACACATTCATCTATGTATGTACATGCATTTCAAATGAGGGATTCTTCACACCCACCAGAAAACAACAGATTCACATATTTCTCCGAACTTTTTTTTGAAGCACAAGACACAAAAATGAGTTTTACTCATAATCAAGTCTCTCATAATATTTACTGGATTCGAGAAGAGGATACCAGACAATGTTATCCGTTGATGTATTTGATAATTGGCAGTGAGGATAAAGGTATGTTAGAAAAACATCCGTTCGAATTGAAAAATATTGTTCAGCGCTTTTAATTGATACTGGTTGTGGTTGCGGTAACATTTATTTTTATTTGCGTTCGCTTCCATTTATGGAAAATATGAAATTGATTGTTGTCAACACACATAACCATCCTGAACAGGTAAAACAATTATTCTTGTTTTTTTTTTCATTTTCAAAGATCAAATAAAATAAATATGATTGGTTTAGACGGGAGGTAATTGGCGATTCTCTACAACTGGGACAAATGGTTTGGCACATTTAGTTGAGGATTTGTGTGCGGGACGGAAAAATAAGTATTATACAAGATTGATGGATACCAGTTGGCATTGGGATGTTCAAACTTATAAAGTTACAAGATGGTTGAATGATGGGGATAAGATTTTGTTGGGTGATGAGGATAATTTGAAAAATACTGTGCAGGTGGGTCATTCACAATCAGGAAAACATAAAATATACATATTTTTTAAATCACGCAGGTTTATTTTAGGTCATGTGGACACCCGGTCACACCCCCGATAGTATAGTCCTATGGTACCCATATGCTAATCGATTATTTGTTGGAGATCTATTTTATCGCTTTGATGACATTATGTTTTGGTAAGACCCTCAACCCCCAACTTCAAATATCATCAACTTCTTTCAGTTATCAATACACAGATATGCGGCAATACGAAAATTCAGTGCGTAAAATTTTGAAATTTGTTGAATCGCAAGATGTTCATGTAACATATTCGTCATCGAAAAACGACACAGATAATATTTGTCTTCCCATTTTCAAAATTTATCACAGGTTTTTGCTTTCTGTAATTGCCGGAACACATGTTGGAACAGTTTTGAGGTTAGTTTGAAGAATTATTAAAAATTTTCCAAAATCGTTAAGAAAAACGGTTTATCGGATTAGTCGTGTCGATTATTCGAAAAAGAAAACTATTTTTCAACAAAATGATTTGTTCTGAAAACCAAAACACCATGTCAAAAACTTTCACATTTTTGAAATTTTCAACCTGAAATTACTTACATTTTCAGAATCGACGAAGCTGAAGGTGTCCGCTATGAAACTCGCGATCAAAGTATGCGAATCGTAATAGGGCGAAAAATTGTACAAAAACTGAATACAGCTAGAGAAAAAGCAACACAAAACTAATTCAAACGTTTATTCACTTGTCAAATGTATAGTATTTTTTATGCAATACAATTTCGTCGCCTTCTCTATAAATTGAGTCGATTTCTTTGAATAATAAATATAAAATTTCAGCTGTTGCAATAGCTGAGAATACAAAAGAAAAGTTCATGAAAAAACGAAATGACCAGATCAAATTCACTTTTTTCGTGGATTTATCGACCTTGACACAATTTTTTTTTGCATTTGGAAATACAGCTGTTAACAATAAAAATCTTCATTCATTTAGACTAGATATATAAAAATGTTTGTTTTAATTTTGAAATGTGATGTGAATTGCACGGGGCTTTTGAAGTGGAAGTGACCAGTAGAAGAAAAAATACACAGAGATTGGGGAGAAAATAAAAAAAATGGGTAAAATGAGAATTAAGGATACATTTAGAACTTGACCCCGATAAGGTTCAACAAAACCATAATAATTGAAAAAGATGCCCATAAAGAAATCATAACAATCCAAATGGTACCTTGGAATGGGCTGACGTGTTTACGTGGCACTGGGAAATTCAAAACACTTCTTGCGTGTTTACGCGCAGCCGAAACAAGAAGACATGGAATTGCGAATTGAACAACGACTCCTGGGAAACTTCCGGTGATTGAGGCGAGGAGAAGCATGTTATCAGTCATAAGACTGAGGAAGGTTGGAAGGGCCAAAACAAGAATTGTGACAAAAATATCGAAAACTGATTTTTTGTCATTTCGAGATGTTCTGACTTCTCTTTCATCGTCGGTATCGTCGTCATTGTTTTCTTCTTCGAGAAGAGACTCGTTTTCAATTCTGAAAAGTATGCCTGTTTAGAGGGACGTTGGGTTCAAGTTTAAGAATATTTAAATTTCCGAAAGTTGTTGAAGAATTTAGTTTTTCTCTCTCGAAAGTTTTCTCTCAAAAACTAACCCAGTCTTTGGCCACAAAATATCCTTCACAACTTTGAAATTATTGATCAATGTCAATGCAATAATCGGATAACTCGAAGTCAATGTAATAATCGGGAAAAGCGCCAAAAAATAATCGATAATTGTATAAACAAATGAAGTATTCTCATCGTGCAAGAAATTCAAAGTGTAAATATCTTGCACATGTTCAAAAGCAAAAGCTCCAGTTAGTGAAAGAGTAAAGTAGAATGCTCCAACAATTCCATATACAACTGCAATTTTTCCGAAGACGCGATCTTTTGATCTAAACAAAAATCAGATAACGTTTAATAAACTACTGAACTTACTCCATTGGTGTGATCAATGATGGAATACTGTGATGGCACATAAAGGCGTAAACAGCACAACCAAAAAGTGAGCCAAATCCATGGAAATTTGAAGCTGGTGGATGAGCAGCTGGTCCGTTGCTCAATAATTGAAGAGATGCCAAGGAAATCATCAAAATGAAAGCTCCCCATCTTGATAAAGTTGTCATCATTTGGATATGTTTAGTTTTTGTGATACCAACAAGAACCATTGGAAGGCACACTATCACAACGAAAACTAAAACGCATCCTCGATACACGTTCATTCGTGTAAGAAAATCGGCCCAATTTGGGTGACAAAGATCGGTTGGTTTAACTGTAGAGGAGTTTATGGTTGCGCTGAAAAAGTTTCAGAAATAATTGTTGGAAAATATCCCAGAGATTGAGATACTCACCAGATGATATTCATTGCTGATTTTGGAACTGTTGTTGAATAGATTGCAAGATCTCCAAAGAGGTAGATAATGATAGCAAAGTATGAAAAGACCAGCCAGACTTTTGGAAGGAAAATCGCTGCCATTTCACTCTGGAATTTAAAAAAAAGTTTCCATAAGTTTATTAGGCTGGATTTCGAGATTTTTTTTTCAGAAAACCACCAGGAACAATTTGAGTATCATTTTTTGAATCTTGAAAAATCTTATTTTGGGTTAATTTTTAAATTTTTTGAATTTTTTTTGTCATTACTTTCTAGTATTCTTTAATACGTACAAGTTTCGAATAAAAATTCTCAAAAAAACACACCACTTCAACCTTCTTCACAATCTCAAAAGTCGATGGTCCACTATCCTGAATAACAACATCTTCAAAATCATTAACTCTCTCTCTTCTTCTATTTTTCGAAACCACTGCATTGGCAACAGACAACGCTTCAATAATAAATGTTGCCGCTACATAACTCATAAATGCTGAGAACGACAGAAGTGAGATACTCAAAAACCATCCAGCACTTTGGAAAGCTTTTGGAAGAGCAAGAGCACCAGTTCCAACAATCAGATTGAACACATAAAGAAGGCCAATCTGCAAAAATTCTTCCTTCGATTATTCCCTCAATAATTTTTTGTTTCTGCCAATTTTTTTGGGAAAAAATGACAGAGAAAGAAAAAAAACCCGTTTTCCCTCTGATTTTATCTTTTTTTATCTCAAAGATCTATAAACAAAACAAACCGTCTGACTATAAGTTCCTGAAGATGTTGTCGGTGAATCGGATTCTGATGGCATTTTGTTAGATTAAATATGTATGAATGTATAAAAAATGAAATTGTCGCAAAATTGCTTATCACCACTACATGCACCTGAAAACACACATTTATTAGGAGGGCAATTTGATAAGCAAAAAAGATACATTTTGGAGAAAAAAAGGAGAAATGGTGGATTTTTGATGAGGTAGCAATTTGTTTAAGGAATCAGAAATCGTGAACGTTTCATGTAAAAATGAATTGGATTTTACATTAGATCATATTTTTAAAGGAAGACTTTGGGAATTTTTTAGAAGTATGAAAAAATCAATTGAATTCAATTCAAAGGCATTATTTATAATATGTACTATAATCAAATTTCATAATCAAATAGAACCATTGAAAATTTTTTTGAATATAAACATTGTTTTTCAGACAAAAAGCGTGACAAAAACCAAATTTCAGCCAATTTTCAGAAAACAAAACCCAATGGACTTATAGAAAAAAATCAATTACTTGTGAAAGTTCAGAAAAAACAATGCTGTTGAATAAATAAGAATTATATCTTATAATCTTGGAACTTAACATTTGAGACATAGAAAAGCATTTAATAAAACATTTGAACTCTTTTAAAAATTGGCAGCTGTTAAGTTGAACAATATGTTTGAAAAATATCTTCAGACAAAAAATAATCTAGACAAAAACACACCAAACAATCAATTTGTTTGAAAAACAGAGAGATCAGACAGCTAAAAAATTATTTAAACCAATGAAATAATCATTTATATTTTCCTATTTCCAAGAATTTCAATCAATTTTTTTGCGAAAATGATTTTTGAAAGTCAAAGTGACTCACAGACACGAGATAAATAAAAAAACCTATTAAAAGTGAGTGAGTGAAAAGCGGGGAAAAGGAAAGAAAAAGAATGCTTGGTGTTGCAAAGGAAACGAAAAAAACCATCAATTTCTTCTTTGCCTCCCTTTTTAACCCTGTCATGTGTCTTGCAAACATGCTCTAAGGCGAAGAAAAACAAATAAATATAATTTCGGATATGAGAGACGCAGAGAAACAGAGAAAATGAAAAAAGACCGGTGAAAAGGGCTTGGTTTATTTATATGAAATATAGAATATAATATTATTATTTTATTCATCACATAAACGACGAAATTATTGATTTTTTTGTCTTGTAGTCGAAAATGATTTGTTTATATATTTTTATTCTGATTCATGAACAAAACGAAATAGATTGGAAGAAAATAAAAACATATTATACATATATAAACACAAACGAAAAAATAACAGTGTAAAATTACAAAAATTGATCTGGAACATGTTTCATGTTCAGATTATTGATGATATCTGAAAATACAAAGATTTTTTCTAGGTTCGTAAATCTGTGAATAACAAAAAAGAACTATCCATTTCGTGCAAGTGAGTTTGAAAAAATATTCTTTTTATATTGAATATTTCAATAAGTCTCAACGATTCCGATCACATATATACATTTGGCAAATATAATCTTCATCTCAATCTTAGATTTTGTATTGTCAGGAATTTGTTTTGGAAAAACTTTTAGTTTTTGAAAAAGTATCAGGAAAAATGGTATAAAATTGTTTGTCTTGAATACGAGAAATTTACAATCTCTCGATAACTACAAGTTTCCAACACAAGCCAACCTCAATTCTATTCAAATTCACAAGAAAAAGCCGTGTGAGAAAATAATAATTTATTATTAATGCGTTCGTTGGTTTCAAACAAAGGTCAATTTCTGCCAAAATTACAAAAAATAATGAAAAAGATCATAAAATGAGCATATATAATAAAAAAGAGATCAATTTTTGCCTTATATTAATAAAAAATACTTTATTCGCGTTTCTTAATGGTCCGTTTTTCCTTTTTCTCATCATATCGTTCCGGCTCATGAGCTTCTTCCTGAAAAAATTAAATTTGTGAAAAAAAACTTGATTTTGAAAATAACTTACATCATCAAAATAAAGTTTAAAAAGTCTGTGAAAAACTGAAAACAAAAACGACGAGAAAAAACCGCTGATCATGAAAGCAGTGATATGGTTTGCTGAATAAACAGCGAGAATCCAGTGTCCATAAATATTCAGGAGAAATACTGTGCATTGAGTCTGCAAAAAAAAAACTATTATTCAATTCAAATCTGAAATGTTCTGGGACTTACCAAAAGTCTACTGGCGAAGTAGGTGACTTGCAATTCTGGCGAGTAAAATTTTGCGGACATTGAAGAAATTGCTGGCATTAAGTTCAGAGCTCCAAAGATACGACACCATAGATAATGATGAGAATCGAGTGTGTGCTCGGTTTTGATCTACAAATATTAATGGGTTTTGTGTTTCAGAGATCAAGAAATTCAAAAAATGGTATATTTTTTTCCAATTGAAACCAATTATGCGAGAAACCGTTTATTTTCTTTGAAATCTATCATGGTTTTTGAAATGAAACCGATTTTAATTTTGTACCCAACCTTTCATTTTTTTTTCTAAACCAAACCAAGAATTGAAAAAAATGTTCTCCAAAAATCTAAATTTCAAAGCCCCATACATAATAAATTTCCAAAACTCACAATCAATCTCAAAACGTGTTGTGGAAATGCAAAATGAATAATTGCATAGGTAATTGTGAGGCCGGCATCGAAATAAAGCGCATTTTCAACATAGTGCGAGCCTTTTCCTTCAACCCAAAGGGTGGTTCGTTTAACCATCATGTCGATTTCTTCTTGGGTGGTCCGTTTGTTGCGATACATACGAAAGAGATCGGTAAGAAACCAGAGACCATCGGTGAGCACAACAGCGTAGAGGAACTGAAAATGTTGAAACTTGACTAGAAAAGAATGGGGTTTTGCAGTTCATCTACCAATATCGTTTAGGGAAAATTCAAAAAAAAAAAGAAACTTTCACCCAAAACCTTCAACTTTCTGAAATTAGTTCAATTTTCAAAACTTTTTTTACTCACATTGTCCGTAATGAGAAGTCCCCTTGTCGATTTCTCACTCAAATGCCACGCAGCAAAACTTCGAGTCAACAGTGAAATAAACGCAGTGACAACTCTTGAGAAAATTATCGATTGCTCAGGTTTGCCCTGATCCAAGGTTTTGTATAGAAGATAACTGTGGCCAACGTGGACAGCAGAGCAAAATGATTGCAAAAATCCGTGAAGAGTGTTGAATTGTCCGGATACCTAATAATAATAATAAAAAATTAAATAAGATTTTCAGCTCAAAAATCTTACCGTGGCTTTTAGAAAGTAAGTTGGTACCCAGAAGAATAACAGTGCGAGGAGACAGTGAGCAAAAAGTTGGAATCTCAATCGAAATTTTTCAGCAATCCATGGAATAACTGACAAAATGAAAAAAGCTCCAATTGAAGCATGAGGAATCATAAAAAGTATCTCGTTGTCCATTACTAGGCAATAATAACGGGAAGAAAATGGGCAGAAATAAAACAGAAGTGGTCTGTCGGATGAACGGAGGATGAAGAAGAAAAGGGACAGATGGCTATGGCTCACAAATAGAGCAGGCAGAGAGCTGATGAAAATAATAAGGAGAGTTGAGAGACGATGAGACGTGTTGACCAGTCATGTTGTTAGACGGAACGGACAAGAAAAAGTGTATGGATGTATATTTGTGTGTGGCAGTGAAATTTTTGAACAAACTCGACGTTTTTGCAAAAAAAAATACATTCGTAGAAGTGTGATTTGACTAAAGACTAAAAAAGTAATTTTGCTCGGAAAGTAGTAACAAAGTGACTTGTGTTGACACTTTTTTCGGAATTTTTCGAAAAATTACACTGAAGTAATACATATGAAAAACTAGTCATTAGGGCCAAAGTATTAAGGGACTACTCTGGAAAATATAAGAGAGAGATAAAAAGAAATGAAATTTTTGAACATTAAAAATACCTTGAGGCTTGCAACTGAAACAAACTGGAAAAAATTATTCGTTTTTTACATTGGGATCTGATTGAAAAGAAATGAAAATACGCTGAAAATTTGAGAAATTGAAAAAGCAAACTCAGAATTTTGTTACAAAAGTATATGCAACAAAATTGCTTTTGACACAATTATCTGCCAGAAAGTCTGATCTTTTTGTGATCTTCGGAAGAAAATAACTGCTGAACAAACTACCATACAACAAGCAAATAACCAGACTTCACAAATAAATATTTTTCGGATTTCATTTTTCGTGAAATTTTTTTGAAATGGTGTCATTTCTTCCCGCTATTTACAACTACAAGTTGAACTATTCAATTTTTAAATGAATTTTGATATTATTTTCAAGTAATCACGATAATTTCAAATACATTCCAGAAGTCAGGTAAAATTTCTAACCTTGTTATTTTTCAATGCGAGTTTATAACAAAATTTGTAGTTTTTCGGAATTTTTTTACTAAAATTGAACAGTGTTCGAATTTCCATTCATCAGTGCTTTTCGATTGGTTTATTTTATTTTGTTCTCGTCAATTTTAGCATAATTTAATTTGATGTTTTGACTCTCAATTAACTTGAATTTTTTGAAATTAACCACTAAATACAGAACTAATTTTGAGAGCGTTTTTTAAGTTTAGCCTCTGAAAATGACAAATGTTTTCATGTTCTCTAAAATTTTTATATCGAATAAATTCTGTAGTTCTTTGGATAATAATTTTCAAAATTTGAAATTTATTCAATTGTTCATTCATCAATGATTACTGATCAAGATTAATGTAAATGTGACAGTTTTGAATTTTTTTATTTTTTGATATCCTTAAAAATTCATCAATGAATCAGGAATGAATCATCCATACTTGTTTTGATTTCTATGCTCTTATAATAATCTTTGAATTCCTGCAAGTATTGTAGTTCTTCAGATAATCTTTTTTGAAGATTTGTCATGTATTGAAGTTCCTTATTAAATTTGATTCTTCTGATCTTCTCTGTAAAAGATGTGCTTGTTCTTTATAATCTTGTCATTTCCAATGTTATTCTGTGGTTCTACTGATATTTTCAATATGTTTAATTCTTAAAGTAATGAATCATAATTCAAAAATGTCAATTATTCTGAAGAAATAGTCGGATAATTCGGAATTCCAAAACTGTATATCTATGCAGGAAATAAATTGTAACAATTTTAAGAATCTCGAAAAACGTCTTCTCCAAAAATATATGTAAAATCCCCCAAATTCTTGAGAATATCTCTGTAGTTAAAATATGACTTGAGCCTTAAATTCCAAAAAACGAGAGAAAATCTTGTAGTTTTTCAATAATCTTCTTATTGGAAAATATCTGAATTTTTTGTAGTTCTCTCGGCTGATCTTTTACCAAAATTCTTGACTGCGTAGGAATTTTTGCCAGGATTGGGAAATTATTAATTTAAGATCGAGAAATGTGTGATATTTATTCAACATTTGCAATATCTGAAATTTATCAGTATCTTTTGCCAATATTTGGTGATATTTGTTCTTTAGATAATCTTCATCGGAAATTTGACATTTTTCAAAATTAATTTCCCCATAATCTCATTAAATATCAGATTTTTGAACTACTTTCTGTAGTTCTTCAACTGAACTATGTGATCTCTCAATTGCGATCTCTATAAAAAATTCAAATTTTATCCCAATTCTCAAACCCTTCTCTTACAAACATATGTAATTATTTTGGTTGGGAAAAAAGTTTTCTTAATTTTATGTTTTGCTTTTTTCTCAATAAAAATTGTTAGTTTCCACGAGAAAAACTTTTCATGAGAACCCTTTATTTTTGCCATGACAACAGTTTGAACTTCTTATAAGAAAAAATATTGTATATATATTTTTCAAAAAAAAAAACAACAAATATATATAATTTTGTTATTTGTTTACTATTATCGCCATTCGGGTTTAAATATAAATATACATCGTTGACCAGCTCTCTGAAATTGCAAAAAGATGGAGAGGAGCAGAAAAACAAGAAAAAGAAGAGCATTTTCATTTGATGAGGAGTGCGCGTATGGATACATTTTAGTGAGATGAATGAAGATGTGCCTTTCACATATGTATACTTTTTATTCAAATTGAGAGAGCACACTATTATAGATGTGCTCATAAGAATTTGTTATGCCGATTTTTGTTAGGCTTATTGGTCAATCCTTTGAGGGTATAATAATTCTCGAGTTTTCATAAATATTTTTTCAGAATTCCCTTATTTTTAGTTTTCGAAACTAGAGAATCTAAAATAACAAGTCTCAAAAATTGTATGAACAATTTCTGATTTTTGCGTCAGTGTATACGGTAACTGCACTTTTGTTTTCGAACGTCATTTTTTCACATCACATCAGAAAATCAACGGACGAAAATCATTTTAGAACTAATATTAGAAAGTTCTCAAAAATAATTCTGACACTGATGACACTGAAAGGCTTGAATTTGGAAAGTGAGTTGGGGTTTTTTTTTTTATATTTTATTCAGAAAAAGGTTTGGACTTTCCAGATTTTTTAAATAAGGAAGATTTGTTTAATAACTACAGTTTTGATTTTTAAAAAATCTTGTATATTTTCTAATTTTTGTGATTGAAAAAGGTTGTAGACTAGAACTAAAATGTGAAACATTCAAATTAATGAAGAAACTCTAAATGTAGTTTTAACATTTTGAAAGGAAGTTGGAGATTAAATGTTACCATCTAATGTAGAGCATTTTCTTTCCTGATGAACTAATTTTTTCAGAGATCTGAAAATTCAGAAATTTTAAGTTTCAAATTTGAAGGGAGACTGCAACAAAATATATATAATTATCAAAACATTTAACATTAGTGATCTACCATACTCCCCCCCCCCCTGCAAATTTAGCATTTTTTCTTGATTTTCTCATTTCCCTCAATATTCTCATATTTCCCTCAAAACTAAAATTTTTCTGATTAACACCTGCTTGCTAATTATATATTAAGGTTTTCGTTTCCAAAAATATCGCCGTTCCAACCACCCAATTTTTTTTCTCACATAAAGAAAGCTAAGCCTCGTTTTTTATCCAGCCATTACAAAACCCCATAAAAATCAAATATCCTTTTCGTTTTTTCTTTCACTAAAAGGGTTTTCTCATTTACAAAAACATTACTTGTTAATTAATTAGTGCATAGTTTGGTGCTTTTAAATATTCTCTCTCTGTGTCCCATTTTCTTTTCTCTTTTTTAAAAGGAATATCATACATAGACAAACAAGCTGGGCTCTCTCTCTCTGAGCCAAAATAGCCAGTCTCTCCCCTCTTTCCCTCTATGCCTCCCCTAGTTGTTGTTGTTTTGAAAAAGAAAAAGCAGAAGAAGAAGAAGCTTCGCCCCTCGTCTCCTATTTTGCGTGTGTTTTTTTCTCACTGCGTTTTCATTCGGAAAAAAATCTGAAATTTTTTCATTACGTAGATAGATTTTCTGTTCCCTCCTAACATAAGGTATTTTTGTTAAGAAAGTGCAGCGCACTTTTTAATAATTGAATTCTCCGAGTTGGAAAATTCGAGCTATTTTTAATTATGAGTATTATGTACAAAGTACTATTGTTTTTTCTTGAAAAAAAAAGTTTCGATGACAATATGAAATACGTCAATTCCATTAACCCGGTGATAATTTTTTGATAGTTGATGTATAATTACGAATCAGATGATTTTCGAGTCGCTGCTGATTAGGAACATTTGTGACGTGCGGAAAATTTAAGGTTTTTTCTGTGATGGGTGGAGCCTGATGTTTTGTCTGATTATGAGAAAAGAATAGGCTTTTCATTACGGTGGGATAGATTTGAATAATCTTGAATTCTTTCTAGATTTTCTGTGATTTTTCACGCCCAATTCACGTTTTTCTGGAAATTACTAGTAGGGTTATTTTTTGTCCGCTCTAATTGTAAAATACAGAAAAATGCAATATAGTATTTCAGAAAACCTTTGATAACAAATTTGATGATTTTTGAGATCAAATATTCAAAAATAAGCTTTTATCATGATGTTCATTTTTTTTATTTGGGTAAAATTTTTTTTAAAAATTATCATTTGTTCTGACCTTCTCCACGAATTAGAACTCATCTTGAACCTTTGATTTACAAAAAAACCTATAAAACTTCTTATCAGAGAAAAAATCTGAAATTCATCCGGAAATCACACCTTGGACTCCCAACATGTCAATAAATATTTACTTCACTGATAAGAACAATTTTCTACTTTTCATGAAAAAAAAAATAATTTTTTGCTCCCTCAAAAATGGAATTGAGCCAAATTAATGCTAACTAACTAACTTTATCTAAAATTCCCGTTGTTATTTTTTTCTTTTCCTTCATTCAGTGTTGTTTTTCCAACACCAAACCCTTCTTCTTCTTCTTCTTCTTCTTCTTCTTCTTCTTCTTCTTCTTCTTCTTCTTCTTCTTCTTCATCTCCCATTTTTAGTTTTGTTTTTCTTCTTCTCCTTTTCTCTATCCTTCT